GTAGAACGTGAAACTGCGGTGTAAATTTCAAAATTTTCTGATGTCATGTAATTATTATAATTTTTTTCAGCCTCTTTACGATTTTTAATTGCTTCCGTACAATCTTTGTCCCACCAAGGTGGGAGGGAATTTTCCCTGAAGCACTATTTTTAACAGGAAATAATAAATCAGCAACCTCCTTCATATTAATTATCAAGTCATTACAACATTGATGTTCATTTCCATGATAAACAATAGGTAACTCCGATATTTTATTATCTAAATATTGTTTGTAAATATTCCAGTCTACATTTGATAAATTATATTTAAGTCGAGGACCACTCTTTCGACTTGAAGGAATGGAAATTGGAAAAGAAAGAATGAGGGGAAAGTGATCGCTTCCGAAAGTAGAGGAATGAGGATACCACGACAGTGAAGAAGCTAAATCAGAAGAACATATTGAAATGTCAGGAGCACTAAACCCTTCATTCGGTGCAGTTCTACGTGTTGGTACATCTGAGTTAATAATACATAAGTTGTAAGTGTCAATTATCGTCAGGAGTTTTCCACCATAAAAATTAGAAGTAGAACTGCCCCACGATTGGTGTTGAGCATTAAAATCGCCCATTACGAGAAAAGGTTTAGGTAAAATTGAAAATAATTGTTCTAGTTGTGAATATATTTGGCATGTAGGATCAGGAATATATAAAGTAACAAAACAGATACCATTTATAATTATAGCAGCTGCATTAATGCCGCTATATACAGGAAGCGAAAAAGAAGAAAAAGAAGGGAGTTTTTGACCAATATGGCAACACCGCCATATCCGTCAGCTCTATCATCACGGAGACTTGTAAAGCCTGAAATCCTAAAAGGATATCCTGGCTTTAACCAAGTCTCTTGAGAGCTATTATAAAAGGATTATATTTATTAATCAAATAAAATAAGTCTGATTTCTTGTTTGTTATGCTACGACAGTTCCACTGAATTATTTGGACTTTGTAATCCATTGTGAGAAGTTAATAATTGAGAAAATACATTGTACATGGCATCGTTGGACGGTGGTAAAGTTGTTTGTATCATTTTTGATTGCGATAACACTTTAATAAGCATGAGAATAATATCAATGATGGATTGATTATTGTCAATATTATTTGATGATAATGCACAACCATTAGAGGGAGCAGGAATATTATATTCCTTAACTATGGCTTTATGGGCAGAACGATCATATCCTTGTTGTATTTTTTGAGGAGAGCGTGGTTTAAGTGTAACTGTTTTTTTATATGATGATTGTATATGTGGTAATGATGATTTCTCTTTAAGGAAAGAAGATTGAAAATGAGATTTATTGGAAGGAGATGATGATGTTAATACATCTGAATATAGTTTAGAAGTTGGAGGATGAAATTTTGATGCTTCAGCATAAGAAACACAACTATGGGCCATTGTTTCTTTAATGGCTTTCTGACGTGCATATTCAGGACATTTTTTACTAATTGCTGAATGAGAACCATTACACAAGATACAAGAAACATTTTCCTCATCTACTTCACATTTATCACCTGTATGATTTTGCCTGCATTTATAACACCGAGGATTTGAACGACACTGCATCTTGACATGTCCGAACCTACAGCAGTTATAGCATTGGATAGTAGGGTAAATGTACAAATCTACAGTTAATGATGTGTAAAACATAAATACTCTTTTTGGCAATATTTGTCCATCAAAAGTGATAACAATGGTTTCAGTATTAATAAAACTTGGTTGTCCTTCATTAATTGTCTTTTTCTTTATTCTTCTGGTTTTTAGAATTTTCCCACAACCTATCGGTACTGATATATTTTGGATTACTTCCTCTTCTGTCCAATCTTTAGGAATACCCCTCACAATTCCCATACGGGTTACATGGAAAGAAGGTATAAATGCCTTAAAATTATGTGTCTCTAAGTTACTATTATTTAAAAATGCATTTGCATTTTCAAAATTTGAGAAAGAAAGCGATAAACGGTTTCTTCCTATTCTTTTGAGGCTACCATTCACTATATTATTTATCTTATTAGTGTGTAAAAAGCGACCAAATGCAATAGGATGTAATGTAGTGTTATCATTAGGATGTGTTTCATTTTTTTGTACATGAACGACATAAGGTGCTATATCCTCGGCATTGTACAAAGTTCTGCTTAAAGTACTGGGTGGAGAAGCAGGTTTAACAGACTCGGTATTGTTTACAACTGGTATTGATACTTGAGTTTGATTCTCATCTTCAATACATTGACAATCACTATCTTTAATTTTAGATTCAAGACCCTTGGTGTGCCTCCTTCGTTTTTTATTGCAATGTTTGCAAATGCGACGTTCACCACGTACTCGCTTACGTTTAGAACTTGCAACGCTAGAACCATCTGTGTCCATACTAGATTCACCCAATATATCAAAACTATTATTGAATGGAATAGTTATATTTGCAGACACCTGGGGGGTTGTCCCCCCAGGGTCTATAGGTGGATCCATAATGTTAATATAGGTAATTTACTTACCAATATTTACAGCAACAAACACTATTACTACAAAATATACAATCTAATACACAATATATAAAAAAGACTAATCCTTATATAATAAAAATAAAATTAATTTAAAGAAGATCAAAAAACACTCCCGCTTTTTTAAACGTTTCCCGCGCTTTTTTTTCTAAAGTATATTTCATAACGCTAGTCATCTAGGGTGTTCCTCTCTAAAAAAAATTGCGGGGTTACCATACCATTTTCACCCATCAAAAAAAAGTCCATTTGTTTTTATTTATTTTATTTTGGCACAAACTGTCATAAAAAAAATATACTTATATTCTTTATATTATATAAAAATAGACAATGAATACCAAACATATATATATATAAATTTAATCTCATCACAGAAGGCAGTTTTCCAAAACCTATAAAAACCACATCAGTGACTTATATATATGGATAACTGCCCTTATTCTAATGATACCTACTAAATATGTACTTACATATGTTTTAAAAAGACTTCACTGCAAAATATCTTTTTATTCTGATTTTACAATTTCTATACGGGATACTATAGTGTTAGGATCGTGAAAAATCTGTACTTTGTTAATTGGACAATGTAATATGTAACAAAGGTGTAAGTTAAACTTCATAACGTAAAGGTGTCACCCATATAAACAAAAAATCTAAAGCAATATTTGTTGTCCTCCTTGCTACTAAGAAGTAGCTTATTGATGTTTAACTGTTGGGCACAGGTTTATGAGGAGGAAATATAAATAAAAAAAAAAAACAATCAATTAACGAACTTTTAATTACATATACTAGGAATCTGTTTAGATGTTAAATATATAAAAATAAAAAAAATTATCTCTATGAAATAAAAATAATCTTAACCAATAAAATACGTACAACAGATTTCTATAGTATCATTCATCTCTTGTATTATTTATTAGAATGCCCTAAGAATCTGGAGGGAAAGAAATTGGTAGTAACAACCCCATTGCTAACAATATATCCTATCAGTTCGATCTCTACATGGTACCCCGTGAAAACCATCGTAGTTAATTCTTTTGAAATCGCCACAATACTTTCATCCTTACCTACCTATCATCTATCCCTGATGCCACGCTGGTGCCCCACCAGCGTATACCGATAGCGCAGACGAGGTTACTATTCCATTCTCACCTATTAAAAAAGACCTACGTACCTATCTATTACACATCTATATTAGAGAAAAAGTTACTATTAGAAAAGGGGATATTAAACCCCACTGCTAGCAATATATCCTCTGAAATTGACCTTCACGCGGTTCCTTTTGCAAACTATAAATAAAAATTGTTGAATCCATCACAATAGGCTAACTGACTTGGTTTCATCCTCGCCTATCAACATTCACTGGTGCTCCACCTGCGTGTACTGATAGCACTATTTACTATTCCATTATCATCCATTAAAATACGTTTTTGCTATGAACGCAATAAAAAGAATGTGCTTCCAGCCGGTAAAACACAAAAATATTATAAAATATAGTCTATGATTATAATGTTGCCAGATGCTAACTTTCTTACATTATTTGTAATATGGTTCACTAAAATATTATTACACAAGATTTATATTTCACAAAAAAAATATCTTTCTTTCTTAGATCATTGTTCGTTCTTTCATGCTAAACCTCATCTTCCCTTCTAATTCGCCTCTTTTTTTGTAGTTTTCTTTACCTGGTTTACTCTGTACAGTGTACCAACAATTTCTCGGCCGCTCGTAAACATCGAGGTCCTTTAACGGAATTGATAATCGACCTAATAAGTGGTCCTTTACAAGATTTTCATCCCACACTTTCAAAACAATTAAAATAAAAATTTTACAACAACATGTTTTAAGACTTTTTAAATGGTTTTTTTATTTCATAAAAATTTTTGTTTCGTTGTATAAAATATAAATAAAAATTAATACCTTGAAAATTTTATATTCGATATGAATGTTTTGCTTTATAATTATTTTACTATTTATTTAAAATACACACTAAATGACAAATCAACAACAAAATTAAATGTAAATTTCTATATATTAATTGGCCTCTAATGCATAATAGAAACTATATATAAATTTTGTTATTATGAAAGTAATTAAAGATTTTTACACAACCAAATTTAAAAACTAATTTTATGATATTTTATATGCGTATAAGTAGATGAGAAAGGGCCTTAATCTAATGTATAATACTAAATTAATGTACGTTTGCCTCCTACCCCTAAATTTATTTTAACGAAGTCTTCTCACATTGTATTCTTAGGTATATGTTCAACAAATTATAGGCAATGCCAACTGGCCATGTCCATATTTCAATAAGTACACAAAAAGCCTTTGACTACTCCATCATAGATTACAGTCGTGAGTATATTAAATAATTTTTAATAGGTATTATATTAAAATTGAAACAATAATATTTTAAAATGAATAAAACTAGGCAAAGAAACGTAATTAGTTCAATCATACAACCTGGCAACACTATCACTGACAGTGGTTGGACTAGACGACAGCTCATCTTATTGTATTTTATTTAGGTGGATAAAAAGCTTCATTTTTTGTTTTTCTCAGTGCTTAGGCTAATAATAATATTTAAATACGATCAAATATTCACAATGTGGGACCCAACTCACGTGCAAGTAACCGTACAAAAGGCTCGTGGACTTTTAATTAAAGGCAAAAACGGTACAAATAAGTGTTTTGTGACTATCGCCCTCGGTAAGGAAAAATTCCAAACTTCTGTCAAACACAAAGCTACTGAAAATGTCGAATGGTTAGAGGAATGTGAACTACGCATTCCAACACACGGAAATACTGCTGAAATTGTTTTGAAAGTGTGGGATGAAGATCTAGTTAAGGACCATTTATTAGGTCAAGTATCGATTCCGTTAAAAGACCTCGATGTTTACGAGCGGCCGAGAAACCGTTGGTACACTCTACAGGGTAAACCAGGTAAAGAAAACGACAAGAAAAGAGGTGAATTAGAAGTGAAAATCAGTTTTACCGTAAAAGAAGGAAGCCTCAATGATCTAAGCAAGAAAGAAAAACATAAGTCATCCTTATCTAGCATCGCTCAAAATGTTGGTGGTAGTCTTATGAGTATTGGTAGTATTGAAAAACGTAAAGGTCTGAAAAAATTTGCCAAGAACCTTGGCTCCAAAATAAATTTGAATAAGAAGGATAAAAAGAGTGACTCATCCTCTCTTAGTGGGAGTATTGGAAATCTTAAGAACTCTACAATTTCCACACCAGATCACTCCACTCCCAAAAGACTATCTGAAGAAGCAGACCCTGGTGTTATTAGTGAAGATGAAGATGAATTTGCTTTTGATGATCTATCTCATAAGAGCTCTGCAAGTTCACTTAATGTTCACACACTGCCTAGAGGCCATAAATACACTCCTTCACCAATCAATGCTTCATTAGAAAACTTGGGAGGTGGAGAGTTTTTGAGAAGATCAACAAGCAGCAACTTGGCAAATTCTGACAAATCAGTACCACAAAAACCAGTCCGACTAAGTCTTGACACATTCACACCACCACAGGCACCAACACAATTAATTGATAAAAATGATGAATGGTCTCAGAAATTATACTCACGTCCAAAATCCAACAGCCAAACCACTATAGAGAGAGAAAAGTCATCAAGTTTAGAGAGGAATAATAAACTTGATAGTCCAAGTTCATTGAAAGAAAAACCAAGTCCTAAATTCTTCAAAAAATTTGGTGGCAATAATAAAGCAAAGAAATTGTTAGAAGAGCGTATTATAGTTGGTGAAGAAAATATTGTTGAAGAGGATTCTATAAACCCTGCATACAATAGCATCCCTAAGTCTGTGATAAAGCAATTTGATGGTAAGTCACGAGAAGATCTGATTGTTCTTATATATAATTTACAAAAGGATGCAGAAATTGAAAAAAAGAAAAACAAAGATTTAGAAAATTATTTAGATGAACTTTTACTCAGGGTGATGGAGACAACACCTAGAATTCTACAAAATCCATATGTTAGAAATAACAGCATGCACATAAGAAATAAGTAATGTATTTGAATGGGTACAAATATTACATAACCCTCTTTCAAAACATGACATAATACATTCTAAAAGTTAATTTGGCATGATCTTCAACATTTGGGAAATTTGTTAGTTTATATGTTATGCAATGTAAATAGAAGATTTTTGTGCCTGACCTATAGTGCTCATAACAGGGGCAACATTAATAGATTTAGAATCGAATAAGATATTTGGCATAGAAATAACTTAGTTAAATTTCAGCTCAATGTTTAAGACACTGTCTGGAATTCATGCAGACAAAGTTTCAGGCATATTTAATTCAGTATCATTGAATATGAACACTAACAATAAATTAATATATTTTTTAAACATTGAGTTATTTTGATTATTAAATTTTCTTTCTTCATTGCCCATTTACAATGGCATAATCTAACAAGACCAGTGAGAAAGTAGTGGAAAGTCAAACTAATATTTATATATTATTGATATACTTTCACCACACTATTACCTAACAACCTTGTTTTAACATTCTGAAATTTGTGCCTTATGTATGTATCTGTGATAAAAATTGGTTAAAAAGAATGATATAACTAATGCAAATTGATTTTGAAGTTTTAGGCTTTCTAGCATGTTTAATTAACATTTATATATTTCTATTTGTACAAATTATTGTAGAGAGTAATTGAACATCCATCCATATTTATGGAATATGTAGCTAACATTTGTTACTTTTAAATATAAAAATTTATATGTGCCAAACTTTGTACCACATCATATTATGGAAACTTAATAAAAATATCCAAATTGAGTTGAAAGTGAAATTCATTCAGAAGATAAATACATTTCTTTTTATCTTTATCTTTGTATTTAAAAAATGTGGGTGTCATATATTTTTTAGTAATTTGTCACATGAAATTAGACATAACAGCTAGATGTATGTATGTCATTGCAAAGCAAAATACAAATTGGTAAACAGCATGTGATAACATTTAAGCTACAGGTGTCATATGATGTGACTCATATATTCAATAAGCTATGGTCTTTTTTGATATTCTATGCCCTTATATTATATAATAGAATACAAAGGAGTTGGATACCATATTTAGTAAATCTCAATTTATATACATATAAATTATGTAGCAAATTATATAAAAAGTTTACATTTGATTTAACTGTCAGCAGAATTATAAATGTTGATATATCCCTACACATCAAACCATAAAAAAAGAAATTCAATGGTTATAAATTATTGAAAAATATTATTTATATTAGAATAGCTTTTGGATTTATACCTATAATAAATAATTAGTGCAAAAAAGTTAATAACTTTATGTTTATTACAATTATATGCAATGTGCAATATCAGATAATAAGTACTGTTAAATATTCCTATTTATAATTTTATCACAGGGTTCAGAAGATATTGTTTTCATACTATTTAACAGTGTTATAGTATTGGGACAAAAATGATGTTACATAGTAAAATCAGCCCACTATCAGTAATATCACAGTATATGATTGTTATGTACACCTCTGTTATATCTTTATTTTAATAGATATAATATCGATGTTCAAAGGTAGAGAACAAAGTAGGTTGTAATGTTATAATTTAGAAATATAAATTTTTAGATGACACTGGTAAAAAATAAATTTATGAATTTTACCTACATCTACTATTTAATTTATAATTCACTAAGAAATGATAAGAGATAAGGATAGATAATGAAATTCTATATACTAAAGATATTATATTTTTAGTCAACTTAAAACTAAAAATTATTTATTTTTATAGATGTAAAGGTATAAACTACCAACTCTTAAGTCTATTAGTTTACTTCCTAAAAGTTAAGAGAACAGTATGTTTATAGTATAATAGTACTTACATTTTAATGGATCTTTTTAAAGGCATGCAAGTCTTTTAGTTTTCTTATAAACTAAACTTCCTGTACCTTACTTGTTTAATAAACAGTATTTTATAAAATATTGCATTTTTAATTACTGACATGAATTTTTAAATTATAATTTTATTCAGTTATAATTAGCTAATAAAACATATTGATAAAATATAAAAATTTATTGTGGAATATATGAAATTTTATAAAATTTATTTGTGACGTCGGCTTTTGACTGGAACTGGAGCAGGTGCATTTGCAGCATAAGTCTTTTGTGACAACTTGTTCATATAGTAAATGGTGATTATTGAAAATATCAAACTGAAATGAAAATAAATTTTAATACTATAACTGCATCTTCTGACTTCTATAACAGATATATCAACATTTTATGAAGATTTTCCTATTAAAAAACTATACAAAAACTACTATTTCACTAAAAATAGGACTTAAATAATTACCATGTAGTGAAGCATATTCTGTGTACCATGCCAGAAGCAACCAAGGCTACAGCCATAGACAATATAATCTCTGGCAACTTCAGTTGGAAGTTCTTGCCAAACAAAGTGGCCTCTAAGTTACCAACTGCCTGTAGTCCAGATATTAAGGAAAAGTATACATTTTAGATTTTAAAACAATAATATAAGAACTATAGACCTGTTCATATAATCAAAATAATTTATTTTGCTCCTGAGGTGCTCATACTGGCACCCCTCAACACCCTCAAGCATTTTTCAGCCATGTTCCCATTCCCAAAGCTCTTTTAATATTTCTATAACTGTCACAGATCGGACAAAAAAGGATTGTTATTAATGTGGATTAGCAACCCTATTACTAGCAATATGCCCTATCAAGTCGACATACAATTCCCCCTGGAAACCGTGACTAATTTATTATTGAATTTGTCACAATGGGCTAACTGACCTGCCTTTTCATCCTCACCAATCATGCCTCATTAGTGCCACACCAGTGTAATTTACACCTGTAGCACAAGCGGGTTACCATTCCATTATCATCCATTAAAAAAGGACTGTCACAGATCTACTAACTTAATAGTTGATATATCTTGAAAACCAGTGTTGAATTAATCAACATATTTTTAATAGCTTACAGGACTAAAGTATAATCACCGAAATTGTTTTATAGACCTGAATAAAAAAAAATTTGTATGTCAAAAAGGATACGGTGACAAAGAACATAAACATAACTGAACCCAAGTAACCGCCAAATATTATTGTAAGGGGCGATTTAACTATGAGCGGTTTGTACATTTGCATGCCGGAAAATATCAAAAGTGCTAGAATTGACGATAATATGAAAGATGTGGCACTGTTGACAGCTGAAACAAAATAACTGTTACATATAAATTCTCAAAAAATAAATTGACATACAAAGTAAATACTTTACCCATTATTGTTTGTATTTTAAATTCGAATTTTAGGATAAGAATTAAATAGAGACAAAAAAAATAGATTTCAAATGAATAATGACATTTGACCTATAGCAATTACAGCAGTGACAGTTGACAGTAAAACGCCATTTGGAGGAGTCATAGATTAAATCTAAGAACCTAAGAACAAGGAAATACATAAAGGGAATGATGAAATATAAACAATAAATTATATGGTTACCTCTTTTCTTCTTATGCTAATATTATTACCAAAAAGAGGACATGACTTTTTTCCCAATTCGTAGTAGGAAATGAATGAAGGCAAAAAATGTTTGATATGTCATTTATTTGACAATAACAAATTTTATATTACTAGATTATATATTCGACACAGTTTATGTAGAAAGTATAAAGTTATATAGAAAGCAAAGATTGTTTCTGATGTATGTCGACTGAATTAAAAAAAAAATATATCTTTTAAAATTACAACCGTTCACTAGTTTATAGTTGTACAAAAATAAACCTATTTCTAACACTTCTTAATTTCATATATTAAACACTCTTACAGACAAATACACATAAGCACAGTTTATCAAATCTGCCAAACATGAAAAAAAATCTATTTATAACAGTACCTTATCTTACGCACCTTATAATAATACTACCTTCCAAACAAAAACAATCCTTCTGGTAAATGAATCCAGTTTAAAAAAGCAAATTGTCTATAAATCTATATATATTTATTGTTAAATAAAGATTATTTATTGTTCATATATACATTTTGATAACTCTGTCTTTTTCCCTCTTTACCCTGCTTCTGTTCCAAGTCACCCTGAATCCAGTATAAATAGATTTATACATACGTACATACATTTTATACATACATTTTGTTAGAAATAATTAACTACTAATATTTAATCATGTAGTTTAAACAACCGTAGATACTTAGAATGCGTAAATAATGACAACGGACGTAACTAAATGAAGAATTGATGTGTAAAAATCGCTTTAGTTTCTATTCAGCCCATTTTACAGTATGAAGTTTAAATATTAAAAATTATTTTTATCTATGGTATTTTATGACATTTCCACCACTCCTATACTATACACATTATAGTATGATGTATATGATAGCTTATTAAATTTTACAGTGAAAAAATTACTGAACTCTGATAAATTTAACTAAATATTTATTCAATTATGAATGATGATGATCAATTAAACTTTAACTGTAAAGATCTAACTCAAGGCAGATTTTTTTTTTTTAATTTACTAAAATTTTAGCTGTTGTCATCCGCAATATCCTAAAACGTACAAAATATAATATTTGACTGTCTTATCAGGTACCTAAGTATTAAATGATAAGACAATTGAACACGAATGTTTAGTTATAATATGTAGGTATTTAAGTATTTATTTACATACATGAACATATTTGAATAATGATAAGTATAATAGGTACTGAGCTTACAACCACTCATACGTTCTCCATCACTACGTTCTTGATAAGTATTTTTAAAATACAGTTTCTAATGCAATTAAAGCATGTATATTTATGATTGTCGAACACTAATATAATTTTTAAATATGTATTCTTTTGCAAAATATAAATGTATTAAAGCTATATCAAGACCTTATATGCTCCGAAATGTGGTAAGTTTAGTTCTAAATGACTATCAGTTGCACAGTACAGTTCTCAACAACTAAATTTTTTTTTTGTTTTTATATATCAGAGCTAATTCTGATGCCCCATTTCCCTGATTGCCCTACCGACGAAAGTTATTCTCTTATTTTAATTAGATAATTTCTCAAAATGAATAGATATTTTATGGATCATCATGAACTAAAATTATAATAATTTTTATTTAAATGTGTTAGAAAAATAGTTCATAATGGTCCTTACAATAAAGATATTGCTGTGATATCAAATAGAAATTTTAATTTTAGAGAAAAATATAGAGATGTAATGCCCCAAGAACCCAGACCCCACTACCTTTTACCTGTAACTTCATCTACATATAATATAGGTATCGATTGATTATGATAATAGTAGCCTATGTCCTCCATCCCATATAGTATGTGTATACCACTTTTCATGATGATTGCTTGAGCTGTGAAGCGTCAAATGTTATAAACAAACTCACTTCTATCTCCTGGCTGTTGTCCTAATTTATTTAGGGTTCATCCTTCTATTAGCCCCGTACCACACCATTCCTATCACCATAACAAAATTATTAGGATTAACTCAAATGACTGTTCTATAGACCATAAACTAATATAAAATAATTTAGACCTATTAGAAATTTTGTTCATATTGGTTCTTAGGGTTAACAAAGAACCAGAGGGAGACTTTGTACAAAAGTAGATTGCTTGGGTACCTCTGTCCCATTCGTGTTTCTACCGTAAAGCAGTTGTGTTTGCATATCTGTGTTTCGGTTTGATGGGTATGATATGGCGTGAATTTACTGGGTACAGAGGAATAACATCTGAGTCCTCAGGAATGGCAACGCATGGGGGTATCATGGGTGAAACAGTATACTCTGTTATGTCCATGGTACTACTCATGTCTATAGGCGACGGTTACCACTTTCCATCAAGTGGGCAGTCAGCTTGTTTGCCATTCTACATTGTATAAAAAAAAATCTATTATAATTAATTATAATTTTAGTAATGGTTTGGACAAATGACTCATTGTTACATTTATTTATTTATTAATACAGAAAACCTACTTAATTTAAGTCAATCTACCTTCATGCTAGATCCCTTAAGGGATAATCAAAAAGAATCTAGTGACTAAGGTTTAATTATACACTGGGTCCTTAAAGACTTGATTTTATTAGTTGGGAAAATAAAAAACAATATATTTTTGGCACTTAAATATATAAAATTAACAAACAAACATACAATCTAGTGACCTTGAAGAAACATGTGTATCAAAATTTCTTCTATTTTAAAAAATGACAAACAATAGTCCTTAGAGAAAACTTCAGCACAATGCTCATTTCGCAGTTGTCCCATAACATTTTAGATTAATAATAATAAAAATTTAACAACCACAACCAATACTCTGTACAGTTTGTAAGTTAGTGAAACCAAAATATTAGTGATACTGTAGCTTTTTGGCTTTTCTTAGATCTTTTAAAAAATAAAAATATTAATAATAACTGTACTTAAAATTTTTATTTCCTTATTTCAGAGTAAAGTGGCATCTGAAATCCGAATTTATGAAGTTGGGCCAAGAGATGGACTTCAGAATGAATCTAAATTTGTGCCAACAGATATTAAACTTGAACTAATCAACAGACTTGCAGCAGCTGGTATAAAAGATATAGAATCTACAAGGTCTTGCATATGTCACTCACAAACTAAACTGACTCACAAACTATATTTGTAATAAAATAATAAATAGGAAAGAAGACTTCCTCTACAACCCATTAATATCTAAGTAGACTAAGGGAAGAAGATTATTATTCTATTGGCAGTGAATTTACAGAGTACAGAGAAATAACACCTGAGTCGACAGGAATGGCAACGCATGGGGTATTATGGGTGAAACAGTATACTCTGTTATGTCCATGGTACTGCTCATGTCTATAAATGACAGTTACCAGTTTCCATCAGGTGGGCTGTCAGCTTGTTTGCCAATGGAAGTTTCACAAAAAAATTCTGCCGAATTCAAAAAAGGAGGTTTTCACTTGTATATTATTATCATATTTCAGTTATATTATTTTTTTAATATTTGTTACCTCACAACTCTGTCACTTATAAATCAATTTAGACAATTCTTGCTTTATCTGAAATTTTAGATTAGTCCTATAGAAATTTTATCTAAATCACTCCAGTAGTTTAGATTTTAAATCAAAATAACTCTGACAATTGACATCTTTTTTAATATAACAAAAATTTTTATCACTATGAGCAGGCAGCTTGATTTAAGTCTTGTGTGCTGTATAGTGCTGTGTTCCCTAACTCACCTTTTACAACATATTATATATAAAACACGTGACACATTGTATTCTAGATTAGTTCCGAATGGAACATTTATTTTTAATAATCTACAATCATTAAAATTTAAGATCATACTTAAGTTGATATTAATTAATATTAATTTTATATACAGAATAAAGCAAACACATAATTATCCCAGAGTAAACATTAGGTATAATTTCAGTAAACATCACCAAAATTAGTGAAAATATTTAACTTATTTAAAAGGATTTATGATTCTAAACAAAATATTGTATAAAAATAAATATTAAAAAGTAATATTTTTACAATAGCTTTGTTAGCCCAAAATGGATAAAACAAATGAGTGATAGTGTAGATGTAATGAAGAATCTCAAAAGAGTGCCTGGCGTCAATTACCCAGTTCCAGTTCCAAATCTTAAAGGCTATTACATTGCTGTAAGATATTTTCTTCTGTTGTACATAAATCATCGACATCATCATTGCCTTACCTTTGTTGAATGTGATTGGTGTAGATTTTCTTTATTTATTAATTTATTGCATATTCATTGTCATCATCTATAATTTTTCTTATTTTTATTTTTAAAATGAGACTTTTTATTTCTTTAAAGGGAATACAACTCCAATCTGGAATTATCATAATAAATTTTAGAACTTTATTATTCAGTCTTGTATTAGAATTTATATATCATATATCATAATATAAATATGAAAATACTCATTCTGCAGAAAGAATGTAATGTAGAAGAAGTGGCAATATTCCCTGCTGGCTCAGAAGGATTCTCTCAGAAGAATTTAAACTGTTCAGTTAAAGAAAGCTTACAACGGTTCAAAGAAGTTGCTGTTCAAGCTGTACGGGATGGTCTAAGAGTTAGGGGCTATGTGTCGTGTGTTGTGGGTTGCCCATATGATGGACCAATCAGCCCAAAAGTTATTGCCAAGGTATCTGTGCATACAAACATACATTTTTATTGTATCAGCATCATATTATTGTACCATTCTCCTGTTATTCTTCTTCAGAAACACAGAGTTCGTAGAATCCATTCACTTTTTCTTTAATGTAACATTACTTTCGAAGATGTACCAAACGAGTAAAATCTAGGTGCGGAAATATATCTAAATATGTTTAAATTTATTGAATGCATCCCAATCTGTACCCTATTCGCTTCACGGAGCAATTAACGTATTACCTCTAATGGTTTACCAAAACTGAAAAGCTAATCCAACAAATTTAAGGCAGTTATATTTTAGCCAAAATTCTGAATCTTCATCTGTTTTAATTCTCGTGGGATCACCTACTCTTATCTCTTAATTAATATTAAAAATACGAAAGTTTGTAACAATGAATGGATGGATATTTGTTGCTCTTTCACGCAAAAACTACTGAACAGTCATGAACGACATTTGGTCCACAGGTAGGTTATATCCTATTTTAACACATAGAATACTATATTGATTCACGCGGGTGAAGCCACGGGATAGAGCTAATTGGTAATATATACTACTTCTACTAATAGTAGTTAGACCTCTGGTACTTATCAAAAATTTATAGGCTGTCTTTGTGGTACAAAAAGATCTTTGATATGGCATACCAAATAACGGTTTACATGCCATCCGATGCATGAAGCGAATAACTATCATTTCAAATCAATAACTCAGAGATTCTTGCCAGGATTCAATATTTGAAATCCTGGACCGCAGTTAAGTTCTTACTGGGCTGACACCGTAATTAATAATGAGAATATTATATTCAGATAACAGAAGAGCTACTGGATATGGGATGCTACGAAGTGTCGCTCGGTGACACAATAGGGGTCGGCACGGCCGGCTCTATCCAGCGTCTATTACGTGAAGTTTTGCAAGTGGCATCACCGGACAAGCTTGCTCTACACTTCCACGATACGTACGGCCAAGGATTGTCTAATTTGTTAGCTGGTTTGGAGGTATCTATTACAAGTTTTTATATTCTTACGTAGAGGTACTATCCATAATATATAAATCTTAGAAGATTTACCAGTAGTTGCTACGCTTGACAGGCGGGTTGACAACCGCAGTTAGGCTTCGGTAATAATTTAAGAGGAAGAGTTTCCTTCATCCCTCGACCATTAAATGCTCTTAGTGACCTTGAGACAAAGAAGAAAGGGGTAGCCCATTCTATGGCGGGACCACACGGCAATATATTTTCTTATAGCCTGCCATATAGCCTTTTTAACCGAATTAAAAAAAGGAGGAGGTTTTATGTTCCACTGTATTTTTTTATTTCTTATTTTTAAAATAAGACCCATTTATTAAAAGCAAATTCACTTTTGCTGACTATAAAAAGTTCAAATCGAAATTCATATTTCAATAATACCTTTTCATTTAAATAGGATCACAAACTATCTTCAAAATATTGTATTGTATTGTATAATCTTTATTATACATAATTTACATTGGACACATTGTAAGATATAATATACAACGACGAACTTATCCCATAGAAGGATCTCTTACAGTCAATCTTTGAGAAGTATCCGCGTATCTGCTAGTTAAATTTTATGCATCCCGCGATTTCGATGTGCTCGCATTTTTTATGTTTATTGACGTTGTTATACCGCGATTTTTGTTTTGATAGATTAATATCATTGCTCAGCATCTCGCTAGATGGCTATATACTCGTACTGCTATTATTTGTCAAAGCGTTTTATTGTTGTGAAAAAAAAAATACGCGGTCTGAGGGTAAAATAATGTAAAATTGCCTTTAAACATTATCACTAAAAATTTTTCACGTTTTATTGTGCTATAGGACTCTCTCAGTTAATCTTTTTTGTGTATACTACGCGTTAAGTTTTAGCATGCTATTATATTACGCATTATCTTCCGATTTTGAAACGTTTTTAATTATTCTTTTGCATTTTACCGTTTTGATGTCACATTAATATTTTTACCATTGGAATTGCTGGTCTTTTTTTCAAATTATTGTGAATATTTCACAATAAGATCGAAAATCAGAGTGTCACTCAAAAGAATTGATTTTCGATCTTGTGCCGGTCGCCTGCACAGGTTAAAAAAACTGCACAGGTCTATTCCCACACACGGTCCGTTTTACCTGCGCGGGCATACCTGCACAGGTAGACCGTCCGTACCCCTCTCCGGTGGACCGTAGCGTTTATGGTAGCCATTACAATTTTTTTTTCTTTTGTTTTGAAAAAAAACGGCAGGTTCAACCGTCACATAATTATATAGAAACCAACAAGGGAGTAAACCCTATAAAATGCAAAAATAAATGTGAAAATTGTTTTACAATTGGCGAGGTAATCGCGTAACAGAAATAAATCAGAATTGGGGACCTCCTTCTTTTTGCTAATGCCAATTTCATAAAACTCTAAATAAGTTTTAAGTATAAACATATTATATATCTCCAATAAGTCGCTTTAATAAACTTCTAGAACAACATTTATCAAATTGTCAAGTGTCAACAATATGAAACACTATTTATTATTAGCATGATAAAGTTCATATCATGTGCCTTATCTCGCGACAATATACTGTTGTTGTCCATATATTTCAAAATATGTATAATCTTTATGAACAGCTGAACTAATAACTGTGTTTGGTTGTGTCATAGCAACACACCCATTATTCTTGAAATTACGTCATCGAGACACATATTTATCAAACCGTTTTTTACAGTTTGGTATCAAGACGGTCGACTCTTCGATCTCTGGCCTCGGCGGATGTCCATATGCACGCGGGGCGAGTGGCAACTTAGCCACAGAGGATCTAGTCTACTTCCTGTATGGTCTGGGAGTCAATACAAACATCGATTTAGTACAACTCATCGAGACGGGTCGATACATTTCAAATTTTTTGGGCAAACCAACAGAATCTAAAGTAAATAGGGCCTTAGGAGATAGGTTCAAAAGTCACAATGATATTGTAAAAGTAGCGGCTTGCGACGTTAATTAATCTAGTGGTCTACCATGAAATGAAATTCCGAATTTTCTAGCTCAATTTCGTGTTTTGTTCGTAACGAAATGGACCCAGTAAATGGAGCTTAACGTTTCGTTGATCATAAATCTTATCCTAATAGTCCAGAGGAACGATATTTTAACATTTTTAATAATTTTAAACGGCATGTATTATGTAATTTTAACATCAAATTTCTATTTCATTCGCCCCAAATTTTCCGAAAATATTTCATGGTAGGCCCTCAGAATGTAAATTCTCTACTTGTAAACAAAGCAATACAAAGGTGAGTACATATACCTACATATAGTTTTATAAATATGTATTCTACATGTGCCTGTTTTTATACAAATAAAATTTATATTTTTAAAGCGCGTGTTTCTGTTTTGTCATATCAATAATTTTAAATATACCCTGTACCCAAACAACCATGTTTGTGATCACGAACGTATAACCATAGTGCATACTGGTTTTTATCAATTATGCGGAGTGGAGTGGGTACCGTGGCGAAGCGAGCGCGCACTTGTCCGGCGGGCGCGCAACCAGCTACTCGCTTTTGTATTGAATTGACCTTATTTACTCAATCTGATCTTGAAAGTGAGGTCGATAAACTCTTACGATACTACAACAGTCGTCAATCAGTTTATATCGGAAGCCGGTACCACTTTGTGTTTATGAACGACAATAACAGCTGGGAAGATGGTGGAAGTTAAGATAACCGAGGACATAAAAGTTGGTGGTAACAATCCCTGTTTTATAATTGCGGAAGTTGGACAAAACCACCAAGGTGACATTGAAATAGCAAAAAAGTTGATAAAAGCAGCAAAGGTGAGTGCCTTTATTATTCTTTGTTTATATTGTAAATAGGAAATTGCTGACAACGTCCATTAAGACGACAAAAACTATCTAATGGACAATAATACTTTTATAAAAATGTTTTAGTCATTGATATACAAAAAAAATCCAAGATGTACAATTAGATATTTTCTATAGATGACACTTTAATCGTAACTTTTTACGGAAACGATAATTTTTGTTTTTTTTTTATGTCAATCAACTAGCAAGTATTGTTATTATTTTTATTATATGAAGTAAATATATACATGCTTTATATAAATCTATAAATATCAAGTCTAATAATATCGAAAATAATTCTTCACCTATATAGTTTAATACCTATAGAGGTTTATTTAGGAGGTTCATTCCGATCCACTTTATTCTTGTTTATCATGTGTTGAACATAGGTAATTGCCTTTAACAACCAATCGAGGTCAAGGCGACTGTATAATTAAGTGGATACTTATTAAAATTAAAGATAAAGGACCAGGACTAAGGACAAAACCCATTCAAGTGCACGTTTTGAAATCAATTGAACGATGCACTGCTTCTTTTTCTATTAATACCAATTCAAACCAATACTATTGAACTGATGTGTATAATTTTACGTACCTATTATTAATGTAAATGAAACAAAGAAATCAATCGTTTATGATAAACAATGAAAGTACAATTTACATATCTAATATAGGCGATCACTGTCTACTCCTGATACTACTTTTCGTATGATCGATGGTGGCTCGATGTTAGGGTGGCACGTGGTATTAAAAGTTTCTAGACCGTCTTTGTTATACTCTGATGTTACTTACTCCTGATATATTTTAATGTTAGATCATATGGATACAGCATCGAGCATGAAAAATGTGTCAACTTTTTGTTAGAAAACTTACCAATTAGCTGACTCATTTTGACCCTCCACCAACCACGTGTTTTTTTTTTGCACACCGTTAACAATCACGGACGATATCGTCCCAGATGATAATTTGACCTGCTTAAAGATAGGGAAAAATTCTAAAGATTCGGGGAATATGTTCTCGATTTCTTTTTTCCATAGTTTTTAACTATTTATCACGCAAAATTGTATGAAAAAGTTGACCCGCTTTTCTCGGAGCATTTGTATGGCGACACTCTAACTATATAATCTAATTTTAATTTAATCAAGTCCTAATTAAATCTTATTGAAAATGGACAGTACCTAGACATAGTAAATAAGTACTACCTATATTTGACATATAGGTATTATACATACACCTATACACGAAGCGTTCACACTACAATACAGCAATAGATTGAATTCTAGGATATCAATTATAAGACTATTTTAACTGTAATCGTGTCATGTAGTATTTGATATTTTGCTAGTCTTGTGAGAAAGCTTCAAGATTTTCACCAAGCAACTTTATATTCGAAGTTGTGTGATAGAAACAAATGATATCCGTAGAATAACCAACCCCTCTACAAATGAATCTATCAATAGAATCGCTTCAATTAACACATGAGAAAAAACAAGACAGTGCACGTAGCCATCTCATTGATTCTCATAGACTTGTTAGCGATAACGATTCTACCAATAGTTTTGTTCTTACTTTGTCAAGAGGGGCAGAATGACCAAATTGTTACCAAATTGAACTAACAACACAGATCAGACAGACTATATCGGAACTAACAAAGGATTGGCCAGTTATTATATGACGACTAATATGTTGTAGATGACCAATGTTAGTGGTTTAGAATCGTTCTTTTGTCACTCTTGTCTTACCTGTGTCCTATCCTAAATAAATTAACATTAAAAATTGAGGTAGAAATATCCAAAATTTTCTTTATTAATAATAATCCGTGTATTATTCAATAATCGAATTTATACAATAATAATAAATTTTGCAAAAATAAATGTTTAAAACTAATAAAGATAAATAAATAAAATCATTTATTCAATATCATACAAACCACAACTGAAATGCGTAGTAATCGTACCTAGTTAGGTAGTCGTACTATTTAATTGCTTAATAATGAAATTGACAATCTCCACAGAATGTTTACTGGTTTGCTGCGGTGTGTTGTTGATTTGTGAACCTGTTTCCTTATCAAGGTCCTTATAGTATTATCAAAACAATTACTGTTGATGCAATAGATGCCCTAGGCACTTCTAAGTACTCTACACAACCTGTATGCTTAAGGAATTGCTGACCTTCTTCGTGCTTCATTTATCCATTATTAAAGTTTCACATTCTTCCTCTGCAAAGATTTTTTAGCCTAATTTGTTCAGTTTGGGTAGTACCTATAACTATTAATTCAAAACTTTCACATTGTCTATCTTATAAAAGTATGCATACTAGTATAGTATATACATAGTACTTAATTACTTTATAAAATGTCTATGGTACCTTACCTATCGGTATTTATTTTATTTGCATAACTAAACAAATAATATTTACCTAAGTACGAACTAAGTAACTAATTACTAAGTAAGTAATTTTTGAAACCTTCGTTCGAATGTCAATTCTGGGCGACATCAAATTAATTGTGAATGAATATAAATTTATCTCTCCGGTGATGGAAATCACTATGCCATTTTGAAGTATAATAAGTATGCCTGACAAAATACAGCCGTGTTTTTATTATAGTTTTTAAATTTATATTGTTTTACTTTCAGGAAGCAGGCGCAAGCTGCGTAAAATTTCAAAAAACATGTCTGAAAGAAAAATTCACGAAGAAATATCTTGAAAGGCCGTATAATAACCCTAATTCTTGGGGCAAAACGTATGGGGAACACAAACGTCATTTAGAGTTCTCCGAGAGTCAATACAGAGAACTATTTAAATATGCCCAAGAGGTCGGCATTTTATTTACTGCTTCTGCCATGGACATGGTAAGTTTTTTTTTAATGGAAAGAAAAAATCAAGTCATCTATCGTGATGAATTCATAAGGTTTTCAAGGTACCACAATAGTTTCTAGAAGTTATTACGTGGAAGTCTACCTAATACGGCATTGCTAACAATGAGACCAGTATACCTAAGTTACTAACAATTCCTCTCACCGTTAGATTACTACAATAAACGTCTAATATCAAAGCGTAGTCTTAACTTTAACTCTAAATCGGATACAAATTCAATTAAAAATAATTAATTTAGAAAGCACAAAGTTGAATTCTTAAAAAAATAGATATTTGACCAAATTTTTACTTCAAAATTAGAAAATAATTTATTTTTAACAGAACTACCTTTTTTATATCCTGGGAATATGTAGTTTGAAATTGGACTTCTTTTTTATTTCAGGTATCCTTCGACTTCCTGGTCAACATAAAAGTGCCATTTATCAAAATTGGCTCAGGGGACTCGAATAATTTACTTTTCCTTAAGTATGCAGCGTCAAAAAAAGTACCCCTTATCATATCGACGGGAATGGTGGATAAACAGGCTGTGAGGACCATTTACGACATAATATCGGCGCAACACAAACAGTTCTGTTTACTGCATTGCATATCAGCATATCCTGTACCGTACGAAGACTGCAATTTGACTGTACTGCAAGACTATAAAAATACCTTTGATATTCCCGTGGGATACTCTGGCCAAGAAATAGGGACAGCTGTGGCACTTGGCGCTGTTGCTTTAGGCGCTAAGGTATAGATTTTCTCTTAGTATTTATTTACCTATTTTAGCGAAATGGGAAGAGCTGTTTATTTATATTTGTTTGTACGAGTAAGAGAATGCCCTTATGTACTCTTAGGTTAATATTAGTGTAGGCCTTCTTATCTATCCTTAAACAAATAAAGTACTTATCTTTCTACTAAATGGCATGTAAGATGTATTTACCTAATATTTTAATTTAAAGGTTTGTTGAAATGAAATGATATTTATTGCGATGAATGTGGTAAGTTTAGGTAAAATTATACATTTTGTGTAACTTTAACATTTAGCCAGCTTGGCATGCAACATTTTTATATGTATTATTAACAATCTACTCTTAATTATAAGTTATATTACTAAAGCCACATTGAAATTATTGTTATAAATTTATACATGCATGTCATTATTTTTCACTCAGTTACATTAGTCATACATTTACAAATATGTATTGCATACAATATTCTACATTCTAGATTCAATTATATTATGTCATCTCTTATAAAAGTAACTCGTACGTATATAGGAAAGCATTTCTTAATAAAAATAATAATTATTCTTTCATATTCGTTTTGAACTGTTTAAATTAATATGTAACGATTTAAGCATGCAATATATATAAATGTTCTCTCTTTGTCTCAATCTAAAACAGCTGCCTACGTATATTTTTTTTTATGGATGAAAATGGAATGATAACTCCGCTTGCGCTAACGGAACACGCTGGCGGGGCACCAGTGAAGAGTGATAGATGAGAATGAACAGCTCAGTTAGCCCATCATGATGAATTCATCAGGAATCAACCATGATAGTTTCCAGGGGGAACCGCGAGGAGGTCGACCTGGTTGGGTATATTGCTAGCAATGGGATTTTCAGTCTCCATCACTAACAATCCCTTTCCCCCCACCTACGTATATTAGGTCTTATCTTCATAAGTGGTCATGATAAGTAATATTTCAGGTTTTGGAAAAGCATATAACACTAGATAAGACTATGAAAGGCACAGACCACGTGTGCTCGCTGACACCGCCCGAGTTTCAGCAGTTGGTACGAGATGTACGTGTAATTGAAGCCTCCCTCGGTACGCCCATCAAAAAGGTTGTCACCTCAGGTACGCACTTTGTATTGCTCATAGAAATTGTTATAACAATGTCCCTAATAAACTAAACGCATCCGTTGGAATTGGTATAGGATAAAGTTCTTTAACACTGTAATCACATGGGCATACGAGTAACTCTTATAGAATGTACACTTTTCTGGCCAGGGTTATTTAATATTAAGTAACTAATAGTAATATCTAAATTAAATTGTTTATATATATATATATATATATATATATATATATATATATATATATATATATATATATATATATATCAAGTACACAATCGTGTATTTAGTAATAAATTTTCGTAAAATAATAGATTCTAAAATTCGATTGAGGTTCTCTCGTAGATAGCGTCAACTTAACTTTAATCATAATATTAACTATTCTACTAAACATATATTACATTCATAGATTTACATACATCGTTTCAGTAATTAAGCTGAGAAAAATGAATAACCAACGAGACAGGCTAATTCTCACAAATATTATAAATGTGAAAGTAGATTTATTTGGTACTTTGTTACCTTATAACTCCTAAACACCTTTTTCCGTGATACATATATATTTAACTAAGTGCCTCTAATAAAATGCACTCAAACTTTATAATATGCCTTAAAATACAATTCTTTATACATGAAATACAAGGAGAAAACTCGATGTAAAACAATAGCATTGGGATTTTCAAATACCTATAAATAATTACTTATTAGGTGGAAAAGGATATAGACTACTTTTTATCTCGATCAGTAACAAATAAAATTGCGGGTAAAAGCTAATATTTAAATAATATTAAAAATATACATTTCAAATTATAAAAACACATCAACTACATTGGTATGTATGTGAATGTAATGTTTTCTTTTGTTTAGAGAGAAACGAAAAAAATACTCCCCAAGAATAAATTTATGGCGCGTTCGGATAAAAATACCGATCTTATGAATACACTCACAGATGGCGTAGGCTATCACGGGATAATAAAAAATGTGCGGCGTAAAGTTTATTCTTATAAGAAAAACAAACAATTAATATCTGACAGCAAAATTATTCGCCACTTATATATTGATCATTATGCTAAAAATTATGTTGTTATTGATCATTGTCTAAAGAAACATGTCAAAGTTTACTAATTACTGTTTGATTTAAAAAAAAAACAGCTGAACGCTGTTTTTTTCTCTTCCTACATTTTTATTAAATACTTTTAGTAATGTGATTGTAAACTTTTTGTTACAGAAATACCATGTATTGACAAACTACAAAAGTCTCTCGTTATGGGTAGCACGAAGAATAAGGGCGAGATATTATATCCCGGGGACGTAAAAATCAAGGTGGCCGAACCTAAAGGCTTGAACGCACTGCATTTTGAAGAAGTTATCTATAAAACCCTTGTATGTGATAAGAAAGAAGACGAGCCATTAAACAAGAGTGACTTCTGCTAAAGAGCCTCATTTTATACAACGTTAGAAATGCGTTCGGGATGATCATGTATTTACATACAACTAATGTAGGCTAAAGTGATATGACAACGTACCAACACTAAGAGTAACTGAACACATTCCTTCATATTTACTTATGTGTATCTTTACGCCAGATCCCTCACAGTATAAACAGAAGAATTGAGGGCAATCGAGCGAGAATTTCTGATGCCAATATATTAATCCACATTATTAAGGCTATGAATATAAAATAAAGTTATGCACTCAAGACTGTTGGCAACTAAGTTCTTTAAGTGAATAGTTATTGAAATCACGTAGATTTTTTATGTGATTGTTATATGCAAACAGATATTTATTTTTTTTTTCTTTATTAATAACAGCGTCTATATTCTTCCCCCTTATTCATAAAGACATCAAACCTCTTAGAAACCTATTTTTGCTTTTGAAGTGTTTCGTTGTACTTATTTCTCAACTTGACAGATCGTGACAAAATATTCTAATAGTTAAAATAGGTTTGTAGGGCGTTATTGTTTTTATGAACAAAGGAGTTAATCTACAAGATGAAACAAAATCATTAGCATCCTTCTAAAAGAGTTTACATTCTAACAGAGAAATTAAACATTTTCTCCTAAAGAAACATAGATCGAAAAATAAAAGGATAATAGTTTTCCATTTGAACGTTACTGTTGGATGCGCCGTGTGTTTATTGTATTAGTGTGGGTGTTCAAAATTTTTGGTTGTATATCGTCTCATGTTTATTAAAAAAAATTAATCTCACTATTAGAATATTCATTGACTTGTAGGCAGGGATGTTAATGTATCGAGTTCACCCGTATAAATAAACATAATTATGAACAAAAACTACTCACTAAAATGAACTTTCAAAACCTTTAGATATAAGTTTATTTTTTATATTCTTAAACTATTTGTAACTATATAATAATTTGTGTATTATTAGGTATTTTCTGTATTTGGAAGATTAACTGATTAGTTACATTATAAGCACTGTTTAGAATACAAACCAAATACAGTGTCGTAAAGGACAATGAAAAAGGAATGAGCATAATTATATCGAATTTATTTTATGTTATAAATAAGTAGTATTTAAGTGTAAATTTTATACTCGATAAAATATCACAAATTTAATGTATAAAAATTTTGAATACTCATAAAAGTTGTTTTATGTCTTTATATTATTAAGTGCCAACATTTATATTCAATGTATCCCATTAAAAGACCTTATTAGTTCCAACTGCCGTTTACCGAGATTAGTATTTTCAGAATATTTCCACGTTCACTCACTTTGACGTCAACACTCATTCATAAAGTTATTATGACGCGTTAACGTTATTTGAAGCTTTAATATACGTTGGCGTGAGACTCGTCGACCTTATTGCGCCGCAAACACCGCGATGTCTATTTTGGGTAGATATGTTTAGGTGTAACTAATTATTGCAACAGTCGCACTGCATGCGAGCAAAACACAACGGCAAAGTCATAAGGCAAAAGACACGACACGCATTTTATTAGCGAGTTGGTTTTATTTTTATTGACGGACATCGCGAGCAGCGGTTTAGCGGCATGTGGTGTAATAGAACATAAGTGGCGCAGCAGGCGCGCGCCGTACGTTGGCTGCGTGCCCGCCCAGCCGCCAGTCCCCGGAACGCCGGCTCGATCGCCGCTTGCGCCGCGCCCGCACGCACCCCAAGCGCACCATCTCCAGCGCACCCCAATATCCTTCTACTTCCTGCTATATTTACTATGGTTACGCACTTATTCAAACCCGATAGAAATTCCATGAAACGATTGATAATGTACAATATTATGCTATTACTTATCGAGTAATTTTAATATTATCGCGCTTAGAAAGTCTGAGAAATAGAAGCCGGTTCATAGCAGCCGATTTAGGTCGCCCGGTTCAGTGCTAGCAGCGGGATATTTTTATTGCCACTGTTGGGTGCAGACGTACGAGCGCCTCGAGCACGTTGTTAAATCAATTATTATTTATAGAGTAGAATCGTAAAGCTCATTCCATAAACATTTGCATATGTGTTGTCGACTGTAACTTCCTTTAAGATCGGGCGGGAATTGCTTTCGAAATACTGACATAGTGTGTATGATTGGAATGTGACTGATCGTTTAAACTTATACCCAATAGTGCGGCATTTAGTCAAAACCGTAGTCATTTGTGAAGTGCATTTGTGTAATTTGTGTGGTGTGTTGGAAATATGCATCACTTATATCCACTAGCGAAAGGGGATCCGCTCTGTCCGCTGGGATTCCACCCACAGGTGCGGTGGCCGACGCGATGCAAGCGCTGCTTCCGCGACTACAAGGAACATGGAGGTGGCCGCAAGAAAGAGGATGATTTCACAGCATCTACACCTAGTCTTTCCAGTTGGAACTCGCCGACGTCACGGTCAGTGTGTGCATAAAAACTAAAGGCGTAATTTTACATTTCAGAGTTTCAAAGCCTACCAGTGCCAGCTTTTGGTACATAGTGTACAGCGCATATAAATGCGATGTCTTAAGAAGCGCTGAGAGTCGCATCAAATTCAACATTAGTAATATTAGTAAATTAATAAGGTAAATCGTCATTTGGCACTCGGTGACGTTTTTTACGCCAATAGAAATTTTGTCCAGAGACGCTACATAGACAAAGGCCATGCGAGTTTCTGCAGGTACGATGGATGGATACAGACTTATATGCGGTAACGGAGTAAAAACATAATTTGTCACCACTACTTTCTTGTCTAGAAAATGAAAAAGTAAAATCCGTAAGTACAACTAAGGGAACAAACACAATACACTGTGCAAAATATAAATTCGAAATAAAATACCAGCTACTTGGTCGGCGTATTAATAATAGTACTGAGGCTATATATGTATATTATCCTTTTATGGAGATAAACCCGTACTCAACAATGTAATTTTAATGGAAATGAAAACAGGTTTGATATACAAGTTAAATATTATAGATAAATTAGGTATAATGTTTTTCATTTGGAACGAGTTTGGATAGAAGTTATACATATGATTTACATTGTTTTTTTTTTTTACTTTTCTCATATTTACGTAAACACAGATACTAAACAAAATAATCTGACTAAACGTATTAAGATACAATAATCTTCAATGTTCTATTTTTTTTATACAACTTAGAATGGCAAACAAGCTGACGGCTCACCTGATGAAAAGTGGTAACCGTCCAATATACATTAAATACCTTTACTTATTAAAATAATTCTTTAAAATTTACTGGCTAGGATGCTGACTACGTATCGTAAATAAGCAAATTTATAACTAAAAGTGGATGATTAAACTAATATTAATAAATTTACCTAATACAGCGAAATATATAAATGTATTATAAACAAAAACGAGAACTGTGGCAAAATTCCAAGTTCCTGACCGTTTGAAGAAATTCTTTGCATTTCGACCGGCATCGGTCGCATCGACGAATTGAAGCATTGCAAGTCTACTGCATCCACGGTCCACGATGAGAAATAGTCTCTCTAGTAGTCCTTTTTTCATAGTTAGCTAACTCCGCTCGCGTAACTACGTGAGACAAAGAACTGTAATTCTAAAAAATAAATGCATATTTAGAGTACCTAAATATGCATTTCTTTTTTAGAATTAAAGTTCTTTGTCTCACATTATATAGTGTATATAGTAATATATAGGTATTTTCTATATTCCTGTTAAATAAGTATGGCATTAGTTTTTGTAACACAAATACGAAGTCCCATCTTACTCGTAATACATGAATTCAACATGCATGAAATCCAAACGCAGTGGGGTTTAATAGTGCATGTAATTCATAAGCATTCCATCCATGTGTTGTCGAGAAATTTTCAAATTTTTTTTCAAAACTTATTCTTAGCAGCATAATCAACTTCACGCCATACGACATAACGAGTGAAAGACTTGTTACTCCTGCATTGTAAAATTTCATAACTGTTTAATAGAGACTCACATACAGATATGCAAACCCCTCCTTTATACCGTCTGTTTTGTCTTCTGCGAATATCCCCATTTCCAATTTTATCAAGCAATGAAACTCTGAATATAACCTTCTCCAAACCTCGACTAGGAATTTGAAATTTCTGTATATCGCATATCTACGGCGGACAGTAGAGGAACATGTTTCAGTTTCATAAGCCACTAGCAACTAGCACTATTTTAAAATCTTTGTCTTCTCACGTTGAGGTATTCTGGATGCAAAGATGCAGCGTTACTTTTCCGAGCACTGTCCTACTAAGTTAAATCTGTAGACAGATATTTGTATGGGCGAGTAAATATTTTCTTTCGATGCGTTACGCTATTAATTCATAATCATCAAAGATAATTGAACAAAAAGATAATCTTTGGAATAGACTTTCCAGTAAAAAAAGATTCTTTGTGCGGTAGACTTCGTAACTGCAGGTGCAGGTATAATTCAAATACGATCACTTGTGTTTAGTTGACCAAAAAATAAAATAAAGGAAATGCTAGATGTCATGTCGTATAGGGAGATCAATGATATGGTCTAGAATAGAGCTTTACATGAATTAGTTGCTCCAGGGGGAAAAGGATTGTTAACAATTGAGGTTGACAGCGCCATTGCTAGCAATATGCCCTGTTAGGTCGACCTCCACGTGGTTCTCCCTGGAAACCATCGTGAACAATTCTTGTTGAATTCGTCACGATGGGCTAACTGACCTGTTTCATCCTCACCTATCATCCTTCACTGCTGCCCTGTCAGTGTATACCGATAGCGCGAGTGGGGTTACCGTTCCATTATGGCCCGTTAAAAAAAAATTGTTGCTTCGATAGGATGAAATTCTTAAATAAGAAGAGAAAGTTGACTAGAAGCAAATTTTGAAAAAAGTCGTTTGCTTAAGAGCTTCTGTCCCATTCGTTTATCTGCTGTAAAATAATTATGTTCGCATAGTCATGTTTCGGTTTGAACGGCAGATAGTGAAATTAGAGTTCCGAGGCGTAACACCTTAATTCACAGGAATGGCAACGCATAAGAGACATCATGGGCGACACAGTACATTCTGTTGTCCATGGTACTACTGTTCATGTATATAAGCGACGATTACCACTTTCCATTAGGCGGGTCGTCAGCTTGTTCACCATTTTAAATTACAAAAAAATGTTTATATAAGAATTCCCCCGAATGACTAATATGTATTTTAGTCGAGAATTCTCGACTAGCTCCAAGACCATCCGGGACTCTTAAACATGAGCGGCACTAACATACATATAAGTCAATTCGTGTTTTCTTACATGAAACATTTAACAATATTGACCATAGACAGTTATTAAAACAGTTCCACTTTTCAAAGTTGTACCCAAAATTACGGAAAAGCTAGTTTCAAGACTGGGTTTGTGGTTTTTTTTTTTTTTCAATTAATTCCATTTCTCATAACAAGACAAGATTATTTCATTTTTATCTTGATTCAATTATTCTCGACACGGGTTTGCCACTAGCTTTGATTCAGTTCATTTACGAATCCAATTTTTCATAAATCATTGTTCCGATGAAGATATCGAATATCACTGACAAATTTTGAAATAGATAAGTTAGATATTTCTAAATTGAGCCCGCTCTGCTCTCATTATTGGCGTTAACTCTGTTCTCCATCAGGTTCATTGTCAATGTCAATATACACGTACTAAAATATTTGAAACCGGGTCAACACGAACGCAGTCTACGTGTTCATCGTCTTTGCATTTTGAAACCTATAATCGTCGTTATATTGAACAAAGAGGCTTTTTTTAAATATGCCCATAGGGGGGCTCCCCCCCCCCCCTTATGGGCATATTTGAAGCCCCCCCCCTACCCGAAAAAAGTTTTTATCCATTTCCATGTCACCCCCAAGTTCGATATCTAAATTCTGGGTTTCTTAAAAAAAGCGTCACTCCCTAGGATTGATATCGCTTTGAATCGAGTCAATGTATTTCAATTTTGATTTTTTTTTTACAGTATAGTAAGTAAGAAAAAACGTTGAGTTCATGGAAATTTTAATATTATTGGATTTAAATTAAAAGATTTGTTAGCACTGCACTGCTACATTCTTTGTTCATTTAAAAAATATATGTGTTAATATACTTTTCATTATTTATAGTACTGCCCAAATCATATTATCTTCCGGTTGTCTATATATGACGGATGAGCCAATCTTCATTGCACTTTTCGCAACTATATTTTGGGACGATTCAATACAGAACGCTGCCACACATTTGGACTTTATAAAAAGCATCACTTTTTTATTATACAACTTAGAATGGCAAACAAGCTGACGGCCCACCTGATGGAAAGTGGCAACCGTCGCCTGTAGATATAAGCAGTACCATGGACATAACAGAGATTACTGTTTCGCCCATGATACTCTCTAAGCGTTGTTATTCCTGAGGACTCAGGTGTTATTTCTCTGTACCCTGTAAATTCACGCCATATCCCATCCTTCAAACCGAAACACAGCCATGCAAATACAACTGCTTTACGGTTGAAACACGAATGAGACATAGGTACCCAAGCAAACAACTTTTGTACAAAGTCTTCCTCTGACTGGTTTTTCAAGTTATCCCGTTTCCTACATCATTTAGGTACAGCAGTTTAATATATGTATAATACATACAAAGACGATTGATACGTTATGAGTCAAACGTTACGAAATCTAAAGTCAAGCTAAATAAATACAAAAACAAATAAAAACAAAATAAAGACGCAAAATTTAGACATACCTGAAGATTTCTAGAATTGATATTATATCAACCGTTAACTGTCCACTGCTAAACATAGGCCTCCCCCATAGACCACCATAAGGAACGATCACGAGCCACCTGCATCTATTGACTCTCTGCAATACATCCATCTAGTGAGGGATCGTCCTATACTGCGTTTGCCTATATAGGGTCACCATTCTTCGAACTATGTGACCAGCCCATTGTCACTTCAGCTTGCATATTCTTTACTTTGATTCTTCTATGGATATCCTCATTTCGGATTCTATCACGCAAAGAAACTCCGAACATAGCCCTCTCCTTAGCACGCTAACTAAATTGAAGTTTTTGCATATAAACACAGAATAGGATCATGTTACAGTTCTATAGATCATCACCACCGGCAACAAGCACTGGTTAAAGACCTTCGTCTTCAAACTTTGAGTTTAAGTCAAAGAATCTTCAAAAAAACTTATACGTCTAATTATTTTAACATTTTAACAAGTTATTGTACGTTTTTTACATCCCTAAAAAAATGGAAAACAAATCTGTCCATACATACATCGCTACGGAACATAATAAAACCCGTGATAATTTTACCAGGGAGAGACATTGTATAAAAGCTGCTTGCTTGGGAATCTCTGTCCCATTCGTGGTTCAACCGTGAAGGAGTTGTGTTCACATGGCTGTGTTTTTGAAGGAATATGCTGCTTTACAAACATTGAAGGTATGATAAGGAGGATGAATGGTATTTTTCACATTTTCTATAATAAATTAAAAACTACGCAGCATAAAAATTAATAAAAATCAGTTTTGAAACTGTGCAAATGAACGCCTTTTATATTATGCCCACATGGACTACTACCCCTCATAGACACATTTTGAGTGCAACTTCTGACCCCCTAGTAAAAACGATAGTAGACAGACGGTTGAACAAAGTCATACCTTAAATATTCCTTTAATTTGTATTATAATTCTGTAATAATATAATTTCTATATAATATTTTTTCTTAAAAAAATATGAGTTGAAAAATGACAAAAATATGAGTCTCCTATACTAAATTGTTAGTCGGACAAATTGTATATGTTGTTAATGGTTAATTGTTGGCTGATATACATTTTATTGTGTGTTCACTAATAAATTCTGTTACATTTACACAGAAGTCGTGATGAAGAAAATGGCGCAGGGGTGGAGAAGACAGGTCGCGGCTGGGCCTCTAGTACAAATCTCAGCTCTATCGAACCTCCCAAGAAAGACGCCTTCTCCACAGGTACATCCTTACTGCACTTATTATTATTATAAATGTGAAAGTGAGTTTATTTGTTTGTTACCCTGCCTGCAATGAAATTACAGCTTTCCACCAGGTAGACCGTCAGGTTGTTTTCCATTCTAAGTTGCATAAATAAACTACAACAGATGAAGAAAGATATAGGCGACTGTGTATCCCAGTCATGCGGACGAAGTCGCAGATAAACGCTAGTGTTATTAAATGTATTTAAATTGTTATATACATCGCCTTCGTATCGTGATGGTACGAGCATAAACCAATTTAGGACACGAACTTTTTTAATATAGGTTGAGTGTGGATGTTCTGTTCGACCAATTTAAGAATTTGACTTTACCAGAGGAAGACTGTGTACAAAAGTCGTTTGCTTGGGTACCTCTGTCTCATTCGTGTTTCAACTGTAAAGCAGTTGTGTTTGCATGGCTGTGTTTCAGTTTGAAGGATGGGATATGGCGTGAATTTACAGGGTACAGAGAAATAACACTTGAGTCCTCAGGAATGGCAACGCATAGGGAGTATCATGGGCGAAACAGTAATCTCTGTTATGTCCATGGTATTGCTTATATCTATAGGCGACGGTTGCCACTTTCCATCAGGTGGGCCATCAGCTTGTTTGCCATTATAAATTGTATTAAAGACCATAATAGGGTTGCACTTTTAACGTAATATATTCTTTGAAATCGTCATACAAACATGATGACGACAAATTATTAAGCGTGCCAATGATACCTAAGGTCGTTGGCACTCTGTTCTTTTGCCTACCTAGTAATGGACTTGTCTTAAAATCTATATTTTCAGGATAAGTTTATTACGTATTATTCTATTAGTACGAGTGTAATGTAGAATGAATTATGAAAAATAATTATTATATACAAAATAAATTCAAAACTTGTAATGTTTTTTGCGCAGGGTTCAGTAGAATCAGTGCATCGTGGACGTCGACGCCAGACTTGGGAGCCAATGACACAGACACCACGACTGCAGTCACCTTCAGCCTCAAATTACCTAAACGGAAGCTCACTGGACCCTTAACCTCCCCGGATACGGGGCAAAGTAATACCGGTATTTATATAATCCAACCGGATTTAAATTATTTCACGACTTCCAAAAAGGACGTAGCCAACATTAATACGGAACCAACACGGAAGTACTTACCTTAATCCTATCAATTGTAAAAATAATTACCAAAATCGGCTCAGACTCGTCGAAGACATTGGTGTATTTTTGGCATACAAAAAATATTAAGGAATTGAGAACCTCCTCGTTTTTGAAAAGAATGAATTCGAATAAAATTCGATACACAGAGCATTATCTTAGATGAATATATTCATAAAGCCATAGGTTTCAACTAGTTTCATTATATATATAAATTAATTACTAACTCGAAGTAGTCTTAAGTACTACTCGTAATAAGATTATTTCCTATAATAGTATTTATATAGTATACTAGTAGTTTTATAGTACACATAATTTTTTCTATATTAAAAATTTATATTTTATAATGTTCGGCAGACACAGTGACGTTACGGCGACCTTCAGCATCGCCACCCCCTGCAGCCGCGGTCACCATCACAAAGAACGACTCGCTCGCGGAGCGCGTACGCAAGGTAAACAATAAATTTTACTACGGTCAATAACATTGTCGTAAACTCTCAACGACTAAATAAAATCTACACGACAAAGACTAATACTCAAGCTGATACTCATAAAAATAAAACCGGTAAATTGAACTCGCTCTTACAGACCGCGATTTCCGTAATTCATACCTATATAAATGGAGTATCATTTATAATAATAACAAAACAAAAGTGGAAAACTACGCAGCCTAAAACGAAATAAAAAATGCCTACTAAAGGTTACATTTCAATGTAACCCTTTAACACGTTATTACACTTGAATTACTAAGTATATTTTAACTTTTTAGGCAAGGAACTCGATTTCAAATACTATTTCTGAATTTTTATTGTCTATTATAGTCTGTATAAAACCAATGAACGATATTAAAAAAAAAATATTTTAGCTACCGGCATCTGTATTGTAAAAAGATGGTACTTAATCTTTAATTTGTCTTACGTAACTGAATGCTAAAAATGAAACACAGAAATTATATTTTTCATTTTAATATAAATATGTACTAAAAAGCTTTAACTGCCAGCCTGTTTAAGCTGGCATACGTTTATAATTATCTATCGACCAGTTAATAAAGACACTACATAATAACTCTTGAAGCACTTATACAGGAATTTATCTACAAAACAAAGTCGTATAAACATAGATTTTTTTCACCTTGAATCCCCATATAGATAGTGTAAAATAAATTAAGTGGGTCATGCCAATACAACTGTCTGCGTTTCAACCCAGCTTGTGGCGATGCGCTTCTCAAAATAAACACAAAAGGTCGCCATCAAAGTTAGAGCTTGGCAAAATGCAAGACGTTATAACTGATTGAGGAAATGGCCAACTTATGCAATTTATAGATCATAAAGTAATGTAGATTTAAAGAATATTTTTCATGCTGCCATCACGCCGTATTTGTATAATATAACCAAAGTACCTATAATTTGCTATGAGTCTACATGCGACATATGTCGTAATGTGTTTTTTTTTTTATGAATGATAATGAAATGGTTGCCCCGCCTGCGCTACTGGTATACACTGGCGGGGTACCAGTGAAGGATGATATGTGAGGATGAAGCAGGTCAATTAGCCCATCATGACGAATTCAACAAGAATTGGTCGCGATGGTTTCCAAACTCCATTGCTAACAATCCCTTTCCCCCCATGTCGTCATTTACTTATTACATCCACATCATGTGTATATTCGTCACAAATCGCAGTCGAGAATCACTTTGTCCGTGGATATAATTTTTATTTATGCTAATCTAACCGATCTAGTGTTTTAAATCCAATTAGACAAAATCTTGACATAAATACATTTTAGTCCAATCATAATAAAACACTTAAAATTACATACTGTAAGGCAAATTTAATGTGCAAGTACACAGATGACGCAAAAAGATATATTGTCCGCAAACAAAATGCCCATCATCTACGCGGACCTTCAAACGATATTGCAGGTTCATAACTTCATTATCCCAAGCAAATCATTAGCTCAGTATATATTTAGTTTAAGTTTCCACAGATTAATTTCCAATATTTATACCTATTGTCTCTGTTGCAGATGCAACTTATAAAAAATCAAAACAGCTTCGAAAAGGAATCTAGTATGGAAAAAGAGAGAGAACGAAGAAGTTTGTCCAGAAGTAAAGAAGAAGAAAAGCCAGTACGATCTAAAGAAGATAGAACTGCCACAAAAGACGATGTAAATTTTTTAATGCAGGTAAAAACAATCTACTACATTTTTTAATAATAAACTATAAGTGAGTTTATAACTTAAGTCGATAAAAAAAAATTAAAACAGTATTATATGCAACGTTTCCATAGAAACCTACTTCTACTACCATATCACCGAAAGGGCTATTATCTGATCTTCATTCGACCCTAGACATCTTGAATGTGGAATTTGTTAATACAAACAATTTAAGTTTAAACTTTGTTCTATAGTTAAAAGCCATCCCGAACCTAATTAAACTAACCCTCAAATAATGAAATCACATTAAAATCAGTCTATTGACATCGTCACATCTAAGTGAACCCTTCTCTTTTTATGTCGGTACTTGACCTACCAAGCTAAGCTTAAATTTGATAACTAGATACGGTCAATAAGGATTACCTTATGAAATCTAAACGTCCCTAAAAATAATTTAGATCCATACAAATTAAACTGCTATTAACAATTAACATGTCACATTATAGGTAAAAAGCTCGCGAAATTCGTCATCAAACACAAAACCCCCAATTCGAGGCGGACCGTCGCGCGAGAGAGATGAATCTGATGACGATGCTAGTACAGCTGGCACGGTCACCACGGAAACCACTCTCGTAGACGCCAATGTTAAGGAATATCAGGTTAGAATACCCCATTTTTTTCTGTAAAAAAGATGAACTGTTCATTTTATTGTGTTTTATACAGAGTTAATGAAAAACAATGGTTACTGATGTCGGTAACTATATAATTAACTATATAAAGTTATTATAGTTTGAAACTGGTGAACTCATATACTGATACCCAATTATATGAAATACTTAGAGAAATTTAATTCAATCCATGAAAATTCACTTGTAAAACAAAGTGAAAAAGGTACTGAATTGTCGTACACGAAGCACCTACCAACGAATCCCTAGTCGTCAATTACCGGATAATAACAATTTACACCACACCCATAGAGAACAGACGCCGTATGTCTGTTTATTTACATGCAGATTAGCTTAATTCGGCTTATTATTTTCATTATATTCACAATCACTTTACTTATTTTTTGTATATCATGGTTTACTTTACTAGAAACCGGAATGATCTGAATTAACAATGTGACCTAAGTGGTTCCTGTATATATGAGCAAATATACGTATACAATACGTTCGTCTACATGGGTTATCCCCTCAAGGACACAGTATCTTGCAGCATAATCGTCGCTGTATTAGTTTATCGACATCTTATTCTAAAGTTCAATTTATAGCACCGAGTTATTGTCATTAACAAATCTAGCTACCTAATTACTAGCAATATACTCTATAAAATCAAGCTCCACGCCATTCCCCCTAGAAAATATCATAATTACTTTCTGAAGAATTCGTCACAAAGATTCACCTATCTTGACTTCATCCTTGCCTATCTCTAATACCTCGCCAGCATGTATCTATAGTTCAAGTAAGGTTTCTATCTCATTTTCGTCTTTTATAAAAACAACATCCAAAAAAAGCGACAGACTGTGATGTGGAAACTTTCTCATAAGTATGTGTGAGCTATCGTCCCAATCTACCTGCTACTATATTATCACTAAAACACGAAATTACTATCACTAAATCTTTATCTTCGTAACGGCGAAAAACTTGCACGATAATGATATTAGCTTTACTTAATATAATTATGTTTTATTAATATTGATCATTCAAATCCATTTTAGTAAGTAAAATAAATAAATAACTACATAAAGGAAGTAAAATAAAGTCCAAATAGACAAATATCTATTTTAATTTAATATTAAAATATTATATATTCTCTATTTTAGATTACGTATGACAGAAAGAGGAACTTTTTGCTTCCTTTAAATTCCTCTAAATCATTTTATAGGAACTTTAAAAAAACTATCTAACTATATATCTAAAACCTAATAGTTTATAGGAATCCTAATTTCCAACCCAAATCCTTAAATGAAGTTCGTATTGCCTTTGCGGTGCGGCAAGTGCACTTCCTCCTTCTTTCTAGATTTGAACTGTACTAAGAGTTCTTCTAGGAGCAAATTGAAAGTCTAAGACAAGAAGTTGACACACTGAAGAAACGTTGCGAGCGAGTTGAGAAAGAAAAAAGTGATATTTTGCTCCGACGGCTGGCAAACATAGACACGGCCAATAAGTACACGACGGGGCGGTCCTCGGAAGTCTTAAAGTTGCAACAGAAAGTCAACGAACTTACATCTCAGAACGAAGATTTGAAGGATGAGAAGAAACACCTCTCATTAAGAGTCAAAGAGATTGAATGTGAATTAGAGGTAATTAACATTTAGCAAATTTTTCTTTAATTTTTAACTAATAAATACACGTATGAATGTGATTATGCGCAAAAGTTTATTATTATTTTACGCAAAAACTACTGAACAAATTTAAATGAATTTTAATATGTAGACAGGTTATATGGAATGGACACATGGAATACCTTATATACTGATTCACGCGAATGAAACCGCACTAGTACATAACTAGGAAAGTGTAAAGCTAATAGTACCTTATAGATCTTAATTGTCGCATTATACAAATAAGTTATATGTGTAATGTAATAATTGTTATGTTCAATCTATATTAATATATTACGAGTTATCTAATTATAAATTAATAATATTTTTCAGTCTCGACCATCCGTTGAGGTGCAAACGCGTCAAGTAGAACAACTACGGGCAAAGTTGCTTGCAGCTGAAACCCTCTGTGAAGAATTGATGGACGAGAATGAGGACATGAAAAAAGAACTGCGAGATCTCGAGGAGGAAATAGAGGAAATGCAGGACAATTTCAGGTAAATTTGCACCCAACTACCAAAGGGAGACTTTGTACAAAAGTCGATTGCTTGGGTACCTCTGTCCCATTCGTGTTTCTACCATGAAGCAGTTGTGTTTGCATGGCTGTGTTTCGGTTTGAAGGGTGGGATATGGCGTGAATTTACTGGGTACAGAGGAATAACACTTGAGTCCTCAGGAATGGCAACGCATGGGGGGTATCATGGGCGAAACAGTATACTCTGTTATGTCCATGGTACTGCTCATGTCTATAGGCGACGGTTCCCACTTTCCATCAGATGGACCGTCAGCTTGTTTGCCATTCTAAGTTGTATAAAAAAAAACTCATTAAACAAACAATTACTTATAATAACAAATTCACGATACCATTAATTTTCATTGTAGGGAAGATCAAGCTGATGAATACTCTTCATTGAGAAGAGAATTAGAGCAAACAATAAAAAATTGTAGAGTGTTATCGTTTAAGTTAAAAAAGACTGAAAGGAAAGCTGAGCAGCTGGAACAAGAGAAAGCTGACCAGGAGAAAAAGCTTTTAGAAGTAAGAATACTAATTTATTTATTCTTATAACATTAAGCATTCACGAATAGTCCTCAACTTGATCAATATAATATCATAAAGATTAAATCTATGCTTCATAAAGATTTAATCCTTTAAATTGGAAAAAAAAAATTGTCAATGAAGTATAAGACTTGTTTCTTTTGATACTATTTTTTATAAAATATTATCATAATGTTTAGATAATTGTAGATTATTTTATTGTCTTGTACCTTCGATGTTTATAAAGATAACTTCACGTTTCTTGCACCATTAGAAAGTAAAAGTTTTGCTTATATGTAATACGTTAATAAAGAAAAACGGATACAGATTGACTTATAATGAAAAAGTCATTAAAGACACAGATTTTAATATCTATTATTTATTACTATTTTCAGATAGTAGGCGGGCAGGAGGGTCTGCAACGAGAAAATCGGATAAAGGAATTGGAACAGGAGGTTGCACGATCAACAGAGGTTGCGCTTCGACTACAACGTGAACTAGCCGAAGCTAATAGCAAACTCGCAGCGGCCTCAGGCGCGCCGCCCGCCAACCTCAAAAAACAACCGACTATTGATGGGGTACGTGTGCATCTTTATTTATAAAAACCATACTCATTAACATCGTTGATTTCATAGATAATAAACATCAAACATTTCAACATGTCTGACTAGCTTTAGTGATAAAATCTTAAGCATAATATAGACATAGTTAATTATTTAGACGTAGTTTCTTGGGGAAAATGATTTCTCGCAGGCGAAGTTTAGTTGAGTCATCTTTAAAATGTTTAAAAATTTAAATGAGATTACTATTTTAATATTATTTTCTATGTTCACAAATACGAGAGATTGAGATCCTCTGCGACTGATATTCCGAGATATTTACATTTGGAGTATCATGTGTTAATTTGAGGCTTGTATGTTTTAAGACTAAACGATTTAAACAACTGTAAAACTACATATCACAAAACAAATATGAAGAAATACTGAAAGCAGTTTTAAATAGTGGCCTAAGCATTGAGTATCACTATCTGGTTGGTAGTTATTCTGTACTACATGTCAATAGTACGAAATAACTATCATATAGTGCTAAATTATTGTTAAAACAAAGATGTTATAATAGTTATTATAAAAATTTTGGACAAATTCTGGACAAGAAATGGATAAAAGTAGCACAGGTCTGTACATTATGAAACAAATCGGGTATGATTAGATAAAGATGAGAAGATAGAAGATGAAATTAACACTGATACATTTTATTCCAAGTCCTTATGTATAATCACCATAGAGTAAAATTGTGTTAGAATGTACGCATATGTATGTAAGTAATAAAAACATATTCATACCCCTAGAAAATATCACGATCGTCCCTTACACGAGGAGGTAGTCAGGAGGATCCAGCGCAGTTATTGCGAGATCTACAAGACTCGCTTGAACGCGAAGCTGACTTGCGAGAACAGCTACGAAATGCAGAAGAAGAGGTACGATCTTCATATTTGATCATTGATAATAATCAAACAGATGAGATTGTAGACTTATATAGCATGTGTTAGTCTAATGTTGCACAAATAATGGCATTACTCTCTACTTACAATATTTGCCTACAACAACGATTTGAAATGTGAGAATGTAAACTTGTTTTAAGCTCAGCGTTAACTATATTATTACATTAAGTACACTTATTCTCTAATCACTTAGTTTTAATAGGGAACAATTGCATTTAATAGGGCATTAGCTTCAAGTCTAGTCGCCAACTGGCGCACTGCCAAACTGACTCAACACTGAGACATAAATACACAATCCATAAATAATAGTACCTAGTACAAAATTATTGGCTATAAGAGGTACGCAACTTGCACACTCTTCTTTTTCGTCATAATGTAGTATTAAAAAAATTACAAAAATTAAATTAGAACTTATTTTTGAACAGGCTAGCCGATATCGGCAACGCTTCGGAGGCAGAAGACTACCTCCATCGACGAAAATTTCACAACCATTCCATCCCGATCTAATTCCACCTCAGAATACTGCTGCAAATTATTCTGAAAATATTGACCCAAATTCAATGCATCGCATTCTCGAAATGCAGTTGGCTTTAGAAAAAAACTTATCTTCTTTCGAAACCAGTCGCTTATCCATCGGAATTAACCAAGTGGCTCAATCTCCACACGATCATATCATGACCTATTGTCAGGGTTCTCAAACCGATTTTATAATAATGAACGATGAATCCACAGATACTAGGAAAGTTACATTAGAATCAACTGTGCAATGCAACAATGAGACATTAGATACGTATGTGCAAACTGATATAATCTATATGAAAAATAAAAACATACAAACAGATTTTCTTTATATCAATAATTTTACGCAAACGGATAGAAATAAACTTTGTAACGCAGCTATACAGACTACTATTATGCATGTCACTGATAAGTCGCAACAAGCTAATACGGGATTCGTGAATGCTAGTACAGAAACTGAAATAAAAAATTTGTATAATCAGAGAACTTCAACTGATTTACTTGATGTAAATGAATTACTCCCATTAAGTAATGATAATAAAATAATGACTGGTATTTCAAACGAAATTCGGAAAGATCAGAAAGATAAATCTGACAGTCCGCCTCTTTCCCCTGATAAAATTGCAGCAGGTCCATCTTCTTATTTCTCTTTTCCCTTTGCATCATTATTCAGTCCCTTGGCAGTAAGATTACCAACTATAGGTACATATTTTGTGAAAATGTATATGTTGTTTAATGCTATAACCATAATATTATTTTATTCGTAGTATAATCTCCCACTGGTAAATAGTAGTAACTTCTATTACCAGTCTCCAATAATGATAACTAACGAATATTTTCAGGCAAATAACTTGCGTAAAACAGCATCACGGGTCGAGGATGACAATGAGTCCTTACTACTACAGCTGAAGAAAATGGCTACCAAAGCCAGAAGTACGTCGAACTAATTAAATTACGAGAAATCCTTCTGGTTTGTGTAATCAACTCCCAAACCTCCTCTATCTACCCATTAATACATGTAATTTTTCTTTAACATGTCAACATTATTAATTTTTTATTACCCATATTGTCAGGTGGTATTTTGTCTTTTCGCTCTGCAACCTTTCGAAGTAGGCATTACTAACCCGCTTTGCGTTTATTTATTATGTATGAGCTGACGTATCAATGGTAGCCATTTTCTCCGGTTTAAAAATTTTTCGTGTTGTTTACTGGCATAATCATTGTAAAATATGTAATATTAAAAATACCGTCAATGTACACGACTGGTTTATTTGTAAGTGAACACCACTTTGACTAATTTTTCTTTAAACTTTATTAACAAATATCTAAATATCTACTAATACATATTAAAGTGTTGATTCGTTACTAAAAAAGATTTTAATTTCGGAAAATTCATTAATATTCACATTGCAGCCCGTAAATTATCTCCGACACCTCCAAATAACAGACTTGCAATTGAAGCACCCAACGAAAAAGATGAAGGAATATCTGATGAAGAAGACCCAGCTGAATTGCGGCTTCTACTTGAACTTAATGAACAAGTACTTAATTTTAATTAATATACATATCATCATAGTTTTTAAAATGATCAATTGCTGGAAAATTATTATTAAGTATAGCTATTATTTTTAGGAAGCGGCTGTCCTTCGCAGAAAGGCGGAAGAATTAGAACAAGATAGAGATTCATTAAAAAAACAAGTAAAAGAACTTACAGATAAAATTGCTAATGTCACAAGCAAAACTTCAAACACTACAGTAACTCTTAGACGAAATACTACTAAAAGTAATAATTTAGCTGAAGAAAAAGTAAAGGTAATAACAATAAACAAAAGCTGAAAAGCTTTACTACTACTACTATATACTGTAAGAAATCCCTTTATGGGATAAGTCCGCCATTGTATATATTCTGAGTTATGTACCATAAAGATTTTACAATTCAATATTTATATTTATATTTAAATTCTCATTTTATCAGGTATTGGAAGATGAAATAGCTGAATTACGAAAAAAATTAATTGAAAAAGAACGGGATTGTGAACGTTTACACGCAGAACTTAGCCTCGCACAAAAGAAACCTAAAGCGTCTTTAATTAAAAGCAAGTAAGTCCAATCTTAAAAATGTATGCAAATAAATCATTACATATTTAAGTGTATATGTTAGAATTTAACTATGAGCCTATATTTATATACAAACTTGTTACTTATTATTATAAATAAATAACGTTAAAACTGTAATTTTAGATCTCTTGATAGTACAAGTGAACAACAAAACGTAGATCTTAAACGACAACTGCAAGTAATAGAACAAGAAGCAAGTGTTTTGAGAAGTAAAACACAAAGTTTAGAAGCTGATAATGAAAGACTACAAGCAGAAAATAAAAAAATGCAGGTATATATTATAATTAAATATTATTTGTATTATACATTCCTTATTATATATGACAGAATCCGTAAAACCAGGACATCCGCAAAAGAACCAAAGTCACCGACATAATCCGATGGATAAACAAGCTGTAGTGGTAATGGGCTAGTCACATAACTCGAAAAACTGGCAAACGATGGGGAAGAAAGGTTCTTGAGTGACGACCCCGTACGAACAAACTCAGTGTAGGACTACCCCTCACTAGATGGAGTGACGACTTCAAATGCATTACAGGGGATCAGTGGAAGCAGATGGCTCAGGACCATTCTTTATGGCAGTCTATGGGGAGACCTATATTCAACAGTGGACAAATAATGACAGATAATGATGATGATGATGATAATATGTATTGACACAAGTACAGTAATTTAATTTTTTTACAGCTTCTAAAAGGTACTAAAACATTCAAATCAGATAAATCTTTAGAACAAAATGCAAATAAAATTAGTCAATTGGAAAAGGAACTAAAAGAAGCATTGGAAAAAATAAAGGATTTAGAAAGTAATAAAGAAAAAGCTGAAAAGAAAGTTAGATTTGGCAGTGAAACTAATAAGAAAGATGTAGACGCTCTGAAAGTCAAACAAGACGAATTTGATAAATTGAAACTTAATTTTAATAAGGTATGCATATAGATGTGATACTTAGATACATAAGTATTTAGTTAATAATTTAATAATATCATACTTAATTTGTATTTTTAGATAGAGAAAGAAAATGCAAAATTACAAGCTTCCTTGAAAGCATTGAAAGACGACGCAATAAAATCCTTTAAACCAAGAACTCCTAAAAAACTGACTGACATGACAACTAAATTACAAATGAAAAAAATGGTAGAGGAACTTGAAAATGAAATAGGTAAGAATAGTTATTAAATAAAATTATATATATATATATATATGTTTATTTAGTGGAATATTTTTCATACCTTATAATCTTTACAGGTGAAATGTATGTAGTAATGAAAAACGCTGGATTATCATCTAATAATATTAATGCTAAAGCTCAACTTGAAAAAGACATGGAAGATTTAAAGTCTAAACTGTCTAATAATGAATCGGAATTCATTAACGAAAAGAATCGCTTACAGACTGAAATAGGTAAATTAAAAGATTTTAATACGAAGTTGGAAAAAGATAAGGTTGAATTTAATGAGAAATATAAAACTATACAAACACAATATGACAATTTAGTCAGTGAAACAAAATCCTTGAAAGAAAATAATAAAAATTTAGAAACAAAAATATCTAAGTTAAACGTAGATCTGAGTAAGTACAATATACAATGTTAAAAGTTATTATTTTCATCATCATTTAACCGTTATACTTATTTACCATAATATTATTATTTATAGAAAATGCATCCTCACAACAAACAGCGATGACTGAGTGTATGAAGAAAATTGAAGAGCTTAAAAAAGAAATGGATATTAAAGATAAAGAAATTGAGAAGCTAAAAAAACAAATTGAAAATATTAATAAATTAGAACAGGATAAAAACAAATTGCTCAAAGAGGTATCAATTGACATATTTTTGAATGAAAAAAGTATATACATTATAATATTGATACCATTATTATATTATTAATCCATTTTTCAGATTGGAGATAAAACTAAAAAGCTAGTTGAATTGGAAAAGAAATTAAAAGATACCGAAGATAAATACAAACGTACTGAAAAACAACTCGGTCTTCGAAAAGATCGTGTAGCTAAATTAGAAAAAGAAGTGAGTGATTTTATAAAACTTTAAGTTTTATTTATACAGACTGAAAATTTAAGTCATGTAATTTTGCTTTTCCTAAAGTATACAATATATAATAATTTATATCGGCTTTACTTCTTATTTAACTACTGAGTCGATAAGACTGAGTTCGAGTCCGATGTTCGAGCTGTTTGTCTGTTTGTATTTTTTTGTTTGTTACCTTATAACTCCATCAGTTATAAACCGATTTTAAAAATCCTCATTTTATCTGTAAGAATAAACTTATAGATTGGATCTATAGAAATTTTATCAATATCGGTTTAGTAGTTTAGTTTTTAAATCAAAATAACTGGTTTTGCCACAATCGAAATCGGTTTTTTTTTTTGTTAAACACTATCTTATTTTCAGGATATTGTGAAATTTTTTACTGATGTTAAAAGTGCTGTATTGACTTATTAAATTCATATTATTATATCTAAAAAGCATAAATAAAGTATTAGGCATTAAAATGTGATAACTGCCATTTCATAGTAAATGAATGAAAGTAGGAATAATTGAAATTTTGAGCCTATCCAATATCTTTTTCAGATAGTTATTAACACACAAGTCCATTATACCATTTAGCCAATGACACACTTTTAACAACAATTCACAGTTACTTACATAAGAATAATAGAGTGAGATCACTTAAATTTTCCATCCTACTTCTATATTTGAAAGTACTGTATAATTATACGAGTATTACGTAAATATATTCTTATTGTATATTATACTAGCTATCAGAAGAAAAAGAACAAGCAGTAGCACTCTCCAATTCAAACAGACGTTTATCAGTAGAGTTTATAAATGAAAAAGACGACTTACAAACAAAACTGTTTAAATCTGAAAGCAGACTTATCGGTGTAGAAGCTGATATGAAATTAATGAAGACCGAATACGAAAATAAATTAACAAGCCTGGAATCTACTATAGCTGCAAAAGATATTCATATAAAACAACTGGTATATAATACCTTTTGATTATCCTGAGCAGCAGTCTGCATGTACACCTTTATTTACCTTGTCTGATAGCTTGATGGATGATTTGAACCTTATTTATGACAATGTCCCTTAATCTCCCAATAAATTTCCAGTCTGACTTTAATAATTTTCTTTACGTACATTTTGTTCGCACGATTACGATAGTTACCCAGTGATTGAAAATTTAAATATAACCTTAACGGTAAGTAATTAACCAAACAACTTAAACAATCTTCATTTTTAGGAAGATGCCTTGCGGGAAACTTCGAATCAAAAATATGATGAAGCTATATCATCAGTAGAAATGGCACAAATGCAAGATAAATTAGAAAAACTAACAAAAGATCTTGAGGAAAAAGAAGATGCTTTAACAAGTACCAAACGTGACTTAAATAAGACTGAGAAGGATCTATCTACAATGCAATCAGAAGCTTCACAACTGAAATCGAACATTGCAAAATTAGAAAACGAGAAAAAGGACCATGAAAATAAATTGCAAGCGGAAAAAAAAGAATCTAGTTACTGGGAAAGCAAGGCATCAGAACTAGAGACAGACTTACAGGTAAAGATAATTTACTTTTAACGTCTTACAGTTTACTTTATCTAAATCATTAACAATCCCAGTACTTTCTAAAAAAAATATACGAGAAAAAATACAATATTTACATAGAGAAGTCTACTTAATTTTCTGATTAATATTTATAAAATATCTTACACATTCAGGCTGAACGCAAGAAATTAGAGCGAATACGTGTCACTCATGATAAAGATATTAAAAACAAGGAAGCAGAGCTAGCAACATTAAAGGGTAAACTAAAAATATTAGAACAGACTTCTGGTGCAGGTACAAAAAGAATAGCTGACCTCAAGCAAGAGTATGAAGAAACAGTCAAAAGTATGATATTCTGATAATATATCTTATATGATTTGGTATTTATGCATTTTTATATCGTAATGGTAACTTCTTTTTTTACAATTATTCTCTCATGGAAAAGGGCAGCAAAAACATTACTACTATTAATTTACACTTTAAATATAATATGATATGAAAGTCCATCATGCATTTATATATAAATGCACGATATATATCTACTTTTATTTTTCTAGAACTAGAACATTCGTTAGCAGTAGAAAAAGCAGAGTACGAAGAATTGACCAGTAAATATGAATTACTTGAAGAAGAACATGTAGTAACTAAGGCCAGACTTACTGTAGAAAAAGAACAAGCACAAGGGTAAGGACTTCTTGCGATTGTTTATACAAACTTATAATTTACATGTTACTGTCGTCTGTACATGAAAGATATATAAGGAAAACTATTATTGAGAGGTTTTATGAACGCAACAGAACCCAAAACAATGATTTTTAGAATTTTTGGCTGTACGTTGGTGTGCGCTAATCTCAGAAACGGCTTAACTGATGTCAATGCGGTTTCACTAATGCGTTGCGAATTACTCCACTTAACATTTAGTGTTTATTTCATTCGGTTCATAAATAAAAAAGTTATATCCATCTAAAGAATCATATATAAAATGCTATAAAATAACCGATCAGTTGAATTGACTGAATCTTTATGAATGTAAGTCACATATTTTAACTCATAGGATATATTCTTAGATATATTATATAATGATTCACGCGGGCAGCGCTGCGGGAAACAGCTAGTATAATATATAATTACTAAACATTTGTATTTACAGAGAATTGCTACATGTTCAAAAAGAACTAAATGCGGCATTATCAAATATTAAAACTATCCAAGACAATTTTGAAGCACAATCTGCAGCATGGCAAAAAGAAAAATCAAATATGCAGGCAAGTATAAAAAGAATTGGTATCATATTAGGGTGAAATGGAAATCGTTAGCATACTATTAAAGGAATGTTCTACGAACCAATGAAAATAATAAGTAAAAATTATTATAAATAATTTAGGACCATCTATATTAATACAACGTGTCCAGCTCCAGCTGTTAAATTAGCATAGATAGCTCAAAATATTATGACGCTTCTAAATTTTTGATTATTTTTTTTTTAATTAGTTTTTTTTTACGACTAATAACTTCAATTTCACCCTGTATATATAATTTTTTTTCCATGATAGACTGAGATATCATCTTTGCAAGATCGATTATGTGGTGGAGGATGGGAAGTAGAACGTGCAAGATTAAACACACGTTTAGAACAGCGTGAACAAGAGCTGCGAACAGCAACTGACAAACTTGATGTACTCACACACCATCATGATTTAATCAAAAAAGAGGTTTGTGTCGGTACTATCAAAATTATTTTTGAACATGTTCCTTGATTATATATTATGTTAGTTAAGTATATTATTATTGTATGTACAGTTGGAAGAAGTTCGAAAGAAATCAGAAGACTACGAGAAAGTGGCCAAAGTACATAGGAACCTAACGGCGGATAACGCTGAATTAGAGCGAGAGCTGACAGCATTGAATACAAGATTGGAGCAAGCAGAAAAAGCTAGAAAAACCGAGCTTACGGACACAAAGATGCGATATGAAGATCAAATGAATACTATGCGAGAGGAGCTAAAATCGTTGCATAATCAAGTAAGAAATAATTGATACTTAAATATTTTAAAGCAATATTATTATTTTCGCCGTCTATGTAACGTTATTATTTAATACTAAGGACACAGATCATTTTGACAACTGAGTTACTGTCGGAAACATTAAAATATATGAATGGATAGATCAAGTATAAGAATACTACCTACGATTCTAATCCAGGTGCTGCAAAAATATTTAGAAAATTATATTATTAAAACAACACAATCATTTTTCTACAATGATTAGGCGAGAATCAAACCAAGGATATCAGTAGGCCGAGTAGTTCTTCTTTCTTATTTAAAATATAATATTATAACAATTATTCTAGGTGTCAAGGTTCAAGCGAGAAAGGGATAATTATAAGCAGATGTTAGACGCAGCTCAAAAATCAATGGCAGAAATGAAAAGCAGTGGTAACACAAGAACTCAAAGAGCTTCAATATCCAGCACTGATGAGGTTAGAAAATTAAATTGTATACACACTTATGTTCTACCTGCCTTATACTCGTATATGTAAAAATAATTACTATCTTAATGCGTCAATAATAGGAAGAATATCGCAGCAAAGTAGCTACCTTGGAGCAACAAGTGGCATGCCTTGAGGACGAATTGTGTGAAGCGCGAATGCTGTCTTCTAAACTCAATACTGAGCTCGTGAGTGAAAAATCTGCAGCCGAGGTGCGTCTAGCAGAGATGCAATCGAGATTAAACGAGGTTTGTATTGATTAATTATTTTAACTTTCTTTTGTAAATTTAATGTCATTTTATAATAATCAATGTAATGTGTACCTTATGCTCGTGATGTTTAGTTTCATTAATAATTTCTTAACAGTACGAAGAGGAGCGACTGTTGTCATCGGGAAGAGCACGAGTGGCAGGTCTAGCAACGCGAATGGAACTCGCATGGCATAAAGAGCGGGATGAACAGCAACGTCTCCTTCAGGAAACTTCCACACTTGCGAGAGATTTGAGGCAGACTTTATTCGAGGTAAACTATGAATAAGGCGATCACGACAATTATTGATTACGTTAATACGCATTTATTTATTCAAACTGTTATAATTAAAATGTGATACAAAAGGCAGATAATATACGGACTTACACATAATATTGATGTAATCCGACGTCTTTAGTATGTATGTATAATGTCGAAATCAAAACTCAAAACGAGAAACATAGTGTTTGCAAAATAAAATAATATCATAATCCCTATACGTATGTATTTTAATAGTGTTAAGTATTATTTATTACATAATGCGTTTTAGGTTGAACGTGAACGTGACAAGGAGAGATTAGATATGAAGAGAAGAATCGATCAATTGAAGAGAACCACTGAAGAAGAAACAGAAGAAGCTAAGAAAAAGGTAAATTAATAATGATACTGTTGCTCAGAAATAAATAAGTGTAAATATTATTAAAATACGAAAATCATTATTCAATATTTCGTACGGAAATTTGAATGTTTCGGGACAGGGTTTTAAACCGTACCTTAAGACGCTATACAATAGCTAGTGCTTAACTAGTTGAGCTTCAATGGACGCCGGTCCCTTCCATTTTCACTAGCTTCCAAATTTTTAAATCTTACAGTACCTACTTTTATCAAAGTATGATTTTTGTATTTGAATCATATTTCTATAACAATTTACAACTATTAAATTACCAAGCGTCTAAAAACGTTTCAATAAATAAGTGAATTATATTATCAGGTGACAGAGTTGCAGTGCGACCTGCTTGAGCTGCGCGACGCTCACGCGAAACTCCGTACGGCCAATGAGAAGTTGCGCCGCGACAAAGAGCGCCACGACCGCGACCGCGACCAGAACAAGCTGCTTGTGGCCTCGCTCAAGCGCGCCCAGCAGGTATGACGAACGATCTTATCGACGTGTTCCTCTTGCAAACCTACTCCCCTTTTACTCTTTACATGTATATGACGCTATTTTTTATATTATTCTAATCTGAAATACTCAATAATAAATTATTTATTTCCTTTGTGACTATAATTAACATAAAAATCATAATAGTCTATCACTAAAATATCATATGTAAATCAAAAACTTGGACAAATCCAACAAAAAATGAAAATCCATAACGATAATCACAGATTCCAAATTTCAGGTAGATACCTATTTACTATTTATTATAATGAACAGATCAAAAGGATTTTACCTAATTTCGTTATGATACACAGGAAGACGACAGAATAATAACACAGCTGCTGGAAACAATAGAGGATTTAATGAAACAGAGTCCAGACCTGTTCCGCACCGATTCCAATATAAAACCTGAAAAGACTCTGATGACACCTACACCGCCGAGACGAAACAGAGTAAGTACCCTTAGTCACAAGAGAACTTCCCTTCGTCGTTTAGAATTACTACTATACAGTATAATGTCACACCCCGAACTCTTCAAATACAATGTGATCTAACTTAAGATCATACTGTACTAAATACCACAGAATTTTTTTTAACTATCATCCTAAAACAACTATTGTTTAATTTTCTACAACATTAAAAATTGTTTACCTGTATTGAAAAATCTATTAATCTATTTTTGCTATGTATTTCTTTTAAATTAAATAAGTAATATTTTATATTGGTGTAGGTAACAATTTAGGTAAACACATTGGTCGTTAAAATAACTGCATTGAAAAGTATACATTTTTTTGAATGCTAACTGTCCTGCTTTACTGACTCCAGTCATCAAAGTCCCGATCGCGGTCAGCAACGCCGGAAAGCGCGGAGGCCAACAGTGCTGCGGAGGCGGCAGCGACCGCGGCGCGGCTGCGTCGTCTCACCGATGAGCTGCGAGCTTCGCGTATAGCTGAGCGCCAGCGTAGGCAGCAAGCTAGTGCCAGGAGGTAAATCGTTTCTTACCTGACTACACGGAAAAAAGGAGAATGATGTGTTCAACGGTCCACTTCGGTTTCAATGTCCATTGTTTCACTCTACAAAACGGAAGCTATCGATTCCTCTTAGACTTATGATTATTATTAAGATGTAACATTAAACAAAAACAAAATGGCCACCACTAAACCATCAATTCAAAGTACGTGAACTTAAACAATAACAAATTATAATTCGTTACAAATGTAAAGTAATTCTCACTTATTTTAGAGCTATGTCAACGGAACCGCGAGACACGCTCTCTGTGACGCCAGCATCCCGTACGCCTTCGCGAGCGCCCTCTCTCAAGAAACGCTCCATCTCACTGGAGCAAACTACCAAAGAACAGGTAAATTCAAGAGAAATGTAAAATACTATTTTTTAAGTAGATTTTCTATTTATCCATACAAATTTATAAATATATTATTTTTCAGAGCTTAATTTGGAAATCTGTAGATGAGAGTAGTGTCTCTTCGATGCAATCCCTAGACGGTGATGACGGCCGTTTGTTTACGATGCAACGTGATACCAGTCTCGATAGGTACGCTTGAGAATATCTTTACTAATATAAATATATTATTATTAATATTTATTTGTTACTTCGTGGCGTCTTATCTGCCCAACCAATTACCAATTATCATTAAAATTTGGGGAGCACGTAACATTTAAGACAGAGAAGGAGAGATAGACCGTTATCCCGGTCACGCAACAGAAGTCGTCGTCGTAGCTTGTTAGCCTATTGATATTTAGAGTATAATTTTATTTTATTATTAATACAGCACCTTGTTACTTTAGAATTTAACAAAATATTGACTCATTTACAAATTTATTTCCCAGCCGTTTGTCCGGTGGATCAGCTCAAAGCGATGTATTGCCAGGAGATAAAAAGAAAAAGAAGAGTTTATTTGGCAAACTGAAAAAACTCACCAAATCGCGATCTATAGACGATCAAGTCGATCATCCAGAAATAGTTGATTTTAGACCAATCGGCACTGTTTCTCAAGTAAGTTTGGATAATGTTTTTAAGTATTTACGTAATTAAAATACATTTGCAGAAAATTAAATATTCTAAAAGATTGATTTTGGACTAGCGACACGCCCCGGCTTTGCACGGGTGCACATTACATCACATCACATTAGAAACCTCTAAAATGATCAGTGTTTCTCTACTGTATTGTGCATGTATTGTACATATAAAGCTTCCTCTTAAATCACTCTATCTATTAAAAAAAATCGCTTCAAAATCCGTTGCGTAGTTTTAAAGATTTAAGCATACATAGGGACGGACAGACAGCGACAACATTAAACATATTGAATCAATTCTTACAGGGTTCAGACTCTGATATGAGCGCAGCGGGAAGCAAACGAGACTTGCGTGGACGACTTTCTGATATGTTCAGCAGAAAAGGGCAACTGTCACGTGGAAACAGGTAAGAAATCAATATTCAATTTATATCTCCATTAACACCAAATAAAACGCTATTTAAAAAGTGAAAAATACTGAAAATTAACATTTGGATACAATAAAAAAAATTGCATATTAAAGATTCATTGTCTGACGCAATCTTGAGGTATCGTTATCCCGTGTACAAAAAACATTTGCTCAAGTTTCTTTAGTGAAATAATATAATAATCAAATTTTATAAAATGTAGCAAAGAGCTGAGTCCGGAGCGTCCTGTCAGTGCGATGTCGGGCAGTGTGAGCGGAGGTGGAGCGGGAGCGCGTCCAGTGTTACGCAACGCTAGCGCCGCTACACTCTCGCGTACTTCACCAGCTAAACCTCTCAAAGCGGTAATATCCATTATCAAATCAACACACTCGATTTTTTAAAGCGCTTTATAGGCATAGTATGTACGACACCGCAACATCATGTACAAAGACTCGAAGGAACCTCCGATATTTAATATCTAGCAACAGCGAGTAAAAACTTATGAAGCGCAATCCAGTGCCACGTTTAAACTACTTTGTAACAATAATAAATATTCTTTGGACATATTACACAGTGCCATCTAGTCACAAACTAATAAGAGCTTGTGGGTACCAGAAATATTTGTTTTTATAATAAATACATACATATATTTACGAATAACATACTTGTGAATACGAATGTTTGTATGGAGCGGGACTCAAACCCGCGACCATTGTAAGATAAGACAGTAAATTGAATCATTACACCGCCAAAATCGTCTATATGTAAATAGTAAGAATTTAAATATATAAATCCGCCTAGTAGACCAAACTGTACCTAGACGAAACAGTGCAATTCACTTAGTGTCTAAAAAGGTACCTAAAAAGAGCAAAACTACGCTAATTATCTGAACTAAAATTTGGATGTCTTAAATAAAAAAGAAATCTATTTTATAGATACAATTATGTATTTACTTGAGTCCATAATGTATTACATTTTCTGCAATCTATATTAAAAACTACAAAATGGACACTATACATAATGAGTTTTTTTAATTTTATATTGTATTATTGAATTTTTCATCTTATGGCCGCCATATTACTTTTTCGTGACCTAACATGTAATACTAATGATAATACGAAAATTTATCATTTAATTTATCCGTTGCAAGTAGCTATAGAAACTTACATTGCACTCGATTCTATGCATTGTTCATTGTTTTTAAAATGCATGCATGCATTTTAAAAACGCACTTCGATTTCACAACAACTCAATAACTGTTTTTAAATTAAAACTAAAAAATAACCATTTTTTAAATGTTTTACATTCACAGAACGAAGCCCCCAGCTCGAGAGCATCAAGCGCTACCCCCGCAGCCAAAAGGAAAGGGAAATAACTGACAACTACTATTTTTCTCACTTTACTATAGTGTATTTATCCATTCTTTTATGATTTTCCACATAGCATGTAATATCACAATACATACATATCGACAATTATGTATAACTATCGACACAAAACAGACAGATCTCTCGAACCCTGCCGAGAATGTGAGCATTTGCCATTCATTTGAACACATCAATCGGAAAAAGAATAATTTATATAAGTAATAATGAGTATTAACTCCCTAAAATGCTTAACCTCTATTAATACAGATCATAGACTTGTGATGGAATCGGCAGCACTATCGATAGTTATGCAAGCCTAGTAATAGTTAGTCACAACATTTGTACAGCGACGGCCTAAACACTCCTAAAATCCTATATCCTTAATATTAAATCTTTTAGTGAGACATCCTGATTATGATTGTTATTGTTATGTCAGGGGCTCAGTAGTGATTTCTTGTAATTATGTACTTGTAATTTTATAATAAAACTGTTGAACTAATTGCCTACATATTATTCGGACGAGATCATGATTGAAATTATACAAACAATGCTCAACTTTCAAACTTTTATACAATAATAAACAGGGAAGAACAGGGTTCTCAAAAAAATAAAAAACAAAGGGAAACAAAAAACGAATGGACTTGCGTGTATGAGCGAGCGAGACAGACATTAAATGCGAAGTGTATGCAGCAATGGCGGCGAAGGCGAGGCGGCGGGGCGCGGCTAGCTCTGATCCATCAGGTTCGAGTCCACACCACCGCCGGTCGAGTCTTTCAGGATCGACTCGAAGATTGGCTGTAGGTCTGGGAGCGTCTTGATTTGCGTCACGAACTCCATTAGATGGGGGTTTTTCTCTGAAAAAAAGCATTATATTGTAATGATAAAAAACTGGCTTAAATTTTGCAATTTTAACAAAAGACCAATATATGAGTAAAATCTTTTGATTAAAAAAGAATGTGTTAAGACATTGCATAACTTACTCTCAAATAAAAAAATATATAAATAGTAAAAAACATACATACATATCTGTCACGCCTGTCTCCCATTAGGGTAGGCAGAAACAATGGAACGCCAAATGCTTCGATTCAAACAAACCTCTTTCGCTTCTTCCACATTCATCAATCTTTTCATACACGCTCGCCAGTTACGGGTACTTTTAATTTGACCCTTTTTCAGCACGTCGCCAAATAGGCGAATAGGCGTGCTGAAGAAGGGGCATATAATACTATCTTTTTATTTTTTATTAGTAAAAAACAATAATAATAAATATAGCAAAAACCGGTCAGATAATTAATATATTTGTCGTGAATGCGGGTATTATTGTTGCAATTGCAGACAGGTATTACGCACATGAAGTAATTATAGTTCTGTAGAGTAGCAACGCGGGGAAGATACCATAAGCAGTACCTAATGCTAAAATACATGATTAAATGAGCCAACAAATTGTTTACTATTTTCAGTACTCAATAAAAACTCCAGGATTTTCCTGCCTACCTGCTTACACATAATTTTCTGAGGTATGTAACTTAATCAAAATAAAGTCACTAATAACTGCTATAGTACAATTGGTTATCCTAATAGTAAATAAACTACACACCAGCCTCGGGTATTTGAAGTAGAGCAGCAGCTGCCCGCAGAGCAGAGCGCTTCAATTCATCCTGTTTCTCATATTCTTGCTTCACAGAGTTGGCCTTCACTTTCATAGTACATGTCACTCTTAAAGGCTCCACTAAGCTCTCTAGCCCTGTAAACATATGGGATCACAGTTTTAAACACTCTAGATAAAAAATTGTTTCAAGTATAAAAACTTTATAGTGTCATTTGTCGTTTTTAAATGACAATTATTACTTTTTATCAAATGACAAATATTACAACACTGTACTAAAAGAAAGCCAAATAAAGCCACCCGAATGGTAGATCCACCTCTTTTGAGAGGCTCGTGTTCAGTGATATCAAGATCAATATTTTTAAAGTATACAAATTAATATTTGTTGTTTAATAGAGATAAAAATTTTAGCCGTGTATGTAAAACGGTAACACAGTATAACAACTAGCTACAGGTTATAGTATAGTCACTCTCTGCCCTCATCTCAAACTGCCAACCACTCCCCCTTCCCCCTCGACCCATTCGCAAACAAACCACGCTCGGTATATACATGTTTGCGCATATACAAACAATGTCTTTATGTATAGTAAAGGCTATTGATTTCTTTTTTAATGTGTGAAAATGGAATAGTAACCCCGCCTGCGTTATTGGTATATGCAAGTGGGGCACCAGTGATAGATGATAGGTGAGGATGAAGGTAGGTCCGTCGGCCTATCGCGAAGAATTCAACAAAAATTAACTACAATGATTTCCAAGGGGAAACGCATGGAGGTCGACCTAATAGGGTATATTACTAGCAATGGGGCTGTTAGAACCCATTACCAAAAAAGCCTCCCACCCCTACCCCCCAACGACTATGAATTAACCCATTTTGGTACAAAATGTCTGAAAAGTTTAAGACTTACTTTGTAGCACGACAGCAGGACAGAGTTGCGCGAGCCTGGCGCACATGAGGTAGGTGAGCATCTTGATGTCGTAATGGTCACGCAGGCCGTCCTCCACGTGCCGCAGGAACTCGAACACGTCAAGCCTGTCCAGGCATGTGCCCAGGAGTGTGTACATGCACTCGAACGCCGCTTTGCGCAAGTCCAACCCGTCGTCGACAGAATGCTTGAACGGACCCATCTCCACTTCGCGGATCAGTTCTTTCTGTAATATTTAATAAGAAACAAAAAAATATTTTTAACTTAAATAGTACACTCAATACTACATTCTAAGAGGGAGATATATTTTCTTTAACTTAAACATTTACATCAAATATGTTTTACAAAATTATATAGATACAAGTTGAATAATTATATCCTTACTTCTATTTAACCAATTCTCGATTAGCACACTTCTTGTTAATTTGTCAGTACAGCAATCATTTAGGTAAAGAAACTTTATTTTTATACACTACAGAACACATACACAATATACAAAGTTTATTTAACTGGGCACTGAATTAGATCTATATATAATTTACAACACCTAAAATGATAAACATTCTAGAGTGCAATAAATATATTGAGTACTAAATCTAAATCTTGGTATAATTGCCTAGCATTTATTTGATGAGGCATAATATGGTTAAATCGAAACTGTATAAGGTTGTAAGTGGTATTTTATTTAAATGGATGATAATGGAATGGCAACCTCGCCTACGCTATCAGTATATGCCGGCGGGCCACCAGTAAGGGATGGTGACAATGAAAAGGCAGGTCAATTAGCCTATCGTGATGAACTTGGAATAGAACACGAGTTTCCAGGGGGGATCGCGAGGAGGTCGACCTGATAGGGTGTGTTGCTAACAATGGGGCTACTAATCCCCATTTTTAACAATCCATTATCCTCCGATCATAAGTGGGTACCTTGACTTTGGTCTCCTGGTAGATGGTAGGCAGCACGTGCGGCAGCAGGTCGCGCACGAGAGAGGGCTTGTTGTGGGCGGCCGAGTTGAAGGCGACCAGCGCCACGCGCCGCACGCCCAGCTCGCTGTCCCGCAGCGGCACCAACAGCTCCGGCATGCACGCGCGCAGCAACGGATCTATTGCTTGCGGCTGCCGTAATACACGGAACACAAACAAATAATTACAATGCGATCATTAGCATTGAAATTATTTATTAGAAATAAAAATAAAAAGAAAAATATCTCGACTTGTATACTGTCATTTCTTAAAAATCAAATAAAAAAATAACATGATATTTAGAACTTTCATTTAAATAATATTAAAAATAGTCTTAACTCCAGATGATGTTCTCTACTAGTATATATAATGTCTTTATAAATTATAAGCCTAGACAAAGTATAGTTAAGTATTCACCTGATCAGAAATGGTGAATTTTACAGCTGTAACTGCAGTTGTTCTAGTGAGAGGTTCCGGTGATTTCAAAAACTCCTTCAGTTGAGGCAATAGTTCTTGTGGTTCTAACAAACATAATTTTCCTAAACATTCTGCTACCTGAAACAACATAAACACAATTTATATGTAACTTACATTCATTTTTAAAAGCAACATAATTTACAGTTGACATAATACTGAATAGTATTTATATATTCCTAATTTATCCTTAGAATGCAGTAGATGGCACCTATTATTTTCATACTCCTATATTTATATAACTAAACAATTACAGTACAGTACACACAGAAGATTACAAAATAAAGCACCTATGTTTTAATTGTTCTGATGCAACTACCAGTGTACAATAATAAGTTTATCCAGTGAGTGTATCTAACTGCAAAACTTTGTACTTACTACATTGCGAGACCCTTCCTCTGCACATTGACAATGTTTGGACAGTTGCACCCATATCTCTCGTATAAAAGGCCTCAAAGCTTCTACACCCTCTGGCGTGCATGACTCTGAGGTAATAATCTATGGATAAAATAAAAAATTTTTTTAAAATGTAGCACGAAACATAAACGATTTTTTTTTTTATAATTTAATAATCTCAACAGATTAACGTATTTTTCCATCAATATTTATATTGCAAAACTACAATGAAAAGTAGACATTAGAAACTTGAGAAAGAAAGAGAGACCAGAAAACGAAACCTTGCAATAAACCGTTACATCCATAACTTATAGAAAAACATATGCAAAGCAGTGGAACATTAATAGGTCGTTATGAGAATGGTGACAAAATTACATATAATTACCTCTCGTAAGGAGTGCAATAATAAATACTGTCGTTTGGGTTGCGCTTCGATCTCGCCTAATATGAAAGGCAGGAACTCCGGAAGGTTGCCGACCGCCACCGAGCCAAGGGCGTAGCTCGCCGCAGACTTCACTTCCTCGGAAGACGGTGTGAACGACTCCAACAGAACTTCCTTCAGATTCGGGATGGAGCTCAAATCCCTATAAAATAATTAAAATCCCTAAAATATTTCACATTTCCTTGTCATCTATTTGTCAATTTTAAAGTATATTATTGATATTTTTATATATCTTATACAATATCTTAGCCAAATCTGAACTTATATTGACGATTTTTTTTTTTAATGAAAAGGATTTACAAATGAGTTGTTGGATACAAACAAACACTGACAAATTTGAAGAATATATATCCCCCGATTTACAAACGTTTTCGCTTTTATTTTCCAAATAAGTTTTTTTTTTTTTTTTTTTGTTTTTATCGCACTCTCTAAAACTGTGTTTGAACATGTACATCTCACGGGAAATCCCGAGCTTTTGTGCTGACTTCCAATGCACACTGTGTCTGTATTTCTTCGCATAAAATAAAGTTTTATACGGAAAAAACTGATGATTTAATTTTTCATATTCGTAAATTATAAGTGAGTGCATAATTAAGATTTTTATAAATTAACATAAATTAAAAAAAAATTATAGGCTTATAATGTCGAAAGAAGTTAAAAGTTATTTCTTTAGAAACTAAAATCGAAATTTTGGATCGCTTACGAAAGGGACTTAGAGTAGTAGATGTTGCAAAATCATATAATATGAACGAAGCTACAATAAGAACTATTAGAACAAATGAAAGTTTTTTATTTTTAGTACACCTAAAAATATGAAAAAAATCACAACTAATGTTTTTCTCAGGAACGTATCTACCGTGTAAAAATATCTCTCGGTATATAACTGCTATTTATGCGATCGTTATTACATTTATGAATGTGTGGAAAATAGTATATAAATTGTATGTTCAATAGTGGATAGTTAACGACCATTGTGATGGTGATATAATTTAAAAATATAAAATATACAAGAACTAACAAGTGCCTGCCGATCTCGGCGAGCGCGAGCAGCGCGAACATATGGTGTGGATCGGACGGTGGTCGCGCCGCGTCACGTAGGAACTCGCGCACTACGTCCAGAGCATCCGCACCGCCCTCAACTACCACAGCGGCCACGCACTTCGCCAGCGAGTGGAACGCCTGTATGATACCACACTCATTAAAATATATATATATATATATATATATATATATATATATATATATATATATATATATATAACAAATACCAAATACCTTGTTTTCATGATTCATTTTTTATTATATTGTTCAAAATACATTAATATATAATTCACTGTTTGTTTAGAAATTAATATATTGACTATATAATGTTATTCAAAATACATTTATAAAATTTCGTTAATATTTCATATTGCAAAAAATTATGTTGAATCTATTAGAATGGCAAACAAACTAACAAGCCAACCCAATGGAAAATGGTAACTGTGCCCTATGAACAGCACCATGGACATAACAGAATATATTGTGACGCCAATGATATCCTTTATGCATTGCTATTCTTAAAGACTACATTGGCATAACAATACAGCCATACAGCACAGCCAATCCAAGCAAACTACCTTTGTGCACCTCTACTTCTAGCTCTGGTAAAAGTAGTGCTTTCCTTTTTTTATTATATCTCGAGTTCTTAAATTGTAATTAAAATGAGTCTGTCTTTTTTTTTACTGGGTGATAATGGAATATTAACTCCGCCTGTGTTACGGTATATGCTGGCAGTGCACTAGTAAAGGTGATAGATGAGGATGAAAACTGATATAAAATAGAGATCAGTTAGCCCATTGTGACGAAGTTCATAAGATTTAATCAAGATGGTATCTAAGAGGAACCGCATGAAGGTTGACCTGTTAGGGGGCATGCAGCGGAGCTGTTAAATTCCCATTATCACTAATCCCTTCCCACCCATTATATGCCCATATAACACTTTTTTTAATAGGTGAAAATAAAATAGTAACCCCACTTGTGCAATGAGTATATACTAGTGAGCAGTGAATGATGATAGATGAAAATGAAGATAAATTGGTCAATGATGAATTCAACAATAATTAATCACAATAAATTCCAGGGAACCGCGTGAAGGTCCACCTGATAGCATATACTGCTAACAATGCTCGTTTGCCCCCTGTGTTGTAAAAAAAACCCTGATAGCATATACTGCTAACAATCTAGCTGTTAACCACCATTACTAACACTCCCTCTCCCCCGGGCTTGCGTGATGCGGGACAATGTGGTGGAATGGTGATGTGGTGGGACCGTACGCACCTGCTTGGTGTAGTGCGCGGTGGCGTGCGCGGCGTGGTCGTGCGCGCGGTGCACGGGCGCCACCAGCAGCGCCAGCAGCTCGCGCCGCGAGCAGCCCGCCACATCCGCCGCCACCAACGCGCTCAGCACGCCCAGCATCGCTGCCAGCGCGCCCCCTGCCGCACCCAGCACACCGCAACGCAATCACTCCACGTGTCCATATTAACAGCGTTCATAACTTTAGCTTGAGGAAGTGCAGCAACGTCGCAATTATATGTCAATCTTCAAAAACGATTCAAAAGAATTTTCAATATTTCTGTTTAATTATTTAGAAAGTGCTCTGCCTACGAACTACAACGTTAATCATGCAATAATATACTTATCAGAATATCATGGAAAGTTTGACAAAAAATGTATTGGAAATTTTTTTAAGCAAAATATAAAGTAGGTGCAAAGTTTATTAGGTAGATTTACATACAACGTATAATTATATTCTATGATTAATTTAGTTCGTAGTCAGAGCAGTATTTAAATAATCAATCAGAAACATTGAAAATTCTTCGATTGTTTTTGATAATAAACAAATAATTGGCGACGTTGCCAAACTTTATTATAAACGCTGCTAACCAAATCAAAATATAAACTAAAATGTTACATTCAGTCGCAGCGGAAGCGACTCCATACTTGCCACACCCACTCAAGCATACAATATTAAAAAAAAATATATTCATATAGACAAATGGATAAACTTAAAGAGACCAGATTATAAAGAATTTTAATCAAGGTATACAAAGGGATGACAATAATAATATTCATTAATCTCAACAAATATTAATATATCTGGGTATTTTTTTAATCCTGCTTAATCTTTTATAACAGAGATTATTTCTAGGAATACACGCCTTTACAATTACTAAAATCATTACATACAGATATACAGAGATACATCACAATTGTATTGTTATTTCAACCGTACTATACTAAATATTGCCGTGTGATCCCGGCAAAGAATTGGCTATCCCCTTGCTTTCCCGTGGGTATTGTAAGAGACGACTAAAAAAAATTAATAATCGAGGGATGGGCAGCAGCTTTCCTCTTAAAACATCACCAAAGCCTGTTGCTGCCCACCCGCCTTTTAAACTACTACTGGCAAAATTGCCCAAGCGGGATGCCTACGTTCAACAATGGATAGTTAACGGCCGATATGATGATGACAAGTAAATATGATGGGACATAAGCAAATATGTAAGTTTTGTTGCTAATCTAAACAATTATTACAAAGAGGACAGACTTAATTATTTGTTTGTAATGAATAAACACAAAAAAACACTTAACCGACTTTAAGAATTCTTCCACATATAGAGCTACATTATTAGCTAGTATCATGGGCTGCATTTAATCTATACTAATATTATAAAGCTGAGAAATTTGTTTGTCTGAACGCACTAATCTCAGGAACTACTATTTCGAATTAAAAAATTCTTTTTGTGTTGGATGTTCCATTAAGATATCAGATAGCCCGAGGAAGGTTTTAAGCTATATAACATTACGGTAAAACCGCGGAAAATTATTTATATTTGAGAGCTTTTTTGATTGCATAAACGATTCAAGTTACTCATAAAATATATTTTAAAAAATTATTTATTTTTTCAAACATATTTTGTGTGTGTATATATTTATTTTCGACAATATTATTGTCGAACATTCTATCTGCCCCTTTTTTTTTAATGTGTGATGATGGAATGGTAACCCCGCCTGTGCTAACGGTATACACTGGTGGGGCACCAGTGAGAGATGATAGGTGAGGATGAAAAAACAGGTCAGTTAGCTCATCGTGATGAATACACTTGGAATTCAGAACGATGATTTCCAGGGGGGACCACATGGAGGTCTACCTTGTAGGGTATATTGCTAGCAATAGGGTCCTTAGTCTTCATGATTATCAAATCCGGGCTGGGTTACAAGTTGTAAATAAAGAGCGGTGTGCGCGTACCCTGCAGCAGCGGCGACTTGGCGAGCGCGAGGATGTTGGGCGTGAGCGCGTGGCGCGCGTCGGGCGTGAGCGCGTGCGGGCAGCGCAGGCACGCGCCGCGCACCAGCGTCAGCGCCGTCTGCGCGCAGTGCAGGTCCGCCTCGCTCACCAGCGCCGGCACCTCCGTCAGCACCTTACCATACGGCATCACAATCATAATTTGCGTATAACCAAATAAGAGGGAAACTTTGTACAAAAGTCGTTTGCTTGGATATTTTCTTTTTTTGATGGGTGAAAATGGTTACCCTGCCTGCGCTAACGGTATACGCTTGCGGAGCATCAGTGAAGGGTAATAGATGAGAATGAAAACCGTAGTTAGCATCATGATGAATTTATCATGGAATTAACCATGATAGTTTCCGGTTTGAGAACCGCGAGAAGATCGACCTGGTTGGGTATATTGCTAGCAATGGGATTCTCAGTCTCTATTACTAACAATCCCTTTCCCCCCTGTTTACTTGGATACATCAATTCCATTCGTGTGTTAGGCGGGAAAGTTATTATTAGGGATTGTTTCCACTTTCCATCAGGTGGGCCGTCAGCTTGTTACATAAGTTGTATAAAAAAAAATTGGTAGAATCGTTTGTTAATTCTTAGAGATGGACGAAAATGAAATAGCCTCATCACCACACTTACATAGATTATAGTTATATACATTACATATACATACATCACATATACATAACCAACACACACTACACTTAGTACCCGTAATTATAGTATACGTTATCATAGTAGCGTGGGTAATGCTGAAAAAAAAGGATATTTTTTTTATTCTTTGATTAGGATTTCGTTTATTTTAGTATGTGATCGCTACTTGTCTATTCTTATTAAGATATCAGCCACTTTCGTTCTCAACCTTATAATTGCAATTTTTATTTAACTCCTTTTCTATGTGTTTTCCTTCAAAATTTACATTTTTTAATAGTGTCCATACTACTGCTTATTGAAGAGAAGCATTATCGCAATTATATGTAAATTTTCAAGAACAATCTACTTTCGATTTTCCCCATTGTTTATTTAAAAAAGTGCTCTATTAGAAAAATATTGTATAGTAGAATGCGAAAATGAACCTGTGACCCCTACGCTATGGCAAAGAGACAAGTTATTTTGGGATTATAGCTAATAGGAGAGCAGCAGTACCCACTCATTTACTACATACACCAAATTTTATTCAAGAATATATATATTTTTTTTAAATTAATTGAGTATGAAACTTCCAAACTTTAACTTTTATAAGTCAAAATCATACACACCTTGCTCAATAATTCAATACTAATTGCATTGCTGTAGTTTTGTACCAGAGTGTCCAGCAATACTAATGTAGACAGCTTCAAAGCCCTTTGGTTCTTTCTCAAAAATGATCCCAAGATAGGAACAGCATCGGGCTGAAATAAACACATACAACATGTAATTACTACAATTATTTTTGTAACTTCTTTTCAAAATAATACTTTAAATCTAAGGAAAGAAATTAAATACATCAATATGTCATTAAGCAAGCTACGTACACCAATATTAATGTAAAAATAAAAATTTTATATATAATAAAATATTAAAATACTATTTTACTTACCAAAATAGGTCTTAAATCAATTCGTAGAGGCGAAGAGGCTATTTTAGTTAACGCTTTAACAGTTGTCAGACGCGTTATTTCGTTACGTAACCGTTCTAAAAATATAGGTAGACACACGGGAAGCTCATTCTGTAAACAAAAATCATGTCTCTTTTGAAAAAGAGTACTATCATTTAATGAACTCCAGACTGTATCTCTGATTTTGAACTAATAAGCCAGCCAAGAAAACAACAAATGGGTAGCTCAAAAGGGAAAAGCTATAAAATACTAGTAATATGGGTCAGTATATGTAGCTATACCAAGTCTGTTTAGATAAAACATAAATCACGATTTTGGCAAAATATGTAATCTCTTTGCTTACAGATTTAATAAATGGAATATCATTAAATATACCCTAATTGTAGGAATCAAAACATTACTTATTTACAAGAAAACATTACTTATTTTATTAAATGATTTAATACCTTTTGCTACACTAAGTTAGCGTAAAATTACGTACAGTATATGAAAAACTTGAAGAATATTTTACTTTAGAATTTAAATAAGAAGATTTTTCACATCTATTCATATATGTAGATTGATAGATGATATAACATGAATAATTCATGACCCATTTATATGTAAATTGGTCCTACATAAAATTTTACAGAAATATCCTTCATACCTGCAGATAATCTCCAAAGTGGCATATGAGTTGTCCGCAAGCGGCTATGGCGCGCTCTTTCACTTCTTGGTCCATGTCGGTGGCACGCAAGCGTACAAGCGTGCACTCGTACATCGCGGGAATAAACGGCTGCAACTCCTCTGGTGGCGGCTCCACGAACACCTCTTCTTTACCCTCTATGTTCTCTACATTCTCTATAACAAAAAAATGTAATAAAATATAGTATTTTAAAATGTTAATGTCAAAATAGTATCCGAGAGGTGTGAGACGCACCGAGCGGACGCATGACCTTGACGAGTGTCTGCAGCACGCGCAACGCCTCCGCGGTGACCTTGTAGAAGGGGTCGTGCACGCACGCCAGCACGGCGGGCAGCAACGCCGCCACGTGGCCGCGCATCGCGCCCGCGCCGTGACCGCGCACCAGACACACCACGAACACCAGCGTCTCGATCTTCATCGATGACGCCGTGCTCTTGTCACTGCAACACCAGTACATTTATTGTTTCGGCATAGACTAATCTAGATAAAACAATATGTCTCCAATTGTCATGTCCAATGGCACGATTGCCAAAGGCGTTGGATTACTTGGTATTTCTTACACTGTGGTTTTGGCCTAGGTTATCTTATCTGTTATATTCGGGCATATTAGTCTTTTATGGTTTGCACACATGAGGGACATTTTATCCAACAATATTTCTTATCTATAATATACTTTTTTTTTAATCCGACGAGGTCTATATTTTAGTCTATATTTTATCAAATTATAATAAAACGCTAAAAATGTGTGTATTACATATGTTTTGTAATAATTCACACAAAATATATTTTGTCCATAAACGAAATGAACATTGTCTACGTAGAACATTACGGTAAGGCGAAACCTTGAACTACACACACACACACATACACAGCTTGCACAGGTTATTTTTATTTACATAGAGATGGCGTACAATTAATGGCTACACCGTAACCGATTCTACCATCATATACTTGTGAATAACAGGACACTAGACGCTTTCATACAGCGTCATTTGTTTATAATATCATATTTGCGTCCAAAACTACGCTGCGCATAAAATTTTACCTCTTTACAGAAGAACACGGTTGTCTAAAGACAGCAGGAGTGTACGGAATATCATACATCATACATATCATACTAACGTGAGCGCGGGTGTAAGCGCGCGTATGACCCTGGCGGCGTGGTCGACGAGGCAGCCGGGCGCGGCGGCCAGCAACTCGCGCAGCAGTGCCAGCGCGCAGCCGCGCGCGCGCACGCTGCGCCCGCGGATCACGCGCAGTGCACCGCGCACCACGCCCGCCACCTGCCGCGCAGGATACAGGTACAAAATGCAATCATACTACACAATGAGGAAAGAAGCATGTAACATCAGGCCCACCACGACGGAGCAGAGGGTGCTATCCCAAGGCTTCTACCTGCATTCTCCTCAGGCGATGAAGATTTATTTAATTTATTAACTACCTGACTCAAAAACTTCCTGTGCATGATAATTAGTTCGTAAACAAGTCCACTGCTTTGTAGTGTGCGATCATTTTAGTACAAATATTACGATATTAAGAATTATATGTTATACAGTTTCCAGAAATAGAGATTTGACCTAAGCCAAACTAACTTAGAAAATTAGTTTTATTATGAAAATTACCCTTTGTAGAAGCAAAGCTTGTGGAGAGTTATCTGTTGGAGCAATTGGTATTTGAAGAGCGGGTGGCGGACGTGTAGCTCTTAACAAAGCCGTATATGCACTTAGAATATCACACTTGACATTTTCTTCTCGTTCTATAAAAAAGTATACACATTTATATATGTATCTAATTTAATTTTCATTTAATTACAAATATTATAATATATACTGTACCTTTAAATCGGGCAATCAAAGCAGGTGAAACTGTCACATACATTTCGGCTAACAGTTCATGACGCGTGGCAATAACAGACTCTAAACATTTAGCTGCTGCACGCCTCACCTATTAAAATATTGACATAATTTATAATAATTATATAAAGAAAAATTGTCTTCAATTTGAGCATAGTAACGACATATTTATTTTTACATATAATAAAGAAAAATATACATATATAAAATATTAATATTTAATAATAATTCACCTTCCAGGACATATCATCATCATCAGAATATTCTTCCGAGTCAGAATCTGGATCAGCATCAGGAGCAAATGATTCATCCTCCATTTCCTCGTCCTCTCCGCCTCCATCCTCCTCTTCGTCTTCGTAGTTATAGTTAGGGTCATAAGTTATCATTTTTAAGCAAAGGTCTATAATCTGTTTAAATAAAAAATACAGGATGAAAAATTAGATTAAGTACTTCAGTTACTATATTGAACATATTTCTGATCTCAGCTGGATTATTAACCATAAGCTATATATAACTTGCTGGCAAAATGATATCAGAAATATTAGATAACAACTGTAGTAATGTTGTGTTTGAGATTTTCTTAAAAATTTATAAAAATAACAATGAAAGTATAATAACTAAAAGAAAAACATAACAGTTTGAGTAAAGCAGTGTTTTTTTCATATATGTGGAAATAAAAAAAAAATCCAATTGTTACAAGTACACAGTATTTATATAAAAAAAACCTTTATATTATTTTATTTTACAATAAAGATTTTACAATACAAAACAATTATATCTAAGAGTTAAATCTGTTACCACTTTCCAACAGCTTGTTTGCCATTCTCAGTTGCATAAAAATAAATTTAAAAAAATATGGTTAATAGATTTTTCTCCACTGATTAGTTGATTAAAATTTTTACAGTTCTTCCTTTAATTATATTTATAATTAGTACATATTTGTAATGTTATGTTTTGAGACTTGCCGTTGGAATATGTGGTTGCACTTCTTTAGGACACTTGAGGACAAATGCTTCCAGTGCTTGCAAGCAATGTTCACGTAATTCCTCATCAGCATCTGTAGAATGTTCTAGAACCTGAGGTGCAACACGCCATAACTGCTCACCAAATCTATGACCAGCTTGACGGCTAAAACATTTTAATTTTCTATAATATTGTAGTGTCATAAACATGAACACTATGTCGGAATACATTTGAACATAACTAGATAGCATACAAAAAAATACTTTATAATTATCTTACCATACAGAAGCAATGCACTGAATGTGTGTACGGCTGACACTAGATGATGTTGATGAACCCAATCCTTCCAATAGATGATCAATGAGTTTGTTGTATAGAGATGCATTACAGGACATAACCAAGTGTGATAATGCAACTATGGTGCGTTTGCGGACTGCCTGCACAGATTTTTAGGATGTTATTTATTGTGGACAATCCTTATTGCATAATGTGTGGATATTTTTTTAATTACATTTTTAATCTAAACTTCTTTTAAAATTTTAAAAATGTTGTTTAAAAACTATGAATTACTATAAACTATGACATAAAAGCTATGTCATTAATTATATTTGTTATTTTTTTCACATACATACTACCTATGTTAATAAGACATTAATATTATATGAAGGTACATGTTCATCCAAACATAATTAGTAACAGTATGTTTTTAACAAATTATTTATAACTTTAACTGTCACATTTTTAACATTTATTACCTGGCGCGGAGAAGCAAGCTGAGGGAGCAAAGAATTTAATAACATTGTATGGAAGGATATCAGAAGACCACCAAATCTACTTAACAAGTCTGCTAAAATATCCAAAGCCTCAAGTTGAACAGAAACATCTTCTTGCTGAAATTAAATATATTTTTCATTTATTCTTAAAATAGGAACATTAAAAATATAATCAAAATAATAATTTGAACATGTAGATAGAAAAAAGCTTCTATATACAATAAACATCATAAAACAAAATGGACATTTTCATTTGTAAATAATTCTATTCTTCTCATACTTCATTTATATTCTCAAAACTAGTCTCAAATACAAATAATTAAAAGGATTACATAGTTAATAAAAATTACAAATCTACTTCATAATTTTAAGTGATTTAAGAAAAAAAAATTAACAACTATACTTTTTTAAATATAGATTAAATCAATTTGAATTTTCTATCCTTATTTTATTTTTTGTAGCTATGTTATTTTGCAAATTTTTGAACCAATTTTATTTATTTATTAGCTCACTACATAGATTAGTTGGTTCTGATAATTAATAAATTTTAACATACCTTTTCAATAGCACTGCTCAGCCTTCCAGTAATTTTTTTACATACATTAGCTGCAAGGGTGCTTGAACCTAAGGGAAGTTCAGAAATGACAGTCTTCAAACCAATGCTACTGATGTCTCGCAACTGTTCAGTATCTGAGAGCATGTTGGCACAAAGAGTTTCTACAATGCTCTCTACTTGAAACTCTTTCACTTTATTTACAAGGGGTCCAAGGCTGGAAAGAAAATAATATATTATTTCCATCTTTTTTCCAAGTATTTCAATACTGGGCAAAGATCTAATTTTTAATTTTGATTCATTAAATAGGTCAGGGGTGTTCTCCTATAGTTATCTATCTAGTACTAGAGTAAAAGTACATGGGTATGTGACCCCAGCCCCCAAGTCGCTGCATTTTCTGATCTTATTGGTCCCTTCTGCAACTGCAGTGTCCCTCTTCCTTATTTTCCATAAATCCTTCACTTCTTTTTTACCAACTTTCATTACTCACTCCAACATCCCCTTTTTTTCCTTAATCCTTTCCTCCATACAGAAGGCGGCAGATACCAATAGCAATTGCATTCCCAAGAATAGTTAACATAAGGGAAACTGCCAGCCATAAAACCAAAACCTTGTATAATATGAATAAAATCATATTACATAAAGTGCATATAATTGGGATAATTGTAAAATACTATATATACGTAGGCTACATTTCAATCAGTAGGTAGCCTTAGGGTTCTAACAGAATTGATCAGTTAAAGTGTATAGAGCTAAAAACAAACCGTGAATAAATATACTTAGCCACATTCACATAATATTAGTAAGAACTCTTTGAAACTGTTTTCATACCATTTCACTGCTAAATTTTGTACTTCGCCGTTCTTATCTTCAAGTAAACGAAGGAGCATCTTAACCACTTTCCTTTCAGAATCATCATCAAGCTTTATACTGTCCTTTTGCAACTCTGTCATCAAATCATTTGTAGCCATGAATCTGAAGTCTTTATCATTAGATGTCATCTGAAATTATTACAAAAGAAAATATGTAATTTTAATTATATTTATGTATATAAAAATATTTTAGTTAAATGTTATTACTGCCGGCTCACCTTCTCCAAAAGATTCGCAATTTGGTACGATACACTAGCCATTTTGTAATACTTTCAGCCTGTGATATTCTCAAAATAAAAGAAACCAAATAATAGATTTAATACTAAACAATTTTTAAGAAAAATATTTTAAGAATAACCATCTGAAAGATTAAACGGATAACCAACTGTAAAATACCCAATGACCAAAAAATTATTTCTCATTACTCCAGAACGAGAATGACATGACAGTACAGATCACAGAGATTATGACAGTAATAATAAAAGTCTCTATGATTATTAGGGTCTGTAGCAAAATATAATATAGTCATTTTCTTTTTTTATAACTATTTAGATGAATCGCTCCAATTGCTCTCCAAATAAATTACATACCTGCAGGGGTAATACTCTAATAAACCACGTCAATATGTTATTTAAGTAATAATAATAATATAGCACAATTAACAATCAGAACATAAGCTAAATACTCTTTTCTCCAACAAACAACAATACTTATACAAATATAACTTACGATAAAGTAGTAATAAAAAAAATAATAGGTATAAAAAAATACAAAACAAATATTAACATTATCTACCTTTTACCTATCACAAACTGTTTTTTTTTTATGGGTGAAAATGGTATGGTTACCCCGCCTGCGCTAACGGAATACGCTGGCTGAGCACTAATGAATGGTGATAGATGAGAATGAAAACAGGCCAGTTAGCCCATCATGATGAATTCATCAGGAATTAACCATGATAGTTTCCAGAAAGAGAAAAAAGAAAGGGTCTGAGAATCAACCAACATCTCTTTTTGTTACCCCTCAATGATAAGGGCGACCCACCCTTAAATATTTTTTTTAATTGTTTTTATTTTAATTTATTATTTAATTTATTATGATTTAGCATTTAAAAATACATACAACTTCAAACTTTCAGTTTTACGATCAACCCCTGTTTTGTAATCGCGATTTTTATATTCCGCAATAAAGTTGCAAGTTGACAATCGAATATAATAATTATAGTACGAGAAATTTTCATGTATAGCTTATAATTACAATTTGCTTTAATTATTCTTTCAATTTAAATTAATCTTTAACCCTCATCGGTCGATAACTGATTAACTACCAATCGATCAGTTATCCCCGCCTAAAACATTGCACGGCTTACTAATCGGTACGGATCCAAATTTTATCCTATTCCTAAAGTCAATTCGCACATGGATAGTCCGAGAAGAAAGTTAATTTGTCTCCGCAGGTTATTAGGTGGATAATATTTATTCGGGAAATTTTATAAAATAAAACCACGTATTAATCCTGTTTCCTTCCTTACGGAGCCATTTTTAATTATACTTTTTTACTGAAGTTTTAATAGTTTTTTTTTTTTACAATAGTAATTTAAAGAGATAAAATCTATGTTTCGGATCGAAACAGCACATTCAATTCATGTTTGGAAATGATATCTTTCGGAGCAATAGAAATACTTAATTCAAAATATTGCTGCAAACGGTCAAAAATTTTTTCCATCCATCTCATTCAATTCCATCTTCAAAATCAAAGGTGGATTTCCCTTATTGAGGGGTATGAAAAATAGATGTTGCCCGATTCTCAGACCTACTGGATATGCATACAAAATATCATAAAAATCAGTAAAATCATCGGAGGACTTTGATAACAAACACCGCGATACGAGAATTTTTATATATTAGATTTCATAGAGAAATAATGAAGATATATATAACATAGAATAGTTCAATTTCCATCTCTTGATTGTCGATATTTTAATCCAACAATTTTATTAAGAATTTCATAATAAAAACCAAACAATTTAATTTTACTTGTCAAACGATTTCAGATATCTTAATGTTCATACTTTGATTTATGGATTTATGGAGTACAGATACCAATAATGATTTTTACCAAAACGTTAAGTATTTTTCCCTAAATTGATAGGATTTTTGGAGCTTTTACCCAACAGACTTGTATTTATTTTTCACTACGTTTCAATTAATGTCATAACGTGATCTTTTCTTTTTTTTTTTTTATGCAACTTCGAATGGTTAACAAGCTGAACTTTCCATCAGGTGGAACTTTCCACCTGGATGGAAAGTGGTAACCGTCGCTTATAGATATGAACAGTATCATAGACATAACAGAGTATACTGCTTCGCCCATGATACCTTACTATACTAAGCAAAGATTTTATAATTCCTTGTTCTTAGTTTCTGAGAACTAAGGTTTTTTTTTTTTATTTATTCATGACCATACAAGTCCTTCAGTCGCAGACATAAATCTGAAAACTAAGGTGTTAACTAAGGTTGCTTTATACTGTGTTGTACAAAAATACAACTGTTTCACGGTAGAAATACGAATAGGATAGTGTTATCCAAACAAATGATTTTTGTATAAAAATTTCCGTTTTGTAAAAATATAGTAAACAATGAAAAAATAATTCCTTCTATTTTTTCCTTATTATCTTCTGTTGAGGATCTTCTTTATTATTATATTTTACTTAACTGTATACATATCTATAATCTTTACAAATGCAAAAATTTTGGAAAATAACAAAAATTTCCAAAAAATACCCTAATTTTACCAAGTCCATTTTTCTTTTGTTTAAAAATTTTTGGAAGAATATTATTTCATCAAAATTTCGGGCAAAGTTTTTTACCCAAAATTGCGAAAAACATACCCAATCTGGCAATGCTGTATAACTCTGTAGACATATTATCTCGTCTATGGTCGTAATTATGTGCTCTATCTAGTGATGGGACTCTAGTGATTTTTTTTCACTCGAGTCACTCGGTATTGATAACTCACTATATTGATACTCACTCGAATGCCACTCGAGTGAAGACAAAACTCGAGTGATTTTTATTGACTCAAGTCACTCGGAATATAAAACTGGAGTGACCAAAATTTTAAAACGAATAAAATAATATTAATTTTACATAGAATATGTGTATTCATTTTCTCAAAAAAAAAAAAATTATTGTTTCATCATGATAATAGCCGAGGCTAATAGACTCAGCTATGATATTTCATTATGAAACAATACAATTTTTGATTTGAAGTACGTTCCGAAAGTTTCGCATCAAAATACTCCCATAAATCATTTACGTCCTTATTTTCTGGTTGCGGTTTGACGATGAAGACTCCGATTCTGTTCTGATATTACCTGAATTTGTAGATATAGAGGTAGATTCAATTTCACCAATAACGGATTGCATAGCCCTATCAGCATTAGATTCTACGCAAAAACCAATTTTCTTAAATCTCGAATCCAAGTAGGTAAATTTAGCTGCAGTTTTGTTTGATTCTAAAATACTTAACCATTTATCAACAGCATCTAATAAAGACTTTTTTAATTCTTGAACATTTCTAATCAAAGGAATCACTGAAGACAATTTTGGATATTTCTCTCCGGATAAGGCTGCAGTAAGTTTTTCAAGAGGTCTTAAAAGATCTACGCATTCGTGAACCACTTCCCATTCAAAGTTTTGTAAATTATTTGGTGAATCAGGCATATCGGACGTAATTGTTGATAAAGCAGTTTTAATTTTGAGCATTCTATCTAGCATTAAATATGTAGAATTCCAGCGTGTTGGGACATCTTGTTTTAATTTGATACATTCCATATCCATTGTACGTTACATTTCCATAAGTTTGTAAGACGTTTTGTTGCTTTGTTTGAAATATGTGACTATGGATTTATTTATATGGATAGATTTATTTATAATTTCCATAAATTAAGGGTTAGCTTTCTTATATTCAATGATCGCCAAGTTCAAAGTGTGAGCTACACAGTAGCGGTTCCTCTTACTTAAATATTCAGAAATAACTTTCTTTATATTCGGAGCATTATCGAATACTATTGACACAATTTTTTCTGTAATTTGCCACTCATCAAATATCGACTTCAGCACACTGGCTAAAATAATAGAAGAATGTTCCTCCTCTAGTACCTCTCTAGTAGTAATAGTTTGCAAAAAAAGTTTTAAATTATAAATGAAATGTATTGTAATAGTTAGGTATGCTTTATTATTGTCAGAAGTCCATAAATCTGTTGTAGCAGCTGTATATTCAACTAAATGTTAAATATCTACAATTACAGTGCGTGCGGCATGATAAACATCAGGAAGAATTTTCTCTCTTAAAAGTTTCCTGCTACAGCGGGTAAACTTGTCACAAAATTTTTAATCCGCTCGGATAAACCAAGTATTATAAAACTAATTCGAGTCACTCGAGTCACTGAAAATCAATTCGAGTCCCATCACTAGCTCTATCATTATACGTCGCGTATTGTCATACCTTATTAATATAAAAACATAACCTAATTTAAAAGTAACTACTACTAACATAGATTTTGAAATATCTGACTAAATTAATAGAAATATTTTTATTATTGTGTTTTGAAACTTTCATAGATTTCTAGTTGAACTTCTACACAATAGTTTTACTTACAGAGACCAGATAAATCACTGTATTTTACATCATGGATCTGTTCGTCATAAATAGGTTTGTGTAATAAGGGCACTATTTTTATCATTAAAAAAAATTATCGCACGTATTCGTGACTGATTCCACTACTCTTTTCACTCTTCTACAATAATTAATCGAAATTTTATAATCATTTTGCTCACAACTTTGTTCAATCACGACTGTATAGATTAACCTTTCTCCACACTAAATACTACGTATATACCAAATTTCACGACGAACAGTTCTAGCGCCAAGGGATAACAAACAAATAAAATAATTTGTAATGTTAATAAAGATTATGCATTTTGCATGCAAAGTGCATAATCTAACTGCGCTCATTATTAGAAAAATTATCAGGAAGTATATATTTCCAGTTGGTTCCTACTCATTCTCTTTACTAGTATATTGCTTTTTTACTAGGTAGATTGTGTGCATAATTTGTAAAGCAGACAATTGTATAGTACAATGATGTTCATATAGAATTATTGCTACTAGCTTGATCCCAAATAATGGATTCCAATTTTCTTTCACTATTCAAATGGAAAAGTTACTATTATTTTAATCACAGTGGTAATTGTGACTCAATCACTGGCTAACCTGACTTAACAATTTAAGAGTGTGTAATTACTAATTAGCAAAATATATTAATTAACAAAGATAAGATGTAACCTATATGCTTCTCTATTTCATATACTATATCAATACTCAATTCTAAGCGCTCAATTTAACATTTAGAATAGTAGTAAGAAAAATATCTTTATTTTATAATTTGTAAATGTAGTTTCTTTTTATGTAGATATAGAGATACTAATGAAGACATAGACTGGGTAGATAGAGAATCGAAAAATTTGGAAAGACTAAAACAAAGGATTGAAGAAAGAAGGAAAGCACATGTTGACCACAAACAATCTAATTTTATAACACTTAAAGAAATAAAAACAATTAATGAGGAAAAGAAAACACATGAAAATGACTTGAAGAATATTGATGAGAGTCATGAACAAGAAGGTGTTTCAGAGAATGCAACGAAATCTTTAAATATAAATAAAAAACAAAAACCTTTAAATGAGTTTAAGGTACTGGGAGTGAATGAATTTGAGAAAAAAATAAAAGTAAGTATTTATTTAATTAATTTTATGCATAATTGTATAATATATAAATACTCTTTAAATAATGTATAATTGGTTTTGTATATTTTAGGTCCAAAGAGTGTTACCATATTGGTTATCACATCCACATATTGTGTCTACAAACCTGCAAAATTTATCTTGTCCAGTGGACAAACAAGACTGGCTGCATAGTACTCTAAAATCAACATTGCTTAGTGAAGGAGTGTCACATTTGTTCCCAGTACAAGAACAGGTCATTCCATTCATTCTTAAACAACATGAGCAACCATCTCCTCTCTGGCCGCATGATGTATGTGTTTCAGCACCAACTGGTAGTGGAAAAACATTATCATTTGTCTTGCCTATCATACAGGTAAATATTGTATTGTTACTTATTATTACACTATACATCACTAGTTAGAAGTTCACTTGAGTACTGTTCTGTTATTTGGTCTCCCTTTTATCATTGAAGAATAAAAGCAATTCAAAAACACTGTTAGATTCTTGAGTACTAAGTTTGATCTGAGGAAACTTCATTCATATGAATTAAGACTTAATCACTTTAACATCAATTCTCTATTTATAATAGAAGATCTATGTCTGATTTCATCACTCTTTATAAAATAATAAACTATAAATGGAACACTAGCACATTGTTGAGCCATATTTTATTTCATACTAAAAAAAATAAAAGAATACAAAAATTATTTTATATACCAATTTGTAATAATAATGTAATATATCACAATCCAATTATCTGCATGTGCAAAAAATATAACAGTGTATGCAAAAACCTTGATATTTTCGAACAATCCTTGCAATGTTACATTAAGGCTGGCCAATTTGTTACTTTAAATTTATAGCTGTTATTCTTTTAATATTTCTAATACTGAATATTATGCAGAGCAGTTATTGGTGTGCAAATATAATGCTGTTTTATGTAATATTTATTTTATTAATGTATTAATTTGTAATATTTTGCCTTGCAATAAATAAATTTATTACAGATAAATCTGCTAGAATTAAGTGAACTCCATAATAATAATAAAAATCTTTGAAAGCCTTTTTTTACAATTTGTCTACTTAAAAACTATACATTGAGTCTCTCAGGTCTATCTTTGAACTATCATACTCAGAAACCATCATGGTAAATTAAAAATTGATGGTGAATCAGCTACAATGGGCAAAATGCTAAGTCACCTACCTTCATTCTAATCTTTGTATGCTTCAATTTGAGACTATATAATATATACATAAATAATTATACAACTAGCAACCTGCTCTGGTTTTGCACGGGTTCTTAAATTTTACAAAAAATATAAAATAGCCTGTTACTCAGAGAACATGTAGCTGTCAGCCAAATTGGTCGTATAGTTTTTTACTTAAATCGTAACAAACAAAAATTAATCATCTTTTCTTATACATTATTTTATCATTATATATAATATTGTCCATATGGGTAAGTCCAACTTTGACCGAGAGGTCAACTGACGAATCCAACTCGGCTGGGCAGCGTTCGAAAAACTGCGTCACATTTTTTCATCCAAAAATATCTCAGAATTTGAAGACGAAGGTCTTTAATCAGTGCATATTGCCAGTGATGACTTATGGAACCGAAATATGGTCCTACACGATTACCCGTAAACAAAAGCTGCAAATTACTCAGCAGGCTATGCTTGAAGTCTCTTTACGTGGTAGAATCCGAAACGAGGATATCCGCAAAAGAACCAAAATAATCGAAGGATAAGCAAGTGGCAATGGATTAATCACATAGCTTGAAGAACCGATAAAAAATAGATGGTGTGACGACATGAAATGCATTGCAGGGAGTCAGTGGATGCAGGTGATACAGAACCGTTCTTTATGGCTGTCTATGGGAGAGGCTTATGTCCAGCAATGGATGGATAATGGCTGAAATGATGATGATGCTGATCATATATAATATTAATTTACATTGATACACTACTTAAACTTTCGGATCCCTCCCGGGTCGGAGGCGAGGCGTGGAGTTACGGAGCGCTCGCGCGGCCCAGTCGAATCACGGCGACACAAAATTTATTTCGTTGCACATTATTTTAATTTCACTATATCCTTATATATTTGTGTAAATAGCTTTCCAATTACAGCTTTATAATTGCCCATTTTTTAAAGCTTTAAAATAAATATGTAACATATGCCATCGCGAACTTTTCTGTAGACCTATATAAGATAGGGAATTCTACCATACATTATTTTGTTGTATCTTAAAGGGTTTAGGCAGCGTTTTCGTTAGAACCTCCCAGACGGCTCATTTTTTTTCCGACACCTCCAACAAATATCGTTATATTTTAGCCAATGTACACGAAAACTTAATAACTTATATATTAAAACCTTCCTCGACAATTACTCTATCTATTGGTGAAAACAGCATAAAAATTGCTGCAGTAGTTTTTGAGTTTATCTCGAGCAGACAAAGAGACAGAGATGGCGGACGACTTTGTTTTATAATATGTAGTGATAATGAAATGTTTTATTTGCAGATTTTAATAAATGACATTGGTAATTATATAAAAGCATTAATTGTTCTACCTGTACAAGAGTTAGCAATACAAGTTGCAAAAGTGTTTAAAAAGTATTGTCTGAAAACTCGTTTAAAAGTTGCTTTATTGACTGGTTCTACTCCACTTCAACAAGAACAACAGCAAATTGTTAGATATAGTAAGTATGTTATACTGGTATATAAAATTTTAATTAATAATATGGATACTTTATAAAATATTTGACATCTTTCAGCTGAATCAGCAGGATGGGTTAGTGAAGTGGATATAATAGTATGCACAGCGGGAAGACTTGTAGAACATATTCAAAATACACCTGGTTTTTCTCTGAAATGCTTAAAAATACTAGTCATTGATGAGGCTGACAGAATTATGGATCATATACAAAATGACTGGCTATACCATTTGGAAAGACATATTAAATTGGAAAATGAATTAATAAGTGGAAAAGTACCATCACTAAATTGGAATAACGTTACTGGACACAAGGCCCCACCACATAAGTTATTATTTTCTGCAACTCTATCTCAGGACCCAGAAAAATTAGAACAATGGGGGCTTTTTCAGCCCAAGCTGTTTTCTGCTGCACCTGTTGATTTTGAAGATGAAAATGATATTAGAAAGTACACAACTCCAGCAGAATTAACAGAACAGTTTGTAACATGCACAGCTGAAAATAAACCATTGATTTTATATCACTTCTTAGTTGAACAAAAGTGGGACAAAGTGTTATGTTTCACAAACGCTGCACAAATAGCACACAGATTAACTGTGTTATTAAATATATGGGGAAATGGTAGTTTAAAAGTTGCAGAGCTATCTGCAGCATTAGACAGATCAACAAGAGAAAATGTTTTAAAAAAATTCACTCAATCTGAAATTAACGTGTAAGTAAATAATCATTCTCCTATTCATATTATAGATTGACTCATTATCCAGTGATGATAATATTAAAACTGTTAAAAACTAGCCCAAGTGTGTCAGGTACGCTGAGGCCATCTCTAGTTATACGAGGTCTGTCCGGAAAGTTCGTATAAAAGTGTTCTGGTATGCGAGAAAGAGGAGTGGGGAGGCCAGGTAAGCGCAGGAACCCCTTCCTTATGTCCCTAACAATGCTTCAGTTCTGGTCTGACCGTGCGGTGCGAACTGGCTTGTCACGCCATCTGTGAAGTTACCTCTTAACGAAACCCCGTCGGCATGAAGCCCGCTTCCGTTGAAGAGCAGCGCGTCGTAAACAAGTTTCTCTCGAAACTCGGCAAGAATTATTTTTATGTGACAGGGAACCACGAACAAAAAAAGAAAATCCCGCTAAATGTCAAGACAATGTTGATTGTTTTTTTCGATGTTCGGGGGATTGTCCATCAAGAACCAGACAGTTGATGGATCTACGTCGATGTGCTCAGACGCCTCAAAGCTCGTGTGGCACGAGTTCGTTTGGCGCGAATGATTCTTCACCACGACAATGTGACCTCTCTTGTTGTCCGTGAGTTTTTGAGTAAAAAATGAACAATTCGCCGGATTTGGCCCCGTGTGACTTCTTCTTGTTCCCAAAAACCAAATTGGTACTTCCATTTGGGGGACATAAATGAGATAAAAAAAGCTACGACGGGGCAGCTGAGAAACCTACAACCAGAGGACTTTCAAGGAGCCTTCTCACATGGCACAAGTGCATTATGTCACAGGGGGAGTACTTTGAAGGGGATAAAATTGATTTACCCGAATAATTGTAAAATAAAATTTTTAAAAAACTTTTATACGTACTTTCCGGACAAACCTCGTATGTGAGTAAAGAAATTAAAATGCTTAGGAACCACTGATTGTGAGTACTTTTAATGGGTGACAATGAAATGGTAACTCCACTTACGTAAGAGATATTAGGTGAAAATGAAAGCAGGTCAGTTATCCCACCGTAACAAATTCAACAACAATTGACCATGGTTGGTTTCCAGACGGAACCGTGTGGAGGTCAACTTGATAGGGGTATATTTGCTAGCAATAAATAACCCACCCTTGGAAACCATCTTGGTTAATTATTTATAGATTCGTCACGAGGGGTCATTTGACTTGTTTTTATCTTTACCTATCATCTCCCACTGACGCCCCACCATACGTAGTGGTAGACGTATACCGATAACTCAGACAAGGTTACCGTTTTATTTTCACCCATTAAAAAAAAAAGTGGCGGCAACTTCTATACAAAAGCAAAGAAACAATTAACAAGAATAATTGATGTTTTTCTGTTCCAGACTAATTGGTACTGATGCTTTAGCCCGAGGTATTGATATAACGGATTGTACGTATGTTATTTCATACGACCCACCAAGAAACATAAAAACATATATACACAGAGTGGGTCGAACAGGACGTGCAGGTCGCAAGGGTCACGCCATTACAATCTTATTACCAAATCAAATGAACATTTTTATGGTAACTTTTATTATTATATTTAATTTATCATCATAATTATTTCACCCATTATCCGTCCACTGCTGGACATAAACCTGCCCATAAAATGCCATAAGAAACAGTTCTGAGCCACCTGCATCCACTGACTCCCTGCAATGCATTTGAGGTCGTCACTGCATCTAGTGGGGAGTCGTCCTACACTGTGTTTGCCCGTACGGGGTCGCCACTCGAGTACCTTTTTTCCCCATCGGTTGTTGGTTCTTTGATCTGTGACCGGCCTATTGCCACTTCAGTAAATTGTCCAACTAAAATTAGTTATAAATAAGTTCAAAGAATGACGCTTCTGAGTCGCTCATAACCTATTATAAGCATTTGTTTTCAGGATCTTATTAAATCTGGCGGAAAGCCTGAATTGCCTCAAATAGAAATTTCTCCTGAAATATTTGATAATTTATCAGATAGTTATCACCATGCGATAAAGCAGACAAAAGATCAAATTTATAACGAAAACAATTCTAAAATTCAGAAATCTATTGAATTAAAAAGAGGTTTTAAAAGTAAAGCACAAAAAAGAAAATATGATGGAACTAAAAATAAATAATTTAAATAAAATCGGAGAAAAAAAATGGAACTTATATTGTTTTCTTATTTGTGTAATTTATGCAGAGAAACATCTATTTAGCTCTTAATATGACCAATTCAGCTACTAGACAAGTTTTTGTCTATTCTACTAGTCCCATTGTTGTATTGCCTCATAATGGAACTAATTATACAATATTAAGACATGATACATGTTATTATGTGCTATAGGATCATAAGTGCTAATAAATCGTGATGATATATGAATAATGTAGGTATTCTTGAGAGCACAATTAACATTTTGGTTCCAATGACCGGAGTATATATACGGAGTATATATATATATATATATATATATATATATATATATATATATAGTATATAAACGGAGTATAAATGGTTGTATTTTATCATTGTTGTAAATATATATTCTTTACTATCTATTACCCGCAACTTCATCCGCGTGACCGGAATATATCGATTGGCCAGGATAAATAGCAACATTCCTATAGCAAATGTATACTAAATTTCATGACGATCGACAAAAAGATCAAAACGGATTTAAATAATAGATCCTAACTCATGTTGGTTACAGGATTTTTTTTAAAGCAACTTCTTTCATTTTAAATGACTGCCACCAATTTTGTTTGGTGATTCTGCCAACATCGAAACAAAAGTAGCCTATATGCTTCTCCATCCCATATAGTATTTTTATGCGACTTAGATTGGCACACAAGCTGATGGCTTATCTGATGGAAAGTGGTAACCATCGCCTATAAACGTGACCAGTACCATGGACATAAAGTATACTGTGTCGCCCATGATACCCCTCATGCATTACCATTCCTGAGGACTAAAGTATTATGCCTCTGTACCCTATAATTTCACAGTCATATCTCAAACTTTAAACACAATACAACCATGCAAATAACTGCTTCACAGCAGAAATACGAATGGGACAGAGATACCCAAGCAAACAACTTTTGTACAAAGTCTACCTCTGGATACAGGTTACAGTTTAGTCATAAATAAAATCAAATTTTTCTTATAATAACTATTTGTATATTTGTTCTCTGACATATGGATTGCATGTAAAAGCTTGTGAGTGGATGTATGATGCTGCTGGCAATACCATTTCAAATAAAGGACCGTATATACCATGGCCCAATGCTAGCTGTTCTGGCGTTTCATGAGAATTATTTGGTGTTTTAGCTATATTGACCATATCATCACGAAGCATCAAAATTAGTAATGTTGATTTGCAGTGACTTATTGCTGCTGTTAAGTGTAGTGGTGTCTGAGCTGAAAACAGATTAAGTATTCAATAAGATATTATGGTTTTGTAAGTTCGACAAAAATATACAAATTTAAAAAAAAATTAAAATAAGTTTATATTTGATATATTAACATATTATAGTATAAAATTTTTTGAAATTTTTTGATTTTTTGTATTTCAGAAAAATAATGACAGGAAATTTAAAAAAATTGCTTGAAAACTCTAGTTTTCAGAGTGAAAAAATTTTTTGAGTGGTTTCCATGCAATTCTTAAACAAAGTGAAAATATTTTTTTTTCTAAATTTTCTAGGTTTTGTTTTTCACTCTATGGGCATGGAAAAATTTTTTGAATTATATACAGTGTGATTCAAAAAGTATTCAATAAGATATCGAATTGAATGCAAAAGTTTTGTAAGTTCGCACAGCAAGCGGGCGCCGAGTTTCTTTATCTGCATAAAATTTACTTGATTTTTTTTTTGATAATGAATTTTTAAAAATCAAAAAAAAAAAATTAAAATATTATTGATTTTTTGATATGTTAACAAAAATATTATATAAAAATTTAAACATTCAAAAATTAATCAGTTAATATGGGAAAAACATGGGTATTGACTATTCATCACTATATAAGAATGTGATCTAAGTATATTTTTTACTTGAGATAGGTAAATAAGAGATAACTTTTGTAAGTTTACATTGTGTGACATTTCCTCCAATTCTAAGTCAATTCTGATGATTATTTCACCAATTTTATATAAAATACAGTTATATTGTAAGATTTGCTTCAAAATTCTGACTGGAAATACCTAGATGTAATCTTTAACTTCTTAATTTTATAAAATAAAAGTTCTAACTGATCTATCCATGTGTAGTAAAAACTACAATGTCCACCCTAAACATATTTTTAATGTACAATATAAATTAAATACTTTGTAGAAATTAATAGCAATAATTTAAAACAATAATATATTGCTCTCAGCAATAAGATATTATTATAAAAATCTTACCTCCTTCAGAAAGTGCAATAGGGTTTGCCCCAGCTGCAAGTAATCTTGCAGCAGCCTTATAATTATTCCAGTTACAAGCTGAATGTAATGGAGTCCATCCAAGTTCAGTAGTAGTACTCACACTAGCTCCTACACTAAGCAAGTAGCATATGACAGCTACATGATTACCATAGGCAGCTCGATGAAGAGGTGTATAACCATCTGAATCTCGTGCAAACACAAGGCCTGGTTGTTTTGTTAATATTTCTTTGAGAGTATCAAGTTCACCATTTTCTGCAGCCCATAGTACATGGTCAACCGGGTTTGCTGCAATACAACTAAATATATTTAGATAATTATATAACAATCAATTGTCTATACAGAGCTCCATATTCAAATATATTCAAATATATATATATATATATATATATATATATATATATATATATATATATATATATATATATATATATATATATATATATATATATTATATATATATATATATATATATATATATAGCTGATCCTGAAAAACTAAAATGTTGTTTTGCCATACACATTATTTCTAGAAAATAGTTTTTTAAGTTCAATCAAAAATAGCTAACACTATAAGTGTGTTAGGATTTAATTATGATTAAAAGAGGAATGAAACATCCTAGGGAATTACATACTAAATTACAATTATTGACATCTATCTATACATCGATAATAGTTTTTTTTTTATATTTTTTTTAATAATTATGGCAATTTAAAAATAAACAAAGATTAATTTCTCAGCACAATGAAGTGTACAATATTTTTGGTCAGTCATTATCAATCATATCATCAGTTTTTATTATCTGCATTGTTTTGTTGAATTTGTTGGTCTGATCTTTGTGCTCTTTTATTTTGCAAGACTATAAATTTGATGCACATCCACATCAAGCGCTCCTTTGAGTCCTTGCCACCCATAAATTAAAAATTTATGAAAATCCCTTGGCATTGGTAGCAATAAGCCCACTTTGTGATAAACTTGGCTTTTAATTTTGAACATGATATTAAATTTTTGACCATTGCAGCAATATTTTGAATTTTCTGTTGCCACGAAAAATGTAATTTGGAAACGTGTGCAAATTGACTTTGGGAACAGGATAAAATCTGGATCCGTACCGATAAATAAGCCATGCAATGGTTCAGGTAGTGTTTCAATTTCCTTTAATTACACTTTCCTGATGAGCAACACATCCTGACTTGTTTATTTTTAAATTTAAGTGCATGACAATACGGGTATGCCTTGCCCAAAATACCAATGATCACTTAATAGCAACTTTAAAATAATAATGAATTCACTATGACAATAAAATTAACATGAGAGTTGCACTGAAAACTTAAATAATATGATGACATATAACAGTCACTGAGACACAAATAAAAAAAATGGACGAAAACTGTATAGAGAGTGTGAGAAAGGAGGCCATCTTCGTTCTCATCCCTACTCTGTGATGTGACTAATGGATTGGTAGTTGACCAGTTCTCGACAGGTGATGGTTGACGATTAATTTAAATTGAAGGAAAAAGATATAAACTATACATGAAAATTTCTCGTACTACAATAATTATTTTCCATTGCCATCTTGAAACCCTATTGCGGAATATAAAAACCGCGATTAAAAAACAGGGATTGATCGTAAAAGAGTGAAAATTTGAAGTTGTATGTATTTTTCGATGCTAAATCACAATAAAATAAAAATAAAAAATTTTTGACAAAAAAATATATTTAGGGGTGGGTCACCATTGAGGGGTGTGAAAAATAGATGTTGGCCGATTCTCAGACCTATCCGACATGCACACAAAATTTCATAAAAATCAGTAAAGCCGGAGGAAAGGAGGAGTTTGGTAACAAACACCGCGACAAGAGAATTTTATATATTAGATAATATATACATATCTATGTGTGTCTGATGAATGCATTTCTATTGAGAAGTATCTGTACTTGTATAGTTGCCTTTAAAAGGGCAAGGATGCCAGGATGGTATCGCATCTAGGTTGGGATAACACCCTAGTCCTGAGGAATGAAAACATCACGGGATACTATAGAGATCAGTGTATCTGTGATATCAATGGAACTATTTATGTCAATATGTGACCGTTGCTGCTTTTTAAAAAAAAAACATGCGAAAACTATTGTTGCTGTGGTAGATTGTTTATGTAGGAATGTATATATTTTGAAAAAAATCACCTTTCGGATCCTTCACTAACTCAACGTCTTGATTGGCATCATCCCAGCCAGACACAAACATTCCAGACGTTTCAGGATTGCTTTTATATTTCTCGATTTCATCATGAATTTCGTGGATATCTTTTGGATTAAATGAATCATTTCCATCAGAGTCGGAGTCAGACATCATAAAATATTAACAAAATAAAAAGAACAAAATATATATATAACAAAACAAGGAATCAATACGTTACAATAGCTAACAAAAATGAAACAGTTTAATTACAAGTTTTAAATGGAATGAACCACAATTAAAGAGTATATAATCTCTACGTTTTAACCACAACAAGAGAATAACAAAAACAAAGCAGACAGAGATAAGAGTTGGCACTGTTGTTATATCTACGGAACCTGGAGAAAAAAAATAAAATAAAATGTATGTCACCTTTCCGAAGTAACAATACAATAAAAAGAAAAGAAATAAATGTCCATAGTGTTGCATTTAGTTACTTCATTTTACTTTATTACAAGTATTAATCTAATTTTCTTGACAGGCGAGTAATGCAAATTATTTTTGGTGCACTGAACTGCATTGGAATCAGACAGCACATGAAAAACACGTATACACACGTACACAGCATACTATAAATAAAATTAATTAATTATTTATACATAATTTTGAGTACTATTTATCTCCGTAATATACCATTACTTATAATTCAATTTCAGTTCATGTCGATAAATAGTAAGAACCATACTAGGAAATACACTAATGGATTTTAGTTAATTTTATAAGTTCAACAAAATTTGTAATAATACATAAAAATCAGCTCTATGTACGAACATGTTAATCAGATAATATATGCAAACTTTATATATACTTAACTGTTTTAATTATTATTATTGTTTACTTACTAATTCGAATTTATAGAAAATAAATTAAAAACGTCGTTTATTATTTGTATTATATCATACTTAATACAAATTTAATTATATTTTTATTTATTACTACGTAGTGTATCAAACACATATTAGTTATTTTAATATTTTAAAAAAATTGTTTATAAGTGAAGTGCTAATTTTAAAACGTCATAACTTTGATTGTCGTGGCGCCAATTCAAGATGGCCATGCTCCGCACTGATAGATTTTTTTAAATCTCTGGTAACATAGTTTCATAGAAAAACATCATTCTAACAACGGTGCTCTAATTATCGCTGGTCTCCAAAACACTGAAAAAGTGAAATACTAGTGTCCGCAGATTAAGTAATCACTACGTTATTAGTGTTCACAGAGCAAATTACTCTGTGACTACTACATTATACGAATTTGCAGTATTTATTTATTTATATGTAGATAACGGTACAACACATCAACATTTATTTATTACATTCTATTGTTACTTTGAAAAGATATCATGCATTTCATTTTCCAGGTTTCGTGAATGTAAAGTCACTCAACTCTTATAATGTAGTGGTCACTGGTAGGTATAGAAACTAACGCTACATTTAATCTATTATCATTTAGTGAAATTTTTATTTTCTTTTACAGTTATGTCGCCATTGACAAAAAAAATAATATTACACGCAATGACTAATATCGCCCTCTTCATGGTTAATTCCTGATGAATTCATCATGATGGGCTAACTGGCCTGTTTTCATTCTCATCTATCACCGTTCACTGGTGCTCCGCCAACGTATCCCGTTAGCGCAGGCGGGGTTACCATACCATTTTCACCCATCAAAGAAAATATCGCCCTCTTATTATTGTTTCCCCGTTTTGTTTTTGGCAAAATACCCTAATACCTAGTTAGGTAGTTAGTAACGGAGACAAACAGCCCAATAGTAATAACTAGCAATATATACCGTGTCAGGTCGATATCCACGTGGTCCTCCCTGGAAACCATCGTGCTGAATTCCAGATGGGCCATCACGATGGGCTAACTGACCTGCGTTTTCATCCTCACCTATTATTTCTTACTGGTGCCTCGTTAGCGTATACCGTTAGCGCAGACCATTCCATTATCATCCATTGAAAAAAATCATGCCGAATTCAACGAACACGCATACAAATAATATGGGTCACATATGCACTAGGCATATGCAATAATACATTAACATGTATACCTTTATTATTTATTTGTTTATAACTTATGATTACAATTGACAATTTTTTTAAATATTATCAGTTGAAGGCATCATTAGTAGTTACCTACTTTTACAATATTTTGACTTCTTTAGTTTTCTCTATATCATTATTTATTAATCTTATTGAATCTTAATATAATTAAAAACTAATTTGTTATAACTTAGGCATGCTTACTTATATATGCTTATATATACCTATTATCCATATTTTAGGACTTGAGGTATCACTGGCTAGATATAATTTTAAACTCAATGTAGGTAATATAATTACTATTTTATCTTCAAAACAATTTACTGACAATAGTTAATTTAAAAATTTATCGATAACTTTTAAAGACCATATTTTCTATAACATACATAGCACCTGACACAAGAAATGTTTCAGACTGTAAATTTTTAAGACTAGCTATAAGATTTCTTTTATCAATTTTTTTCAGTTCTGTTAATGTTTGTCTTGTTTCTGAAGTCATATATGGTAAGACAAGACAACCTATACCGAAACATTTGCATCTTATGCAATTTTTCCATATTTCTTTCAAATCTCCATCTTTGATAATTGGGCTAATGGGCAATAAATTTACAGCATTCAGACATTTAATTTTTTGCTTTTCTGTGATTGGATAATCAGCATGTTGAAATGGAGATAATATAACTGCACGCCAGGCAGTACGTATTATATCGTCAAGAGGTGCCGATACTTTTAACAATAAAGGTGTCATTTCTTCATATAAACCAGCACGTAACATAAATGGTACAACGATACGAATGCTTTGCTTGTCGCCGAATCGACGAGCAAGATCTGCTGCTATTTTTAATGCCTCAACATTACCGCCTGACGATTGCAACAACTGATCCAAAGCACAGATCTTATTTTGCATAAATGTGGCAATAACCCAAGGCATATCAATATTCTCTAAATTAACTATACTTATTAATTCCAAAAGAGAAGACCACAAAGCATCGCGCTCCTTATTTGTAACTTTTACAGCAGTATCGGTGTCGATAACGCTCATTAAGCATTGCAATGCTCGAAGTTTTTTACATTTATTAAAATCACTGTCATCATCAAAAGCAATTCGAGATAAATAAATGGCACCCATTTTTGGGCAAGTAGCTTTTAAAATATATTTTGCTGTCATTAATTCTTTAGTATCCAACCCCAAAAATGTTCTATGTTTATTTTCTTTATCAGACTTTTCAAGAATATTTTCCAAAATTTGGATTCTAATGGAACTTATATTAATGGAATTCTTATCTGCGATTTCATTTGTTGCTCGATTAACATCGTGTCGACTCATTTTCTCAACAAAATTTGGATGCATATACATAGCACGAATAAGCTGAGCAGGTTCTGTTGAAAGACGAATAAATTCTTCACAAGCCCATTCTATTTTATGTAGAGCATGACGGGTTGATAGGGTAGAATGCAAGCGTTCCATTTGTCGCACAGCTCTAACACCAGGCTGTAACGCTGCCCATTTTTCAGCAAATTGATAACATAGTTGGGCTGCTGCTACCTGGTCGGCTCCGCGAGCACAGCCTTGGAGAACATAAAAAAGACAGGCGCCCGCCCATTCCATATTAGCAATATGACTTACACATCGATGAGCAGCTCTAAGTAATGGTTCCTCGCGGGTAGAAAGCCTCCATGGTTCACTATCTTTATTATTGATATCAGTAATATCAACAGTTTTTCGTGTAGTCATAGTTTGTTTCAACGCATTGCTGCAAATCATATCCTTCGCAATTTGCAAATCAGGGTCAAGTGAAAGTAAAGCGACAACGGGTAGCCAGTGTTCATATGTTTCAAGTGTGATTTCTGACTTTAAATTTGACCACATATCGTCTCGCATAAAAAGATGGAATGGTAGACGATAATAGCCAATTTGTGGAAAAATTCCTTTTACAGAAAATAATTCAAATTCATATTGCTTGGGAGCACTTGATCTTCTGTAACTTTTCAGAAAATTAAGTAAAAAGTATTCTCTTTTGTTTCGTAATTCAATTGATGAACCAAATATCAAGTAGTATATACACATATAGATTTCATAATAATAAGGATTTATTGAAACTAATCTGCCATGTAATGTAACTTCACCATTTTTCCAAAATCGTTCAAAATATCTCTTAAAAAGTCTTTATGTTCAATATTTTCCCATATCATAGAACATTTTGTAGTTATTTCCTTTTGGCTATTTTCGTAATGTATACGAGCGCAATTTAAATCGTCATTAATTATCATGTATTTTAAATCCCATGTTGTGAGAAGGGCTATTAATTGTAAAGACAATCCATCATTCACAGATACATTCAACGTTCTGCACAAATCTACAAGTCTATTGTAACTAGTATCTGGATTTTCTCTTAACACATAAAATAGAATAACTTTAACATCCCAAGTTTCTTCACTACTGTCAGGAAGAGCAAACTCGGCTAAATTGATATTAAACTTACATTTCAGAATGTACTGAGGTGGACAAGATATTGTGCTTGCACATAAATCATTATCCAATAAAAATGCACGTCGTATTACTGGGGATGTAAGGTAAGCCAAAACGCCAGGAGGCAAGGTCTCATTCTGACCTTGAAGAATTTCTAAAATCCACGTTTTTTTATTTTCTTTATTCTTGCTTAATATGATTAATAGAGCTGTTAATAAAACTTCATCAAGATTTTTTGTTGTTAAAACTTTACTTAGAACTTTTTGAGCTATTTTATCCCTCTTTTCATAGTAAAAATTACATAAAGTTTGACTTGTGTGAATAGAATTTACCATAATGCTGGAGATCATAGTAAATGGTATAAAATCACATCTTTCAGATGAATGAGATACTATATCATTATGTTTTGGAGACAGTAATTTATAAAAATTTATTAAATCATTAACACGAGCCATTGATGACATAGGCAAAAATATGTAATGAAACTTCCAGACTATAGATAGATTTCTTTGCATAATAATAGCATTTACTAAAGCATTCAAAATGGAAATTTTATTTGTAATGTAGTGCAAATTTTCTTCAGTACAATTAATTAATAATTCTACTAAAACTTCACTAGTTTCAAGTAACAATAAAGAATTATCTCCATCTTTGAAATCGGAGAATAGTGACTCAAAGTTTTTGAATAACGACTTATCTTTAGATGTAAGTAATATATTAAGAAGATTCTCAACAAATTTTCTTGCTGAGTGGCTTGTGGAAATTTTACGTAATAGTTTCGTCACCATGAAATAATAAGATTGATCTGAACATATTAGCTGCATTAAGCATGAACACTGTCCCGAGCTAGCTACATCTCCATATTTAATAATCCATGAATTTGATTCTTTGATACAACAATTTTCAATGTACAGTTTATTCAAATTTAAAGTAACATTGTACAGTTTTTTAAGATAGTACAATTTTTCAATATCTCTCATTTGATTATTACTCATCATTTGGGTTCCTTTAAGAAAATCTATATAACTTTTTTCAGTAATGTTATTATTCCTTCTTTCATCAATTATTTGTTCAAATTTAGATACGACTGATTTGAACAACATTTTCTTTTCGTTACTAGATAATTTATGAAAATACTCTAATGCTATTCTCACATCAGAAGCTTGAAGACATTTTGTAATATATAACATATGACCATAACTCTTATAACTTGTCATTACTCTTGTAATAATTTTAAGATCATTCAAATTAATTATTTGCGCATTTATTATTTTATGAAGAACTAATACATAATCAGTACAAGTTAAGGGGAAATTATATTTTTTTAAAATGACTTTAATATTAGCATAATTTAGTTCTTTTTGTATTTCATATGCTAATGAACGATCTGTATCAGTTATTGTAAAATCTTTTGTAGCTGACGCAGCTGCGGTGATGGCTAAATCAAGAACTGTAGCATTCCATGGTACATCTAATAATTTTAAAACTTGTAAGAGACACTCTAGTTTAGTACTAGTTAAGCGAAATGAATTGAGAAGAATCTTTAAACGGCAACCATCAACACCACCACCACCAGAGGCAGCTTCATTCTCTATGAAAGATCGAAGAGTATCATCCATATCAAAAAGATGTCTTGTAGCAAAAGATGGCAAATAATCCTGCAGAAATATCTCTAAATCTTCAGTATAGCAACGGTGTAACATTATAAGGGCAACTTCGCAAGGATTTAGTGAACTTAGTTCACTTAATAGTATGTTTATTTTGTATTTGTCTTTTAATTCAATTATATATGTGATATGATTTTTTAGTGTATCTATATCATCCATAGATAAAGGTCTAATTGAAACTGTCTTAAGTGATAACTCTAAGATATTTGTTATTTCTTCTATAAATTTTATACCTATTTTTGGCCAATATCCAGAGTGCTCCAATTCAAACACTCTTTTGATAGTCCATTTGACAATTAAGTCAATAAAAAAAGGATTTTCATCTAAAAGTGCGGGTATAAAGTTTTTCAACCATATAATGAGTGCACTCATTTTAATGTTGTATGGAATCGAATACAAAATATCTGTAATATCATCTTGATTAACTATTATATATAATTCAGAGTACTTCAACCAACAAATTGTCGCCAAGTCCAAATCTGATTTAGACAAAAATAGCACACAAAGTTGTTTAAAATTTTTATCAAACAAGTTGACTTGTTCATAATCATTACTGTTTCTAAACTGTATGTACTCTAATAAATCAATCTTTACAATTAAATCGACCATAAGATTAATCAATTCACAATTGCCTGATGCATAAATACGGTTTTGAAGTGGATACAGAACTGATTTATATGCAATGTTGTGTTGACAAATTCTCAATGCAGTATCCATTAAAAAGGGGAAGTCATTGATTTTTTCAAAAAGTTGTTGCAATTTTATAACTACCTGGTTATATTCAGGTTCAGACATTATTTCTTCAATAAATGCCTTTGCCTGTAATTTCAGAGCTTCTTGTGATGACAGGTTATGAAAAGAATTATTTAAATAGTCTTCTGATATTTCTAACGGTGATGTGGTGGAATTCCATGCATGGCAAATATGAACCTGGAATTTAAATAATTAATTTATTTTAAAATAATGCATGTAGTCTAAAACTTGAAAAAATTCCAATGTCACTTAATACATTCCAGTCCAGCATGGTAATAGTTAGCTAAAACCATCCTCTTTTGTGGGAACCAGACCATAAGAATAAAGACGTAGTCTTCCAGATGAATAGAGCCGCGAATGCGGTTCTATTTGCAAGAATTAAATTCCTTAAATCAGTGAGGTCGTGCACTAATCAAAAACCATGTTTAATCGTAAATCACTAGATGGCATTATATGTTGAATAATTTTACCTTCCTCGGGTTATCAATATTAATGACTTGTTAACTTAACAGTCGTAAAAAAATATACCTAACTAAATTTAATGTTTTATCCTTTTAGTATGTGTTTTGGCCCTTCTACTCACAGGATGTGTATCACTTCATGACTGCGCCGCGATATATTTTTTTTTTAATGGGTGAAAATGAAATGGCAAGCCCCCTTGCGCTTACTGTATACACTGACGGGGCACCAATGAAAGGTGATTGATAAGAATGAAAACAGGCCAGTTAGTCCATCATGATGAATTTATCAGGAATTAACCATGATAGTTTCCAAGGGCAACCGCGTGAGGTCAACCTGGTTGGCTATATTGTTAGCAATGGGATTCTTTGTCTTCATTACTAACAATCCCTTTCCCGCCTTCCGCAATGTATTTCGTAAACGCAATGCTTAAATATTATTACTCAGTATTTAGATGTTAGACCAACAATTTTTATTATACAAAACAATGTACAAATATTTCCCTTACTTTTTTTTTCTCTAGTTGAAAGGTAAGTATATATTGATGGTAATGACAGTTATCTGATAAAAAATATTTAATTAATCCATTAGTGTCTCTTGCTCTAGTCCTTATGTCCCACTAGATATATTGTATTTAATATACATTACTGTCACTTTTCCATGTCATGTGGAAGCTTTATGATTATATTATCAGATTATATGTGACATAGTCACTCTTACTAGTGGGAGACAAGGGGTCGCCCTCTACATTATGATTATATATACAAGGCCACCACTTAAGATTCTTTTTTGTTATTTATATGACTATATATTATATATACTATATATTATATGTATACCAGATTTCTATTTGACAGGTGGTATATGGCAGTGAAATTACAAGGTACAGAAGAATAATACCAGAGTCCTCAGGAATGGCAACGCATGGGGAGTATCATGGGCGAAACAGTATACTTTGTTATGTCCATGGTACTGCTCATGTCTATAGGTGAAGGTTACCACTTTCCATCAGGTGGGCCATCTGCTTATTTGCCATTCTAAGTTGCATAAAAAAAATTATATAAAATTGTATAGCCCTATTTCAGTGAGGGGCAGTGGGGTACATTTTATCAACATATACATATATGTATTCACTAAGGAAAGAACATTACTAATATTATAAATGTGAAAGTTTGTTAGTTTGATATCTTATAATACCTTAACAGCTTAACCAATTACTATGCAATTTAATATACACATACTATATGGGATGGAGAAGTATATAGGCTACTTTTTAGCCCAATTGGTAAATATATCATGATCACATAGACAAATTTTTTTATATTGTAGAATGACTGGACTCAACATGAAACATCTTTCCTATGTTGATTACTTAGTCAATATTATAATAATAGTCAAAACTTATCAGTCTTGACAAGGTTTGTCCATGAAATGCTACATAAAGATAAAGGTCATTCAAATAAATTGTACTTACATAATTTATTTGAATGATGTTTATCTAATTGAAAAATAAACATATAATTGAATAAAAAATATACTTTACCTCAGTCTCATCCCATGTAATATAATAAAGTGTATTATTATGTGATCCTAATGGATAATATTTCATAGCAACATTATCAAACTTATACAAAATATTGCTCTCTTTCAAATCTACAACCCACATATGCATTTCATCTGACAAAACTATTACCTTTTCCCATTCTACAATATATTTAATTTGCATATTTGTTGATATTGTGTTATAAAGACCCGTTAAAGGACATCTCACTAATACTTTTCCCTCTTCATTACTTATAATAACTCCATTAGATTCTATTCCAATTAAAGATTTCAATGTAGAATTATTCATATATTTCTTCAATGATACGGTAAGTAGTGTGGTACCTTCAGCAAAGATATCTTTTAATTCATCTGTTGTATAGGGAGCAAAAAAGCAGTCTCCAGTCTTGTTGATTAAATATATATTTTCATGTCTGTCAGTTTTAATGTATTGTATTTTAGATGTAGACAAGTTATCAATAATAAGTTTAAGACAACAACCAATATTAAAATCTATTACGTTAATTTCTCCTGTTTCAAGAATTATCCAAAGATAATTTTTTTGTATAGTTTTATCCGCTATTTGGTTACTGAGTATTAAAGTGTATCCTTCATGCGATCCGTCAGTTTCTATATTCTGTACATCCATAATCCGAATAATCTCATCATTTTCAAATAACAACAACTTCGGGTATAATAACTGACCTTTCAGGTGTTTTATTCTCTGAATTGATTTATATTTCTTATTTAACATTGACATCAATGAGGCCATGTTACTGGTATCTTCGGGAATAATGTTTTAAATTTATACATAAAGTAATACGATTTCAAAGAACGAGTTACTTAGCTATTCCATATTATTATTTAGAATGAGTTATTTGGCTATCCCATTCTATTAACGTCCATTATACTTTAAATCTTGAAGTCCACAAATTTAACAAAACAACTTCTGTTAATAACGAGACATAAAGTTCTTTTTATTGTATTTAATAAGTGTAAAAGCATTAAATGTTTCAATAATCACTATAGCAAAAGAGAAACAACAAAGAAAAAATAAAGTATAAAGAACGGATATGATAAATTAACGAATAATTTTCAAACTTTATATATAGTTACAAATATATAGATACCATAAAGATTACAGATACTGCCTAAATAGATACCTATTTGACTTATCTAACTAGGTACCGTAAAATGGGATGAATAAGCTAAAATTTGAACTTCACACTTCAATTTATTTATTTTGTTAGACAAATTGTTATTATTGACACATTCTAAATGTCTTTGGTTGTTTAAGTTATACGACAAAAAACAAAATAATTTCAAAAATAGGCAGTAGTTGATTATTTATAGTAAAATGAGTATTATGCCTATTTATATTGGATTCAGAGTGAAAAATGGGGCGAATAGAGCAAAGGCATAGGGCGAATAATAGCAACACTGTACGTGTTGCTATTATTTACAATCAGAGTGCGATGTAAAATTCTTATTCCATTCGCGTCGTACTTAGGTCTATATAACTAGAAATACCATTGGTCCTTAAATTAAAGAAATAAAAACTCGTGCCAGACAGGGGAAGACTGTTAGTAATTAAGATTAGCAATACCCCTAGCAATAAAACGCAGTGGTGGATTGTCGCCAATAGGCTATTTACATTTTATTGCTTACCGATCTCTTCAGATCTTTTATATTACATTTGTGCTTCGGATTCAATACCCTAGTTCATCATATTAATTATATTTTTTTTAACAATGAAACTATAAATTTTGCCTTAAATTTACCGTCAATAAAATCTGCCACTCTAAACCTATGCAACCTACTACTAAATTCGCCACTAATAAAGCAGTTTATAGACTTGTAAGTTTTTTTAAGTTTTTCTTTATGTAATATTTTGATTTTTATGTGGTGTTGTACTATACAGAAGGGATATAATAGATATTCACTAACATCCGATAGTAAAAACAATCACTAGATCTAACTGTTCAAACTTTTAGGCAGAATCATGAGATTCCATGTAGCTGTAAATTTAAAAAATAATACCGAGTAGGCGGCCATGATGGGAATTAGGAAATAATTTCAACATGGCGCCCGGTTGTTCGGAGTGTGTGTGTGTGAAAGTGCAGTGAAAATATGTTAATATCTAGTGTTTTTAGTGATAATTTTAGTGTTTAAGTGAGAAGCGTGTGCTTTAATGCAGTGGTTTTCTTATCATGGCATTGGATTTACGCCTGCATTCTCCTGCAGGCGCGGAACCTGTTGTTTATACATGGCCCCTCACTTCAGGTCATGGCTCGGTAAGGAAATCGTTTATTATTATGCCTATTTTCTTACTTTGTTATTTACAAATAATCATGACAGAATGCAATGGTGTCATAATTAAATCACTGTCCATAAACAATACTTAGTTAATATATCGATTGTAGAATCGTCTAAAATTTCTAAATCTTAAACGTCCTGTAGAACTATTTTAGACTCGGTGTGCTTTTATAGGTTTGTTTTTCCGAAACTTCATAAAATATTTAGTTCTTCGCGTTAAATTTAGTATTTAATCTTGTAAAATCAAGTATATTTATTTAGGAACGATATCAGTGCTGACTATTAGAAGACTATTCCTCCTATCACATGGGTTACAATAAAGAGTGTATTGACCTCGTGTTTTGTCAAGGTGTCGGCTTTTTTTAGATATGTACACACTGTTGCGTAGTTTTCACTCGTCATTCATATACAAGTACCTTTTCATGACTACTTTTGTCTTTCTGATGAAGATTCGCGAACTTTAGCCTTTTATATACGTTCTATATTTTTAATAAAATTTTCATATCATAGGTATTAATGTAGGTAAACGTTACATAGGTTTGTTAAGTTACTAACCAAGTATTGAATTGAATGAAATGAGACATGAAGGGTTTTTATTTAAATATTTATAAACTGTTTTATGTATTAGGACTGTATTCTGCTGATTAAATTATCTATGCAAGATTCCAATATCAATTTTGATAAGCAAATTTTGATAAACTTTTTCAGTATTTGATAATTTTATTCATTTAATAAAATTAAATTATATATTAGTAGACTCTACTGTCTTCAGGTGTAAGGTTTCTTCTTTATACTATAACATTTTTTATTTAAATATGTAATAAAGTCTTTATTATTATATTTATTAGGTCGGTATTAGATTTCTTATTAGACAATAAATTTAAGGGCAAACAGTTGAAGTATCATGAAGATTCTTATAAGTATATTGTAAAGTGTAATGGGAAATAAATTTTATAAAATATGCACACAATATATAATAAATTTATTTAAAAGGTTTTGTATGAAGAAAAATGTATTTGATTTAAGTTTACATAGTTTATAAGAAATTGATCCATATATTATTAAAAATAAAAGAACACTACATACATATACATATATTTTTAAGGATAGCTGCCTTTGGTAATCTCTACCCTCTGCTTACTTTGTAAGGAATAATATATATTTTGAGCTATTTTTAAAACTTGTTGCTCAATTATAGCTTATAGATAAAGCTTTAAATTTAATTTAATCTTGTTTAAAAAATAAAATGTAAATAGTTCTATAATATAGAAATAGAGAGTGTATTATGGGGTATATACAATTTTCCAATAGTACAGGATTAATAATTTGCTATTAATTGCTGCCAAAATAAAAGGTATTATGTAAGTAAATATATTTACATTATCAATATTGATTCAGATTTAATACAATTTAATTGAATCATTGAGTATTCCTATACTATTATGCCAATTGTAATCTCATGTGTATATTCCTAGAAATATTTTTTTTATTTTTGTTAAGGTTTTTACAATAAACTTAAGAAATTAGAAAAATCATATTTAGCCCTTTATTTAAAAAAAAAAAAAAGGTTCATGACTGTAATTCATGTGACATTTTTGTATGCTATTTCCAAACAATTTAAATTTGTCTTCTATATAAACAATACTTTCATTGAATCTTTAGAAGAGTAAATGATTATCAGAAATAGTTCAGAATGGTTGAAAATATAGTATAATATTAAACTAAACTAAAACAAAATTAAAATAAAATGAAAATATTTTTAAAGATTTTTTTTTTTATTTTTGCTTTAAAAATAAATTATCTGCTTATTAATAGTGATAACTTTAATACCTATGACAATTTTGTACATGTCAAAGATACTTAATTTGAGTAAAACAATATTGATTATTTTTTCATAATTTTTAAGGTTATATTTGATATCTAACAGTACAATAGAACTCTTACAATGTGATTTGTGTTTGTCTATTATGATATTATGTCTTAGTAACTAATGCTAAGTATTTTAAATTTAGAATAGTATTAAATATTGTTATTCTGCATATATTGATATAAGATATAAATGGGAAATATTTATATTTTGTTTGTTACTGCATAAAAACAAGATTACTAGTCTATATGGAGTGGGTGGAATTGTTACTAATGGGAACTAATAGTCTCATTATACAGCTAAGAAATGTTAGCTATTTACAGGTCAACCTTCATGCAGTCTCACCTGGAAAGCATTGTGGTCAATTCTTGGTGAATTTGTCTCTATGTACATAGTACCAATAGACCTGATTTAATACTTACTTATCATCCTTCATGGGCAACTTGTCAACAAATACCAGCAGTGTATGGATTACCATTTCATTTATTACCCATAAAAGAAAAAAAAAATAAACTGGAAAGTAATAAAAGTAATCATCAATCAAAATATCTTCAAATGTGAACATTTCAAACTAAAACTAAAAAGTTAACTATAAGTCACTTAACATTGGACTTACTAATTATGTACTTTAATGTATTGTTTATATTTATATTTTATTTAGGAAACTATAACCAATTTAGGAAATAAACTTTTAGAATCTCAGATATTGGCTTGGGTCTATGTATTCTTGGTGAGATGTTCATTACCTGGTTCTTCATAACACGGCTTGAAGACTTAATTGCATTGTGTAACACTTATTATTAATTTATAATTCGATATGTTTTATAAATTAATGATATTAATGAATTATTAAATATTATTTATTATTAGGTTATATTAAAGTGAATTATTTATTCACAGGGCTAGTAGAAATAAACCCTGTTTAATAATTTCTGCTTCCTAATTTTTTAGGACCTGCATTTGTAGGTGCATTGTTATTTTTTTCTCATAAGTTGTAGAATATGTATGTGTAATAAAGTTAATAAAACAACTAATTTCATGAAACAAAGGTTTCATGAAATTAGTTCTAACCTACTGGGTTACATTTGATTATTTGACATATCCGCATTTAACTAGTTAAATAAACCACTATATTATGTATATATTATGATATGAAATGAGAGGTAAGAAAAATCAGTTTCAGATTTAGAATATGAGTTTCTATGAAAATAAGTTTCTAACTATGAACCTTGGAATGTGAGATCAGCTTAAATCAGATTTTAATATCTCCAATAATTTCTCAATCATATATTTGTTTTCATCTCGCAATGTAAAAGACATAGTCCCGGTCACTTCCAAGAAGATATCTGTCATGATATTTAATTTTTAGATCAGATACTTAATTTAGCTAATAATAAAATTGCTGTTTAATTATATATTTTACTTGAATAAACTAATAAATGTGTTTTTTGTTTCAGGACAAACACGATGGGGCCTTGGAGATAGTGGAAACCATACGGTGCGTAAAACAAATATTATGAAAATATTAAGACCACCAACTTTTTTCACCATAATCACCAGTTTACTAGCAGTCTGCACAATTACAGGACAGTTATTTATTATTACTTAGATTAATTTTGAATGCTCAAGAATATTTACACATGTATTCGGGCCTTCACTTCTTAGTCTTAAAAAACCATGCTAGCATTAGCAACAGACATCGGGCAGGTCGATTACCTATTTAACAAACACTGTTTGATAACTTCGTGATGGTTGAACTGTCAAAAATAATTATTTTACGTCACACTATTGCTTCCTAATCGTTAAAGGGGTTAAATGTACTTTTTCCTGACAAACGGAGTTAGGGATCTGCTGTTAATATAGATCGAAGTAATTCATATAAAAATTTTACCATGTGCAATGTTATTGGGCATTTAAATTCCCTTTGGTAATTCATAATAGAATCCTAAAAATATATATATTTTGCAATATATTTTATTAACTTTTTGTTCTTTACGATAATCATTAAAAGTAGATTTTCTCCGGAAAAAAATAACCACTTTATTTAAAAAAAAAATTGCTTAATTAAAACGCCAAATTGTAAAAATACATATCTATTACGATGAGATGACTATATTTGAGTTTTGAACACAGAACAGTATGTTTTATAATTTAACTAGCGGCCCGTCCCGGCTTCGCAAGATTGAACATTTTTACATTTTTATCTGTATCTACCTAGCTACCTATTTCATAGATGTGCCCGCCTTATCTTGCCCTTCTTCCGCACCGCTAAAATAGGTACGAATAACATGTACAACACGACAACGTTATTTTTTCTATTTCTATGAATTATTAAATTCGTAATATCTATTGAATGGAATAGTAGATTTAAACAATATGTTTAAAAATATAAACACAAAGCAATAAATAGTGCTGACAATTTGCTTTAATCAAAGCACGTCCAAAATGAAATGACCGCATGAATGACATAACAACATGTAACAACATGTTTGTACCATCAACACTAAAAAAAATTTGTGTTATTTGTTACAAAAAATGTGATAAATGAAGAACCGCTCGACCGATTTTGTGCAAACTTCACATAAACCGTCTACTAAATAGTCCGAACAAAGTCTAAACATTTGGTTTGGATAGGTAAGCCCGTTCTTGAAATGAAAAGTGGCATTAATTTTTTATATATAGATTTTATTTCGCAGTAAATCTCTTTTTGTTTTAGAAGGAAAAATGGCGGCTTTAATCCTTATGAACATAATATAGAGCCATCACTACAATAAACTCTATCGATTACAAAGTAAATCTTCAAAATAGGTTCAGTACAGTTCGTTTTAGTTTTGTGGCATACTTAGATACCAAACAAATTCAGAAGAATTGGAAACCTTTTGGTGACTGTTTAACAAAACGCAAAGAACTACCTCAATCGGGACAAAATTAATTATGGGACGGGCCTTCACTGGATTAAATACTTATGATTGCAAATATGGCTATTGGTATCGGAGTTACTATAATACACGTAGATTAAAACATTTTGTGTTTACGTATATTGTGATCTTTTTTTTATCTTTTTTATTTAGAGGCTTTTATCCTACAAGGTTATGTCAGCCTCATCTATTGTGATCTTATTAGTTCTATAATTTGTTACTTCCTATAAAGAACGAAGTTAGAGTCCCTAAAAATTAATAAAGAAATGAAATATTAGAGCGACGTATCGTAATTGAACTGTTAGTATTTCTTATATTGTAGTAAATAGGTATGCAAGTTTGTTGCATCGAGATTTCAAAAACCGCCGTGACTAGCATTTCATGTCTGCAAAATGTAGTATTTGGACCCGGTGTTGAGGTTTCAAACAGTAATTAAATCATTAGTTAAAACGTACTTCCGTCTAAGTTTAAACGTTATTTCGCATATTATGACGGTTATTAAAATACATTGTGAAAAACGTAAAGTGGATTTAGTGCCCACCTGTTCTCACACGTCGGAAATAAAACGGGAACCAGTTTGGCAGGTTACCTATTTCCACGGATGGTGGGGATCGCGAGTGCTGACATCGCGACCTCATCTCGACCGGACGCACCATACCTTTTGTAGCCTTGAAATTGTCCTCGATTTGCTCTGTTGCATTGTAACTCAAAAACGTATTTATAGATACGTATTAATGTATTAAGGAATTGTCTGTTGAAATAACAGAGAGATTTGTAACTATATATTGATGCTCAAAAAGTTTCCTTGATACCCTATAGATACCACATAGATAGGTCTATTATCGATTTTGCTTTACAACAAGCAGTATTTTGTTTTACAAAAAAAATGGCATCTCCGATTGTTACAAAGAAAAGAGTGATACATTTGCTTATTTTTAACAGACTTCAAATAAGGAGAAGCTTCTTAATTAGGTTGAAGGATATCATAATAATAATATAATTTATTTGCTGAAAAACACGGTATACAGATGTTAGCAATAATATGTACATATACTTATGTATAGGTTCTTTAGAATTTTCATCAAAATTTATTTAGTCGTTTAGTTTTTCAATCAAAATAACTTGTTTTGTCACGATCGAAGTCGATTTTTTTATGGAATAAAATCTTAAATTATTGATATAGCAAATACAGAATATAAATGTTCAGTTTTAACAATAGAGAATTCCGTTAAAATTATCATAATAATTTCAGTTCCATTCAATAGTATAAACAAACACTATATAATTTGATATAGATTATATTTTGCAATTCCACAATCAGTTGGTTTTCTATGTAAGTACGATGTTTGTTTGTATACATTATTGTAATGTTGTCCAGGTGGGTGTGCGACGACTTGCCGGAGATGAAGGCTGCACTCGAGAACAACATCCTGTGCGACTACGACACCCACTCCTACGAAAGCATGAGAGCACTCTGCGACCGTTTCAACCGGGTCATCGATTCTGTCGTCGCTCTGGTAAATATGTATTTCACCTACTTTACGTTTTGTATGTTTCCAATTGCTAAAAAAACGTTATTGCTTAATTAAAGTGTGTGAAATTACACTTAGGTATTAGGATATTAACTTACAACGACTTGTTGACATCTAATGTAATAAAATTGTAACTAGACGATGTCTGTACATGGAAGATACATATTTAAGAAAATCTAATATGAGAGAGGTTTTAATAACACCAATAGAAAAAAGACTATAAAAAATTCAAGTCAATTTATTCGTTAACGTTTACATCAAATTAGCAAAGATGCTCTGTTTTATTCAACTTTATTCGTCTGTATCCCATAATTCGATTTGTTTTTCTTAGTAAAAATATTAAATTATGCGCTATTATTTAATAAACCGTTGGATGTACAAGGACATGTTAATTTCATTTTTTACTTATTATTTTTTTTACTATTTATTTTCTTTAGTACTTCCCTATGGTGATTTTGTAACGGCTGTGTGAGTTTAAGTCGCTATTGACTGGTTTTTATTACTTTAGAAGTTACTGTAATATGTAGATACCTTCGACTGGTTTCCAGTACCGAAAACTACTCGAATACATTATTTATATAACAACGTCAGAGTCGCGTGATTGCTTAATACGTTTATTAATGGGCAAGACAAGTATTGTGAGTTCATTGACTCTTCAGTAGAATAAAATAAATGAGTATGAGCAAAACAAATAACTCGGTTAAAGTTTTTAATGCTAATCTTTTTGGGTTAAGATTTTGCTTCATTGGATTAAATTTATCATAAAATGATGTGTACGATTAGATAAGAATGTAATTTATTTTTTCAATGTGAAACAGTAGTGGCATTAAGTACAATTACTTTAAATAATATCATATAGTTTATAAAACGTATTTAAAATGACTACTCGGTATCTAAATGAGCTCACTTAAATTTCCTAAAGACCGCTATAGATTTCCGAGTGCTTATACAGTTTCTAAAATCATGCACCTAACTACAGTTTTATTATTAGCATAAATTATACTGCATCCCCTTCAATATCACAATGTGAAACGTGACATAATTAGGTAGATGACCGTGAATATCGTGCGTCACTCGCGCCGCGCGCCCTGACCTCCACACAGTTTATTCCAGAGCGGTCGGGTGATTCCTACCACCCATTGCCCTTCTACCAGAGTCGTCTTCGCATTCAGCTCAATTAATATTTCTGTTCTCAAGTATACAAATATATATCATAATATGTAAATTATTAAAATTCTGTATGTTCATTTTAAGATTTACATTATTTATAATATCTGTTAACGACTTTTGTATTCAATAACCGATTTATGTTAAAACAAAATTGAAGGTAGAAATGGGGGACACTTTAGGGGCTCTCATACATCAATATCTATATCAAACACTGATTTTTATTATAAATGTAACCCGATTGAAACCGTTTATTGTTATTTTTGTCAAGATTACTATACATGTATTAATATTATGTCGTAATAGATCTATCTAATAAAAGAATATATGATATCAAATAATTAAGTCAATAAAGAAAGTACCTACAGTTCACAAATTATTTCTAAAAAAAAAGTACGTGGTCGATGTTGCGACATATGAGAACGGTTCGATTGCTTGTGTGTTGCAGGTTAAATATTAATGAATTTCGCGGTTATGACGTGTTGAAGAGGTCGTGTAAATAATGAGGTCAATAAATCGTACTATTTTATGAAGTATATTGTGGGGTATAATATTTTTCAAGCTTTCTTTTATACTGCACTCAGTCAATGGAATTGTATGTAATACCATAATAGTGACATCATATCATCACCTCTAAGGCTCTTTATCATTAGCTACTAGTTCGGTTATCTCTGATGGTCGCATTACCGCCTTTGTTTACCTCCATATTTGTCACATTCTTATTTGGTTGTTATATTTAATTGGATGTCTTCGGTCTTAGCTGTCAAGATAGGTCTGATTTGTACTATTAGGTATAGTTAAAAACTATCTCCTTTTATCATAAAAATGCAAACCTCTTATAAACCTTATTTATAGCTATTGAAGTGTTTTGTTCTTTTCTTTTGCTTTATTTGAAAGACATTTTCTTAATTTGAAAGACAGCGTCAAAATATTCTAGTAGTTCAGGTAAGTAATACATCTAGTATTGGCTTCAAATAAGAAACCGCATTTAAGTCGGTCCATCCGTGTTTAGTTTGGCATTATGACGCCATATATGTACTGGATTTACATAGTTTCGGACAATCCACAACTATTCGACAAGTCTGTGTTGAATATGCTCATATCACGTTGTTTCTACATAAGTTCTATTTGCATTATAACTGTAGAAACTTTTTGATTGTATCTATGTATTGCAATGACCCATATCAACGTTACTGGTAATAATATATCCTATATTTACTTTTACTGCACTTCGTATTTGTATCGTATTATATGAATTATTTCAATATTAAATTATCTTGTTCAACAATTGGCGCACTCTTCACGGCGATTTGCTTTTAAAAGAAAAAACAGAAGTCCAATATAAATAACCCAGTTAAACGGCCCAGTTTTGTATATATATTGTATATATAAAAATACTCTTTAGCACAGAATAAGAACTTTAGAACTACTTAGTATTCTTATTTAAATAACTTTAAATAGGTATATTTAGAAAAAAATCTACTTTGTTAAGAATAATATTGAATAACATAATTTACTCAATAACTCTGTTGTTGTATAGCACTATTTATATACAACTGACTCACCATCCTATAGTTGCAAGTTCGATCCCAGCACGATACATATATTTTATATTTATGGATGTTTCTGTATTGATTTGTGAAGTCTAAAATATAAAACATATTTGAATATGTTACCAATTGCATAGTAGAAAAGTTTTGCTAGTAATTATCATTTCTCATCTGTGGCTCTACTTAGGTTGGAGCTAAATGATCCTGTGTGTGATCTAGGATAATTTTATTAACTAATCTGTAATTTAAGCAACTTCCAAAAGGAGAAAGCGCTATCATGTTACCAATTCTAAAGTGATTATGATAATTGTGTTTTGATATTAATAGATTTTATTCCCTTGTTCCATAGTTTGCCGAGCAAGAGCTGTTATTTGTCATTGTAAAACTAAATAAACGAAATGAAATGAAATTTGCTCCTTTGTACTTATTTGTTTGTATTAGTGTCCATAGCGATATTTTTACATAAACCTTAATAATCATACTTGTCATACTTCTCAAAGAACCTAGATAAGTACTTACTTAAAAACGATGTCCCTCAAAGTCACCTTTCATCTATTTCTATTTTTTAACTGCCTCCTACATTATTTTACTCCCGTGTAGCATATTTTACTAATTGTGTCGGGTGTAATGTTGGAAATTACAGATGTTTCGTAGAAGCGTGAGAGTATAATAGGCACCTAATTAACATGTTATTTAATAGCACATAAATGTATCTTTAATACCATAAAATACTGGCGAAATTCATTCGCTCTTTATTAAAATTGTCTTCTACTCACGAATAAATAAACTTGTTCAATAACGTTAACCTACTAAAACACGGAAAGACATTTTCTCCTTGAAGATATTTTTACACAGTTGGCACGTTAAGCTGCGTTTTCATTACCATGATAACGATGGTTTTGATATTGTTTGATTGTTTGACCCGATTTTTTTCGGACTAAAGTATTTAAGATATTTTTATTACAACAGGAGAAGGTACCACTACCGTATAGCGCCTTAATGGCTTAATCTGTTAATATAAAATTTGGTATACACGTATTATATGAGTTTGAAACAGATATAGGTTACTTTTTACCCCGGTGACGAACGAACCGAATGAGCGGACGAAGTCGCGGTTAAAAGTTAGTAATATATTATATTCAGTTAATACAAAAACTGTTATTAATCTATTTGTTTATTTAGGTACTGTCATGTCAATAAAAAAATTGACAATGTTTATTAATTTTATCAAATATGGAAAATTAGAACATACTAACTATTACAAATTAGATACCATGGAACTTTTCTTCATTTCACTACATTTCGCTAGAATACCAAAATAATTTAGATAGGTATTAACTGACTACATTTAATTTTCTGTAAAAATTTTTGTTCAATCGATTGTCACTAAAAATAATGCTCGCTTAAATATTCTAATGAACTTATGTTTGATCGATTAGAATTATTCATAATGCAGTGAAACCGCGGCTTAACTGTGTCAGGTACTAGTAAGATGAGTTCGCTTGAATATTATTACAATGAGCAATCCAGTATCTAGCGGTCTGTCTGCTCAAGTAAAGTAACGTAACATGTGCGAATATGAAACGATGCAGTGAATGTGGGGCAGTGAGGGGCAATAGCGGGGCGTGGGGCGCAAACTGCAGGAGGGAGACACGAGGGCCAAGATGGCGGCGAGGACGCAGCGATCGATGTCTGTCCACAGACGCCGCCGCGCGTGGCTCTATTTATAAATTTGTATAGCATTTGCATGCCATAAAATATGATAATTTATTATGAGTATATCCCTCAGGTAGGTTAAATATTATAGGAACTGTTCTGATTGAAATATCTTTATATTTTTCATGACGTCATTACGAATGGTAGCTGGACATGCTAATGTGCCAAATATATGTACGAACGTTAGCAGAACTATTGATATATGTAGGTTAGTATTTCTAATATGGTTAGCAATGGTAAATGTATTTTGATGATTCTTTGAAAAAGGGTTTACATTTAGCTATATCTATGTTCGTCCATGTTTTCTTTACGGAACAATATGTTCTTGTAAGGACACGATTTTGCATTTTAAGTTCAAATAATTTAACTAAACTGGACATTCCTGAAATTTTATAGTGAATAGTGGTGATTTATATACATAATAACACACAGTTGTCGTTACCATCCATGGAGTGGTGATGGTCACTTTTGAAGCTGCTTAATTTGCGGTTTATAAACAAAACTAGTATCAGACAGAATTTACCATTAACTCACTCATTTGAATTTTGAAAG